TTCTAAAGACTCCCTTTACTGAGCTGAAAACAGGTAAAAGATGCATCAACATATTAAATTTCATTGTTATAGCATTGCTAGTAAAGTATTAAACTTATGAAACTTAATTATCATAAATGAAAAGGTCAAAAAGGTTAACCAATGCCCAATTGTTCCAAATTTTCTTCAAAAAGCTAAGTGTGTGGGGGTCACAATATATTTTTGCTGCTTTCTATTGAACAATAATGCCAATTCCAGGATGGTTCACGTCACTTTCGTTGTGATTGTACAAGAAATCCTTTCTACAGTCATTCACACTGTTTCTCTACTCTGACATGAACAAAAGTAATCTGTTCCTTGCGAAAGAGAAGGAAGTACTGGTAAACTGCTTGATAGCCTGCCCAAAAAACGGAAATGTGCCCTGGTAAATTCAATGTGGCTAACGCCGTGATCCGGAGTAAAAACTACCAACCCAACCACCAAGTTGAACACTCAGCATCCATTTAAAAAATACAAAACCCGCAACCTTAATGAAAGTTTTAAGTTCAAAATAATACAAATATTTGAGGAACTAGGCCATAATATAAGACATATGACATAAAATAAAGAATAAAACAAAAATTGTCTTGAAGAACGATTTATTGGTTAATAAATAATAACTGATGATACTCATTTTGTTATCTTATGACAATTTTATAATAAATTAGCATGATAACACATCAAAGTAATCAATACCTTAACAAAAAAAAACTTGCATCAATAATTTCCTTATACCACAGAATATTTGTGCTTAGCAATTTTTAATATATTAAGTAAAATAGCATGAAATATTGACAACAGAAGAAAATTTGCAGAGTGATGGTCCACGTTAGCACTGCAGTGCTTATTTTTTTCAGTAAAAGGCTTACATTAATCTATTTTACTGGTATTATCGGTTAAAGCGGCATTCAGCTTTTTTAAAGGTTAAATATGTAATTTTAAGATAAATCGATTCATATAATAATTGTCAAATCAAAAGAATTAAGGTGGAAAATGAAATTTGCCGAAGATAAAACAAATAAACTATAAGGAAACCCCTCAATATCTCTAATCTACTAGTCCCCTCTCTGCATTTGATTTAGTAAAGCGGCCAATTTGTTTCCTATTATTTTTAGAAACAGATGTCACTGACGCATTATAAATAGCTCACAGGACACTATTTTAAAGCAAGCTTAACAGCAATATGATGCACTTTTCGAAGATAAAACTTCTGAAATATTTAGTTCAAAACAAAACAAAGCTTTTCCAACAGAAAATAAAAGCTGAAGGCCGCTTTAAAGGACCATTGCCATCAAAGTCGAAGTCATATTTTCTAGCATTATTTCGGTCAATCTGCCATATTTATAGGGTGGTGCTATGTATGCAAATAAGCATATGTCCACATTACAACAGTATCAACGATGACTTGATTCCAGCACAAACAACAAAGTTACAATATCTTCTTTATAAATGAAAGCAAAATATGTTAAAGCAAACTCTTGTATCAATGAGAAAAAATAAAGACAAGGTTTCTTCCCTTGTTTCAGATCTTGAAAGTTAAAATTTCATTTTCCTTTGCTTTTCAATTTAAAATTTTAATTTTTTGCATTTCAATTTACAATTTCATTTTCTTTGAATTTCAAGTTAAGATTTCATTTTCTTTGAAAGATAGATGTATTTATAATTTTTTCCTTAAAATATTTATGTTTTCGACATGTGACGTATCAATCAACACTGTAAGGTTTTATATTTGAAACTAATATTGTTAGATTTTCTTTCCTAACTTAATGCTTTCCCTTTTATTTCAACTATCAGATATCTTTTATTTTATCTCGTTTTACATTGAAACATTAACACCTGCATGTTCCCACATGTTAAAAGAAAACAATTACAGCAATTGTGGCATTTCATGATTTTACCAATCCACGCATTACAAACAGACTTTCTTCTACAACAAGATTGCATTTGAGAAAAATGCTATGCCACCGCATTAATACAACACTAAATAGTAGTGTAGGAACATATTTTCTATACAATTGAAGATTGTCATAATGCATAGATCCCTGACCTATCTAATTCTTATTATCAGATTAGTGGTTAAGTCTATTGTTAATCGAATAAAAGAGCAGAGTAGGAATATATCAATGCACTTGAATCTAGTGAATTTGGTGGTGAAGGTCATATTTCACACAGCCTAAATTTCATGACTACATCAAAGGACAACACAGTAAGACACTTTGTCAAAACAAAATCTAGGTCAGCTGATATCAAAATTCACTTTACATCTTAATCTGTGCACATGGTTCAAATTTCATAGCTGTAGATCAAAGCACAAGAAAGTAAGTCACATCATCAAAATCTAGGTCACCTGATATCAAAGTTCAATTTTACAACTAAAACTGTGCACATGGTCAAAATTTAATTTCTGTACATCAAAGGACAAGAAAGTAGGTCACTGTCCCCTTGGGCAAGGCAAAATTTTGACCCAAGGGTTTAATTCAAAACAATCTTGATACAGGTCCACCAAACAACATTTCAAGTCAAATATCTAAGCTGAAGCTTTCTCCTATTCAGAAAATATTTGTTTTATTTTCTGTTTTTACTATGTGTACATAATGAGAATCATGCCCTCGGACAGGGCCAGTTTTGACACCAGGGGAAAAATTTGAATAACTTTGGTAGAGGGCCTATAGATGATATTACATGTATAAAGCAAACATCAAAGCTCTATGCCTTGTACCTTCAGACAAAAATATTTTTTATTTTTTTACTAGATGTACATAATGAAAATCAATGACCCTGAGGGCGGAACCGATTTTGACCCCAGGGCTATTATTTGAACAAACTTGGTAGAGGTTCACTTCGCAAAGTCTCATGCCATATATTTAAACTCTAGCCTTTGTCAATTCAGAGAAGATTTTTCAAGTTTTTACTTTATACATATAAGGAAAACTAGCGCCTCTGGGGCATGGTAATTTCAACACTAGGGGCATAATTAAAACAACTTTAGTAGAGGACCCATACATGATATTATATACCAAACATCAAAGCTCTAAGCCTTGTACCTTCAGACAAGAGGATTTTTAATTTTTTACTATATGTTCATAGTCAAAATCAATGACCCCTAGGGGTGGGGCCAATTTTGACCCCAGGGCTATAATTTGTATAATCTTGCTAGAGGTTCACTACACAATGTTTCATGCAAAATATCTTAACTCTAGCCTTTGTCAATTTAGAGAAGAAGATTTTTTAAGTTTTTACTATATACATATAAGGAAAACCTATGGCCCCCGGAGTGGGGCTAATTTTGACACTAGACGCAAAATTTGAACAACTTTGGTAGAGTACCTATAGATGATATCATTTAACAAATATTAAAGCTCTAAGCCTTGTACCTTCAGACAATAAGATTTTTTTATTTTTTACTATATGTAAATATTGAAAATCAATGTTCAACAGAGCAGTGGGCAATTTTGACCCCAGGGCTTTAATTTGAACACTCTTGCTAGAGGTTCACTACACAATGTTTCATGCAAAATATCTTACCTCTAGCATTTGTCAATTACTAGAAGATTTTTTTTTTTAATTTTTTACTGTAAGTTTTTACTATATACATATAAGGAAAACCAATGACCCCCGGCTCAGGGTCCATTTTGACCCCAGGGCTATAATTTGAACAATCTGGGTAGAGGTCTACCAGACAATGCCTTATGCAAAATATCTAAGCTCTAGGCCTTTTGGGTCTTTAAAAGAAGGTATTTTAAGTTTTTACTATATGTACATATAGTGAAAATCAGTGACCCCCGGGGCGGGGCCGATTTTGACCCCAGGGCTATAATTTGAACAATCTTGGTAAGGGTCTACCAGACAATGCCTAATGTAAAATATCTAAGCTCTAGGCCTTTTGGGTCTTTACAAGAAGGTATTTTAAGTTTTTACTATATGTACATATAGTGAAAATCAATAACCCCCGGTGCGGGGCTGATTTTGACCCCAGGGCTATAATTGGAACAATCTTGGTAAGGTCTACCAGACAATGCCTTGTGCAAAATATCTAAGCTCTGGGCCTTTTGGTTCTTTACAATAAGATATTTTTAGTTTTTACTATATGTACATATAGTGAAAATCAATGACCCCCGGGCGGGGCCGATTTTGACCCCAGGGCTATAATTTGAACAATCTTGGTAGAGGTCTACCAGACAATGCCTTATGCAAAATATCTAAGCTCTACGCCTTTTGGGTCTTTACAAGAAGATTTTTTAAATTTATTGTTATAATTCCTTTTGGTTGCCATGGCAACCAGATTTCTGCACGGAATGAAATTCTTTGAATAACTTTCTTCACCCAAGGATCAATCCTGCCAAGTTTGGTTGAAATTGGACTAGTGGTTTTTCACAAGAAGATTTTTTAAGTTCACTATATAATCTATATAACACACACACACACAAACAAACAAACGCACACACACACAAATAGGTGAATCGCTATATGCCACCGCATCGCAGATGCTGCGGTGGCATAAAAAGCTAGGTAGATGATTATCAAATGTTTTAACATTATTATTTTTTGTTGGTTTGTAAGTCACACCAAAACGATTACAGTCATATGGCAACTTTCCAGCTATACTGTAATAAAACCTCCTGTCCCCCTCCATGCATTATTTTAGACCCTTATGGGCACCTGTGGTCTTACCATCAAACATTTATGTTGAAATGGAATTAAACAACAGCCTGGTCCACACTCCTTAATAATGTTGATTTCAGTCAATAACTTCTACCTTATTCTGTGGACATAACTTTTTGTTCTAAAAATAAAGTAATTTATAAGAAAACAAAAAAAATCAGTTTAGAAAATATCACATATACATAAAACAAAAAATTAAAACTTAATTCTGAAAGCCAAAACATCAGTAATCATTTAAGAATCTGGTTACAAAAATGAAAACTGTCAATAATTAAGACCACACTCTTGATATTAGGGAATTAATGTCACCAAAAAAAAAAAATCAAAATTTCCTTTTTAATAAAAAGTAAACAGAAAATGAATTCAATATCGTATTACAGTTCATCATTTACACCTTAGACCTAGAGGAATACGAAATTTCAAAGACAATATTATTTACAAAAGAGTTTGTAAAATTGGTTTCTAAAATAGATAAAATGATCATGTTAGCATCTTCTTCATTGGTACCAAGATATTTCTATTTTCCTGCAAATATACATGAAATATTAATCTTTATTGTTTTACTTCATAATGATTAAGTGTTGCATCTTGCCTTTTTAAGTACAGAGTTATTGAAATTCAAGTCAATTGCTTAAGACAATAACCTCTAACTTTCTAAGTCAATCTGCCATGTTCGTAGGTGGGCTTAGGCCACTCTTAAAAAATTATCTGTTTGCTATTGCCGGCCGACCCACCGAAAATGCCCCGACTCAAAAGTTTTTTTCAGCTTAAAAAAATCAGATTTTTTTTTATTTCCGCCAAATCAGCCAGGGCATTCGACCTAAAAAATTCCCTCGAAAACAATAATAAAATCGGAGGAAAATCACACATTTAATATGTAAAGTAACGAGTGATAATTCATGAGGGCATTCTGTGCATTACTATTTAAAGTATTTACATAAATAGCGACCAACCAGGGAAGGATATTTTCCTTACGTCACGCAGTACTGCATGCGCGCGGCAATTAAGTTGAATTAACTAATAATAGAACGTATCAAAACGGGATTAAAAATAATGTTTGTTCAATTAATGAATATTTGTAAAGCATTTATATGGTCACTAGTTTACCATGTGGTAATTTTAATGTGCTTTGGAGTACATGTTCGTTTGTTGATGACTGCCGACACAGATTAAATACTTAGCCCATGCAATGAAACATTTCTGGTAGCAGCGGGGATTCTGTCATAAAATTGACCGAAAAAATAAATTTTTGGAAGCTGTGGTCCTTTCATATGCATTGTTGCTTTGATAGCAGACACAAGTATTGCACAATATCTTCAAGATCGTAAAAATGTAAATAAAATATCACAATCAAAATCACAAATATACATACGTCTAATTAAACTCCATGTCAAAATGAACTTCCGATTAATAATATGTCAATAATATTGACACAATAAATATCCAACATTTTTTTTTACTTGAGCAATAATTAAACATGTGTAATCATTCCTTGACAAAAAGAAATGACAGTTTTTTTCTGATATATAAAAATGAGGTGGAAGTCAATTGAGTGTCGGCACTTCTTTGATGATTCGGCAACAACTACAGGTGTGTAAACATCAAAGATTCACAGATTCTTCAGAAGAGCCGACCAGTCATTTGTCAGAGGTCATTTCGTGTGTAAATTTTGTATTTATTATTTAACAATGGAAACATTATATTCCTTTTATTTATGGATGCTACTTTTTGCGCGAGTGTTTTTGTGTCTTTTAGCGCTATGGAATTTCAACAATCGGCGATAATTTTCGGTAACTAACAATGAAATATTTTAACATTTTTAAAACAGGGGTGCAAATATCCGCCATTCAGAAATTATAGGAGACAAATCTTGCGTGTGTTATTTTTTACAGACGTGTAATAAATTGAGTAATGATCACCCGATAAAACGATATGTCCTGGTGATCCACTATAATTTTTCCAGTTCGTACGGGAATATTTACGCAGGAGAAGTTTATCACATCGGTAATTTGACCATGCTTGAATTTATGTCCACATAGTCATTTTTTTTATTTCATGTTATGATTACTAGTGAACATGTTTTTTATTGTTTTTTGACAGTCTTTTACATGTAAGTTTTGCCGTCGCCGATGATGATAGTGTACGTAGTCCAAATTTCCACAATCTGCTACAACGTACTAAGCGTATTAACTTACGTTCAGTAAAAATCATATAACAAAAAAAAAAAAAAAGCCTACCTACCGACCCACTCCTTATAACTCTGGGTCGGCAATAGCAAACATATATATTATTAAGGATGGCCTTATGAATGTAAATCAACACTGTATCATCACTGACCTGGAACCAGAGTGCATGAATATATTAAAATTTTAAAGAATTTATTCTTAATTTGAAATTCAGCTTGCCCTGTCTCACATTCTTATAACAGGTGCCAGAATCATGTGCCAGAATCATTTTGCATTATCATACAATGAAAATCTGATACTAAATTTATTCTTATATACACTTATTAGTAGAGTCAAATCTAAGTCTCTTAATTTTTTTTAAATATCTAAAAAACAAAAAAGTTTAAACAATCAAAACAAAAAGTCAAGAACCTATACCGTTACTTTCTAAGAAAGTCTGTTTAAACTGCAAAACTTCAAAAACTGCTGTGTATTATTGATATACTTCATAGTTCCACTATATCTCTTCACAAACATTAAAAGTCTGTCATCACACTGTAAAGGTTGTGATATAAAATCATTAAATGATTGGTCATGGTTTTAATTGTCACCTATTGCCATCTTGTCCATTTTCTCAGCTACGTCCTTCGGTTTGTCTTTCTTCCCACTTTTCTTTTGTTTCTTAACTTCCTGCTCATCAATGGGAGCCGCTTTTACAAATGGAATCTTTTCCTTGTATTCTAAAAGTACACCAAGAATATGGTTTTTAATATATATATATACATGTGTACTTGTTTGCATGCTGTATTCTATAATAAATGTTGCTTTAATTAAGAAGCACCTCTCTAGATTCTGGCAAATGTTCATTAAACTTTTTGGATTGTTTTAATAAAGAAAACTTTTTAATGAGTATATTAAATGTATCAAAGCTATCCAAAGGAGATTATTATCCACACTTCTAAAATAAGAAACACGCAATTCTAAAAATAGTAACACACAATTCTTTAAATAGTAACGCGTGATTCTATAAATAGTAACGCGCAATTCTATAAATAGTAACATGCAATTCAGTAAATAGTAACGCGCAATTCTAACAAGAGGGCCATGATGGCCCTGAGGTCGCTCACCTGTATATATGCCCCCGAAGCAGGGCCAGTTTAAACCCCAGGGCTTTTATTTGAACAAACTTGGAATTAAGACACCCATTAGAAGATGTTTCATGATGTTAAGTTTTTGCTATACACATATAAGGAAAAACAATGACCTTCTCCGCCCCCCCCCCCCCCCCCCCCCCCCCCCGGCAGAGTTAATTTTAACCCAAGGGCTTTTATTTGAACAAAACTTGGTAGAAACCCATAAGAAGATGTTTCATGCTAAACATCTAAGCTCTAGCACATTGGGTTTTTTTAAAAGAAGATTTTTAAAGTTTTTACTATACATATATAGTTAAAAACAATGACACCCCTGGGGCGGGGCCAGTTTTGACCCCAGGGCTTTTATTTGAACAAACTTTGTAGACACTTAATAGAAGATGTTTCATGCTTTATATCTAAACTCTAGCTATTTGGGTTTTTTCAAAGAAGATTTTTTTAAGTTTTTGCTATACACATATAAGGAAATCAATGACCCCAGGGACGGGGCCAATTTCGACCCCAGGGCCTTTATTTGAACAAACTTTGTAGACACTCACTAGAAGATGTTTCATGCTTAATATCTAAACTCTAGCTATTTGGGATTTTTTTTCAAAGAAGGTTTTTTAAGTTTTTGCTATACACATATAAGGAAAATCAATGACCCCCGGGGCGGGCCAATTTTGACCCCAGGGCTTTTATTTGAACAAACTTAGTAGACACCCATTAGCTATTTTGACCCATGTTTCATGCTAAATATCTTAGCTCTAGCTCTTTGAGTTCTTTAAAAGAAGATTTTTTAAGTTTTTACTATATGCATATAGGGAAAAATCAATGACCCCCCTGGTGCGGGGCCAATTTTGACCCCAGGGCTTTTATTTGAACAAACTTGGTAGACACTCACTAGAAGATGTTTCATGCTAAATATCCTAGCTCTAGCTCTTTTGGTTCTGTAAAAGAAGATTTTTTAAGTTTTTACTATATGCATATAGGGAAAATCAATGACCCCCTGGGGCGGGGCCAATTTTGACCCCAGGGCTTTTATTTGAACAAATTTGGTAGACACTCATTAGAAGATGTTTCATGCCAAATATCTAAGCTCTAGCTCTTTCGGTTCTTTAAAAGAAGATTTTTTAAGTTTTTACTATATGCATATAGGGAAAATCAATGACCCCCTGGGGAGGGGCCAATTTTGACCCAAGGGCTTTTATTTGAACAAACTTGGTAGACACTCATTATAAGATGTTTCATGCCAAATATCTAAGCTCTAGCTCTTTGGGTTCTTTAAAATGCAGATATTTAAAGTTTTTTCTTTCGGTTGCCATGGCAACCAGAGTTCTGCATGGAATTAAATTCTTTGAACAATTTTTAAAGGTGACCACCAAAGGAACATTCCTGTGAAGTTTGGATGAAATTGGCATAGTGGTTTAGGAGGAGATAAAATTTGAAACAAAGTTTACGGACGGACGACGGACGGCGCCGGACGAAAAGCGATCACAAAAGCTCACCCTGTCACTTTGTGAAATTCTATAAATAGTAACACGCAATTCTAAAAATAGAAACACGCAATTCCAAAAACAGAAACACCCAATTCTAAAAATAGAAACATGCAATTCCAAAAATAGTAACACGCAATTCTATAACTAGAAACACGCAATTCTAAAAATAGAAACACGCAATTCTAAAACCAGAAACACGCATTTCTAAAAATAGAAACACGCAATTCTTAAAATAGAAACACGCAATTCTATAAATAGTAACATGCCATTCTAAAAATAGAAACATGCAATTCTAAAAATAGAAACACGCAATTCTAAAAATAGAAACACGCAATTCTTAAAATAGAAACACGCAATTCTAAAAATAGAAACACGCAATTCTAAAAATAGAAACAAGCAATTCTAAACAAGAGGGCCATGATGGCCCTGAAGTCGCTCACCTGTATATAGGCCCCCGTAGTTGGCTAGTTTAAACCCCAGGGCTTTTATTTGAACAAACTTGGTAGACACCCATTAGAAGATGTTTCATGCTAAACATCTAAGGTCTAGCTGGTCAAGGTTTTTCTTTACACATATAGTTAAAAACAATGACACACCTGGGGCAGGGCCAGTTTGAACCCCAAGGGCTTTTATTTGAACAATCTTTGTAGACACTTACTAGAAAATATTTCATGCTTAATATCTGAACTCTAGTTATTCGGATTTTTTGAAGAAGATTTTTAAGGTTTTTGCTATACACATATAAGGAAAATCAATGACCCCAGGGTGGGGCAATTTTGACTTACTAGAAGATGTTTCATGCTTAATATCTAAACGCTAGCTATTTGGGGTTTTTTCAAAGAAGATTTTTAAGTTTTTGCTATATCACATATAAGGGAAAATAAATGTCCCCTGGGGCTGGGCCAATTTTGACCCAGGGCTTTTATTTGAACAAACTTTGTAGACACTCACTAGAAGATGCTTCGTGCTTAATATCTAAACTCTAGCTATTTGAGTTTTTTCAAAAAAGATTTTTTAAGTTTTTGTTATACACATATAAGGAAAATGAATGACCCCCGAGGAGGGGCCAATTTTGACCCAAGGCTTTTATTTGAACAAACTTGGGTAGACACTCACTAGAAGATGTTTCATGCTTAGTATCTAAACTCTAGCTATTTGGGTTTTTTTTTCAAAGAAGATTTTTTAAGTTTTTGCTATACACACATATAAGGAAAATCAATGACCCCCAGGGCGGGGCCAATTTTGACCCAGGGCTCTTATTTGAACAAACTTGGTAGACATCCATTAGAACATGTTTCATGCTAAATATCTTAGCTCTAGCTCTATGGGTTCTTTAAAAAAGATTTTTTAAGTTATTACTTATACGCATATATGGAAAATCAATGACCCCCAGGGCGGGGGCCAATTATGACCTCAGGGCTTTAATTTGAACAAACTTGGTAGACACCCATTAGAAGATGTTTTCATGCTAAATTTCTTAGCTCTAGCTCTTTGGGTTCTTTAAAAGAAGATTTTTTTAAGGTTTTACTATATTGCATATAGGGAAAATCAATGACCCCCTGGGGCGGGCCAATTTTGACCCCAGGGCTTTTATTTGAACAAACTTGGTAGACACTCACTAGAAGATGTTTCATGCCAAATATCTAAGCTCTAGCTCTTTGGGTTTTTTAGAAGAAGATATTTAAAGTTTTTTCTTTTGGTTGCCATGGCAACAAGAGTTCTGCATGGAATTAAATTCTTTGAACAGTTTTCAAAGGTGACCACCAAAGGAACATTCCTGTGAAGTTTGGATGAAATTGGCTTAGTGGTTTATGAGGAGATGTCATTTAAAGTAAAAGTTTACGGACGACGGACAGACGCCGGACGGACGGACGCAGGACAAAAAGCAATCACAAAAGCTCACCCTGTCACTTTGTGACAGGTGAGCTAAAAAAGGGTTGTTGTGGCCAAGTATGAAGACAATACACCAAGAACTAAAAAAGTTATGATCCAGGTACAAGTTTGTGGACGGCAACCACAACGGCAACGTTGCCGCGACTATAACAATACCTCTACTTTATTTTCAAAACAAGGGTGCCATAGTCACAAAATACGCCCGTTTACGAAAGCTTTAGATGGAGATGGGGGCATTATGGATAAGTGTTATCTAGCAAGCAAGTTTTTATTCTTGGCACTGTGTTGTTAAATGAACCTTAAAACAAATCAGTAGGGAAGATATGCACAGGATGTGTGACCTTGACCTTGGTCGCAGGGACCTGAATTTTATGCACGGCACTCAGCCTCACAATGATGAACATTTGTGCCAAATTATATTGAAATCCCTCTATGCATGTAGAAGTTTTGCTCCAGACAAGCGTTTTTCTATAGCTCTAACTGTGACCTTCATCTTTGACCTAGAGACTTGGTTCATGTGCAGGGCACTACGTCTCATGGTGGTGAACAATTCTATAAAGTAACATTAAAATTCCTCCATGCATGTAGAAAATATGCTCCGGACAACATCTGGATATTTAATCATCTCCAGTGACCTTGACCTTGCAAATATTAACCTAAATTAAATGTGTCACACCTGTAGTCATGATAGTTACCATTTGTGCTACAATCCATCAATAAATGATGACTAAATGGTCCCTATACACATCTTCAAATTTTTACCTGAACTTTGACCTCTATGTGCAACCTTGACTTTGGTTGCAGGGATCTGAATTTTGCGTGCGACACTCAGCCTCACAATGGTGAACATTTGTGCCAACTTATATTGAAATCCCCCTATGAATGTAGAAGTTTTGCTCCGGACAAGCGTTTTTCAATGAGCTCGAAGTGTGACCTTGACCTTTGACCTGGAGACCTGGATCATGCATGGAGCAATACATATCATGGTGGTGAACATTTCATTAAAATATTATAAAAATTCTTCCATACATGTAGGAGATATGCTCCAGACAAAATCTGGACATTCACCATCTTTAGTGACCTTGACCTTGCATATATTGACCTACAGTACATGTGTCACAGCCGTAGTCATGATAATGACCATTTGTGTTACAATCCCTCAATAAATGATGATTAAATCGTCCCTATACACATCTTCATATTTTTATCTAAACTTTGACCTCTATGTGTTACCTTGACCTTGGCTGCAGGGACCTGAATTTTGTGCGCGACACTCCGCCTCACAATGGTGAACATTTGTGCCAAGTTATATTGAAATCCCTCTATGCATGTGGAAGTTTTGCTCCGGACAAGCGTTTTTCAATTAGCTCTAAGTGTGACCTTGACCTTTGACCTAGAGACCTAGTTCATGTGCGTGACATGGCTTCTCATAATGGTGAACATTTCTATGAAATTTCATTAAAATCCCTCCATGCGTGTAGGAGATATGCTCCGGACAAAATATGGATATTTCATCATCTTTAGTGACCTTGACCTTGTATATATTGACCTAAATTATATGTATCACAGCCATAGTCTTGATAATGACCATTTGTGTTACAATCCCTCAATAAATGATGACTAAATGGTCCATATACACATCTTCATATTTTTATCTGAACTTTGACCTCTATGTGTGACCTTGACCTTGGCCGCAAGGACCTGAATCTTGCGCGACACTCCGCCTCACAATGGTGAACATTTGTGCCAAGTAATATTGAAAATCCCTCTATACATGTGGAAAGTTTTGCTCCGGACAAGCATTTTTCAATGAGCTCTAAGTGTGACCTTGACCTTTGACCTAGAGACCTGGTTCATGTGCGCGACACTGCTCCTCATAGTGGTGAACATTTCTATGAAGTTTCATTAAAATCCCTCCATACATGTAGGAGATATGCTCCGGACAAAATTGGACGCCGCCAGCCCGCCAGGGGCGTTCCCATAATACGTCCCGTTTTTCAAACGGGTGTATAAAAAGTAGAGCTAAAAACCAACATGATATTTTAATACATGTAATTTAATTGTCAACATACGTGATGGCATAAGGTCACGTAGAACTTCCGGCACTATCACGCCATCTTCAACTTGGTAGTTCTCCAGGATTGCACATATGGCCCTAGTTGTGGCACACATTGTGGCATTTAACATGTGTACATACTCTACCTGTTCACAAAATAAAAAAAAGTTTTAACAATGATTTGCAACAACATCTCTCAAAATAAAGCCTACATAAATAAAAATGCTTCAACAAACCAAAACATATACAGGCTAACAGTTTCCATATTTCAATAGCTACCAATAACTTAACCCATTACTTCATGAGCATTTTGTGAAAAATGGCTGTTTTCATTGAAAAGTCTCCCGTTACAAGTTCAAAATTGCTATAATACTATAAAAACTGCTTCAACACTAATCAAATTGGCACAAATGTTGACTGCACCATTGCCCTGCAACAACATGCTCAGGCTTAAATTTTCTGTTACCATGGCAACGAGGGGACATCTCAAAATTGCCCAAAAATCACTATTTTGCGTTGATTTTTTCCATCAAAATTGATTTCAAAGTGCTGCAACTTCTCAATGGATTGAGATAGAGTCAAATGCTTTTCAGCGTTGGGTTACACGTTACCTTATGATCAATCTGGGGTCATTTACAGCCTCTCACAGGTCCAAAATTTTCTTGGCGATGAGGGGGGACTCCGCCCCCTTCAAACCCCCCCAAACAGAAGGGGGCACATCCCCCTTCTGGCAACCCCCTGATGTATCTTTTGGTTGGGGGGTCGCGCCGAAAAAGAGGTTCACTTTTTTTTTAACAAACATTTCTCAAACAAAAACAAGTGTTTGGGGCCTAAATAAGGCATTTTTTTCATCATTTGAGACAACAAAAAGGGGGGGGGGTGAAAAAGGCGTTAAAAGGCGTGTATATGAAGTAATGGTTAACAGAAAATAATGAAAATACTTGAAATTACCCTTAATCGCGTTTTTCATGTTTAAACATGGTCTGTCATTATAAATTTGAAGAAAAATTGTTGTTTTGTAGATTTTTTTATTTTTTTCATTAACCCATTACTTCATGAGCATATTGTGAAAAATGGCTGTTTTCATTGAAAAAGTCTCCCGTTACAAGTTCAAATTGCTATAATACTATAAAAACTGCTTCAACACTAATCAAACTTGGCACAAATGTTGACTGCACCATTGCCCTTGCAACAACATGCTCAGGCTTAAATTTTCTGTTACCATGGCAACGAGGGGACATCTCAAAATTGCCCAAAAAATCACTATTTTGCGTTGATTTTTTCCATCAAAATTGATTTCAAAGTGCTGCAACTTCTCAATGGATTGAGATAGAGTCAAATGCTTTTCAGCGTGGGTTACACGTTACCTTATGATCAATCTGGGTCATTTACAGCCTCTCACAGGTCCAAAATTTTTCTTGGCGATGAGGGGGACTCCACCCCCCTTCAAACCCCCCCAAACAGAAGGGGGCACATCCCCCTTTCTGGCAACCCCCTGATGTATCTTTTGGTTGGGGGGTCGCGCCGAAAAAGAGGTCACTTTTTTTAACAACATTTCTCAAACAAAAACAAGTGTTTGGGGCCTAAATAAGGCATTTTTTCATCATTTGAGACAACAAAAAGGGGGGGGTGAAAAAGGCGTTAAAAGGCGTGTATATGAAGTAATGGGTTAACAGAAAATGATGAAAATACTTGAAATTACCCTTAATCGCGTTTTTTCATGTTTAAACATGGTCTGTCATATAAATTTGAAGAAAAATTGTTGTTTTGTAGATTTTTTATTTTTTTCATTAACCCATTACTTCATGAGCATATTGTGAAAAATGGGCTGTTTTTCATTGAAAAGTCTCCCGTTACAAGTTCAAATTGCTATAATACTATAAAAACTGCTTCAACACTAATCAAACTTGGCACAAATGTTGACTGCACCATTGCCCTTGCAACAACATGCTCAGGCTTAAATTTTCTGTTACCATGGCAACGAGGGGACATCTCAAAATTGCCAAAAATCACTATTTTGCGTTGATTTTTTCCATCAAAATTGATTTCAAAGTGCTGCAACTTCTCAATGGATTGAGATAGAGTCAAATGCTTTTCAGCGTGGGTTACACGTTACCTTATGATCAATCTGGGGTCATTTACAGCCTCTCACAGGTCCAAAATTTTCTTGGCGATGAGGGGGACTCCGCCCCCCTTCAAACCCCCCCAAACAGAAGGGGGCACAACCTCTTCTGGCAACCCCCTGATGTATCTTTTGGTTGGGGGGTCGCGCCGAAAAAGAGGTCACTTTTTTTAACAACATTTCTCAAACAAAAACAAGTGTTTGGGGCCTAAATAAGGCATTTTTTTCATCATTTGAGACAACAAAAAGGGGGGGGGTGAAAAAGGCGTTAAAAGGCGTGTATATGAAGTAATAGGTTAAATTATGACAACCAAGAACTTGTCACAGACAATGCAACAGTCCCCTACCATTACAATGTTGTTGATTTTCTACCTCAACCAATATCAATATTAACATTTGACATAAAGAATTTGTCTAAGAATGCCTTTTGAAGGCCAGCACATAACAAGGAAGTAATAATGAACAAGGAAGTAATAATACAAGTGCATTTTTTAAGAATATTAACATAATTCTTAGATATAGGTGAATAAATGTTAACTTTTTTCCTTCTCATAGGATTTGAGATGTATGTCAAATCTCATTGTTCTTGCTATATCCATAACTATAGCAATATAAAATCATTTCCATAGCAAGTATCATCAACCTACCTTTTTTACTTTTTAAGTTATGGCAAGATCCAGATTTTTTTACACGACACGAATGACCATGGTTTGGATTACAACTGGTTTAACTGGTAGGGGACTAACAATACCTTCAACCAAAATTGATTAATACACTAAAACAATTTCTGCTTGAATACTAAAATCTTACAGAAAAAAAATCAAATATTTAAAAGTAAGATATACCTCCTGATTCATCTTTTTGGTTTGGCCATATCTGACCTTTAACCTTCTTGCCTGGTAGTCGAGACAATTTGAGCAGGAAACCAACTCTCTGAATGCCCCTGATCCAGGGAACCAGGCCTCAAGATCCAGTTTCTTAGCAGCAGCATTGTTCAGAGCGCCTAAAAATAGATTTTTAAGAGGAAAAATTATAACTGAAGACAGTATACACTACCTTAATTGCTACCATAACCATTTTATTAATTATTTTTTAAGGGGCCTCCGTGGCCGAATTGTTAAGGTCGCTGACTAGAGATCACAGGTCCCTCACCGCTGTAGGTTTGATCCTCACTCGGGTCGAAATCTTTCATGTGAGGAAGCCATCCAGCTAGCTGGCTTACGGGAGGTCGGTGGTTTTACCCAGGTACCCGCGCATGCCTGAAATAATGCCCAGAGGGGCACCTGGGGTCTTCCTCCACCAACAAGAGGGCCATGATGGCCCTGAAGTCGCTCACCTGTATATAGGCCCCCGGAGCGGGGCCAGTTTAAACCCCAGGGCTTTTATTTGAACAAACTTGGTAGACACCCATTAGAAGATATTTCATGCTTAACATCTAAGGTCTAGCTGGTCAAGTTTTTTTCTTTACACATATAGTTAAAAACAATGACACACCTGGGGCAGGGCCAGTTTTGACCCAAGGGCTTTTATTTGAACAATCTTTGTAGACACTTACTAGAAAATGTTTCATGCTTAATATCTAAACTCTAGCTATTCGGGTTTTTTCAAAGAAGACTTTTAAGTTTTTGCTATACACATATAAGGAAAATCAATGTCAGCCCGGGCGGGGCCAATTTTGACCCCAGGGCTTTTATTTGAACAAACTTGGTAGACATCCATTAGAACATGTTTCATGCCAAATATCTAAGCTCTAGCTCTTTGGGTTTTTTAGAAGAAGATTTTTTAAGTTTTTACTATATGCATATAGGGAAAATCAATGACCCCCTGGGGCGGGGCCAATTTTGACCCCAGGGCTTTTATTTGAACAATCTTGGTAGACACTCATTAGAAGATGTTTCATGCTTAATATCTTAGCTCTAGCTCTTTGGGTTCTTTAAAAGAAGATTTTTTTAAGTTTTTACTATATGCATATAGGGAAAATCAATGACCCCCTGGGGCGGGGCCAATTTTGACCCCAGGGCTTTTATTTGAACAAACTTGGTAGACACCCATTAGAAGATGTTTCATGCTAAATATCTTAGCTCTAGCTTTTTGGGTTCTTTAAAAGAAATTTTTTTAAGTTTTTACTATATGCATATAGGGAAAATCAATGACCCCCAGGGGCGGGGCCAATTTTGACCCCAGGGCTTTTATTTGAACAAACTTGGTAGACATCCATTAGAACATGTTTCATGCCAAATATCTAAGCTCTAGCTCTTTGGGTTTTTTAGAAGAAGATTTTTTAAGTTTTTACTATATGCATATAGGGAAAATCAATGACCCCCTGGGGCGGGGCCAATTTTAATCCCCAGGGCTTTTATTTGAACAAGCTTGGTAGACACTCATTAGAAGATGTTTCATGCTTAATATCTTAGCTCTAGCTCTTTGGGTTCTTTAAAAGAAGATTTTTTTAAGTTTTTACTATATGCATATAGGGAAAATCAATGACCCCCTGGGGCGGGGCCAATTTTGACCCCAGGGATTTTATTTGAACAATCTTGGTAGACACTCACTAGAAGATGTTTCATGCCAAATATCTAAGCTCTAGCTCTTTGGGTTTTCTAAAAGAAGATGTTTAAAGTTTTTTCTTTTGGTTGTCATGGCAACCAGAGTTCTGCATGGAATGGAATTCTTTGAACAACTTTGTTAAGGCTTCACACAAGGAACATCCCAAGTTTCATTATGATCTGCCTTATGGTTTCAGAGGAGATGTCGTTTGAAAAGTTTGAACGGACAACGTACGAGGGACGACGCACAACGGACGAAGAGTGATCCTAATAGCTCACCCTGAGCATATGCTCAGGTGAGCTAATAAAAGCTGGAAAAAAATTGATGACAAAATCTCGGCGGGACACTCTAGGATGGCCGGACTTGAGTGTACGGTCGCCCATATGGGCTTTCCGGCGGCGACCTTAAATAAACGCATTAAAAAAAAAAACAAGAGGGCCATGATGGCTCTAGATCGCTCACCTGAATTATCAAACTCATCCAAACAATTACCTAGACAAGCATTCTGACCAAGTCTCATGACAGGTGAGTCAAAAATGTGACCACTACAGTGTTAACAAGGATTATCCATATTTGAGCAGTGCGACCTAGTTTTTTACCCAGGTGACACATATTCAAACTTGACCTAGAAATCATCAAAACAAACTTTCAGACCAATTTCCAGGATACTTGGATCAAAACAGTAGCAACTAGAGTGTTAACAAGATTTTTCTATTTTTAGCTCCGGTGACCTAGTTTCACATGCCATTTCGAACTCATCCAAGCAATTACCTAGACAAGCATTCTGACCAAGTTTGATGATAATGGAGTCGAAAATGTGACCACTAGAATGTTAACAAGGTTTTTCCATATTTGGGCGGTGTGACCTAGTTTTTCATCCAAGATGACCCATGTTCAATCTTGACTTAGAAATCATCAAAACAAACTTTCAGACCAATTAACAGAATATTTGGATCACAACAGTAGCCACTAGAGTGTTAACAAGATTTTTCTATTTTTAGCTCCTGTGACCTAGTTTTTCATCCGAGATGTCCCATGTTCGATTTATTCCCAGCAATGACCTAGACAAGTTTCCTGACCAAGTTTCATGACAATTGAGTCAAAATTGTGACCACTAGAGTGTTAACAAGGTTTTTCTATTTTTAGCTCCTGTGACCTAGTTTTTCATCCGAGATGACCCATGTTCGAACTCATCCGAGTTATTACCTAGACAAGCATCTTGATCAAGTTTGATGATGATTGATGCAAAAATGTGACCGCTAAAGTGTTTACAAGGTTTTTCTATTTTTAGCTCCGGTGACCTACTTTTTCATCCGAGATGACCCATGTTCGAACTCATCCAAGCTATCAACTAGATAAGCATCCTGACCAAGTTTGATGATGATTGATGCAAAAATGTGACCACTAGAGTGTTAACAAGGTTTTTCTATTTATAGCTCCGGTGACCTAGTTTTTCATCCGAGATGACCCATATTCGAACTCATCCGAGCTATTATCTAAACAAGCATCCTGACAAAGTTTGATGATGATTGGGTCAAAAATGCGACCACTAGAGTGGTCACAAGGTTTTTCTATTTTTAGCATCTGTGACCTAGTTTTTCATCAGAGATGACCCATGTTCGAACTCATCCAAGCAATTGACTAGACAAGCATTCTGACCAAGTTTGATGATGATTGGTTCAAAAACGTGACCACTAGAGTGTTCACAAGGTTTTTCTATTTATAGCTCCTGTGACCTACTTTTTCATCCGAGATGACCCATGTTCGAACTCATCCGAGCTATCACCTAGACAAACATCCTGACCAAGTTTGATGAAGATTGGGTCAAAAATGTGACCTCTAGAGTGTTCACAAGGTTTTTCTATTTTTAGCTCTTGTGACCTAGTTTTTCATCTGAGATGACCCATGTTCGAACTCATCCGAGCTTTCAACTAGATAAGCATCCTGACCAAGTTTGATGATGATTGAGGCAAAAATGCGACCGCTAGAGTGTTCACAAGCAATTGTGGACGGCCGGACGGACGACGGACGACGGACATTCATCTATCCTAAAAGCTCACCCTGAGCAAGCTCAGGTGAGCTAAAAATTATTGCTTACTAGATGGGATGCATACCTGCACAACTGACTGTACAATATATACCCCAACAAGACTGATTGGTATATCACATTATTTATTTGATTTACTGATTTTTTGTAGTTTGCTTAACTTCATTTAATGTTTCTATAACAAAACATGTTATGTACTTTATATACATCCACAAGATCAATAACTTCCAAAATGGTTTAGTAAATCCCAATATTTATATAGAAAAGCCCCAGGCAAATTCACAATAATTAAACAACTGCAGTTTTGGCAAGTAACAGGTTAATGAAACTTATTAGAATTCAAAATAATACTGTGAGTTACTTAAAAGTAAATGTGGTTCTGGATATAATATACCACCCAACTGTGGAAACTGTATAGGATTTACTGGAAACTTGCCAATCAAGCTTTTGAAACTGGGCAGAACTTTTTTTTAATTTCAATCTTTTGAAATCCTGAATAAACTCAAAATTAAAATTCAAATAGGCTATTACAGGTATTAATTTACACAAAAAATCTTAGTTGTATGATCCCCAATTTCAGAATACTGAACTTTGAGAATACTAAAATGATCTCTGAACCAAAATCTGAAAAATATAGCATGTTTCAAGGTCAGTTCAGGCACAACTTTACAAAACTATACTCTTATATTTAACAAACAGTGCAATGTCACAAATATTCCAAGGGCATTTTACATAAAGCTAGTAAACAACTTATTGTATTTGCGACTATATTATCATACACTTTTAAACAATACACTGTGCAATATGATATGATAGTGCATGTAAAAATCAATATTTACCTTAAATCTTAAAAACATAAAATGCTTTAGCCTTGAAATATAGAACTTTGGACTTTTTAGTATGTGCAAACTAGCAGGTTGAAATATTGTTTATTTACGTACTTGTTCAGTCTACTTTGTATACCAGGGAAAATCAATTTCAGTGTAAGAATGGAAAAACCTGTGTCATTATTGCAAAATATTATACTTTACCAATCCCCGTTCTTAAACAATAAACAAAACAACCTGTTAACATTATTATCCTTGATTTATGATACCAGATTATTCTGTAATCCAGCAGAACATTTTCCTCAAATGCAGAGCAAAACAGTCCTTTTTTTCTAAATATAAACCAGAGATCCTCTTAGCACCACACAAGGAGACAAATTTATGCATATTTTTTAGCTAATAAATATAATATATACAAATAATAAGTGATAACTGTCATTTTGCAATGAAAGGAATGCACTTTTCAGTCCCTATGTAACATGTTTTCTTGTTTCTATCGTGACTTTCTATTCCTAGAACATAAACATAGCTTCAGACTAGTCTATATCCTGCTTAAACTATATTATTAATTGTTATTGACATTACAAGGATTTTATATCCAGTGTCACTTTGACCTTGACCTAATAACCTCAATACATTCAATAGGGGTCATCTACTTGCCACTGGGATTGTCCCTAATAAGCTAAAAAGTTAATAAGTGTAACAAACTCAATTAACTGTTAAAAATCTGGAAACAAAGTGATCCCTCGGAAGCATTAATCACAACAAAATAACATAAGAATTGTAGACTCGGTTTGATTGAGTCTGTACATGAGGGATGATGAATACATGCAACATCCTTCACGCCCCCTAGAACCTGCTTCAGCGGTACTCAATTCTCAACACTTAATAGTGATGGCATCAATGATCCTGAAAGACCAGAAAAATATAACAACACTGAAGTGAAGTACGTGGATTTTACAAGTGTCATTAAGACTTTGACCTTATGACCCCTAAATCAATAAGTTATCTACTAGCCATGGGTTATTAAACTTAGGCGTTTTCCTCCTCAAGTTATTAATTGGACATGGATTTTACAAAAAAATGTCAATGTGAACCAAAATCTGAAAAATATAGCATGTTTCAAGGTCAGTTCAGGCACAACTTTACAAAACTATACTCTTATATTTAACAAACAGTGCAATGTCACAAGTATACCAGGGAAAATCAATTTCAGCATAAGAATGGAAAAACCTGTGTCATTATTGCAAAGTATTATACTTTACCAATCCCCGTTCTTAAACAATAAACAAAACAACCTGTTAACATTATTATCCTTGATTTATGATACCAGATTATTCTGTAATCCAGCGGAACATTTTCCTCAAATGCAGAGCAAAACAGTCCTTTTTTTCTAAATATAAACCAGTGATCCTCTTAGCACCACACAAGGAGACAAACTTATGCATATTTTTTTAGCTAATAAATATAATATATACAAATAATAAGTGATAACTGTCATTTTGCAATGAAAGGAATGCACTTTTCAGTCCCTATGTAACATGTTTTCTTGTTTCTATCGTGACTTTCTATTCCTAGAACATAAACATAGCTTCAGACTAGTCTATATCCTGCTTAAACTATATTATTAATTGTTATTGACATTACAAGGATTTTACATCCAGTGTCACTTTGACCTTGACCTAATAACCTCAATACATTCAATAGGGGTCATCTACTTGCCACTGGGAATGTCCATAATAAGCTAAAAAGTTAATTAGTGTAACAAACTCAAATAACTGTTAAAAATCTGGAAACAATGTGATCCCTCGGAAGCATTAATCACAACAAAATAACATAAGAATTGCAGACTCGGTTTGATTGAGTCTGTACATGAGGGATGATGAATACGTGCAACATCCCTCACGCCCCCAAGCACCATCTTGAGAGGTACTCAATTCTCAACACTTAATAGTGCTGGCATCAGTGATCCCGAAAGACCAGAAAAATATAACAACACTGAAGTGAAGTATGTGGATTTTACAAGTGTCATTAAGACTTTGACCTTATGACCCCTAAATCAATAAGTTATCTACTAGCCATGGGTTATTAAACTTAGGCGTTTTCCTCCTCAAGTTATTAATTGGACATGGATTTTACAAAAAAATGTCAATGTGACCTTAACCTTTGACTTAATGACCTCAAAACTATTACAGGTCATCCTCTAGCCATGGCAATGTCCCCTTTAAGTTAAATAAACTTAAGCATAATACTTCTTAAGTCATTGATTGGACAAGCATTTTACAGAGTCACTGTGACCTTGAACTTTGACCAAATTACCTCAATACAGGTTATCTACTGGCAATGTTCCTACCAAGTTACATAAACCAGGGTTTATACCTTTTCAAGACACCGATCAAGCAAAACTAACATGACATCCCACCCTTTCACAGTATGCTCTCCCTCCACTTTTTAATTGGGACCTTTAAAAATTGGTGCACAAAGAGTTGAATCATCTTTCATCTACCAAAAAGACCCAAGAAATGAGTTTACCCGAAACTATGTTGACTATTCTATAAGGTATTCCAAGCTGCTTGTTGAATTCCTCAGCATTTGTGATCATTTCTGTCATCATTTCCCATGATTTGTTGTCATGAGGGGAGGTCAGTACAAACTGTTCAACCTGCAAGGGGAATTAACTCTTCATTAAATATAAACTTCTTCTATTACTATCCTTGAAAAAATGTTAAGAACTGCAACCTATTCATAACATCATTCTGTAAGTGAGTGAACAATAAAGCACCCACAGAAAGTCAAAGTAATAAACTAAAACATAAAGGCATGATAACAATCTTTACAAAAATAATTTTTGTTATTTTCACAGTAGTTTTTCTCTCTTAGTTGGGAAGAGGCCTTAGCCTCTTGATTTTGGTAAAATTGCTTATTTGTAAGGTAAAAAAGGTGGGGAAAGTTCAGATCTCTAGAAAAACTGCATGATTTTTAAAGAAAATTCCAATGGGAATAAAGGACTCTGTTATATAAGGTGACACTGTTTTATGTAGAAATGTTTTTTTTATAATAGTTAAGAGTCACACATTTCTTTAGCTATAGGTTCATCAACAATACTCAACAGTCCCTTGAAAAAATACATTTTAAACATATTTCACAAATAAAATCTTACTTTTTCAAACTGATGGACTCTGAAGATGCCACGAGTATCCCTACCATGGGATCCTACTTCTTGTCTGAAGCAAGTCGAGTAACCACAGTATTTAATGGGCAAGGTTTCTGTAGGAACCCATTCATCACGATGGTAGGCGGCAATAGGTTGTTCCGATGTTGCTATCAAGTACTTCTCATCTACACTACCATCTTCCTGCTTTTCACTTCCTTTACCTATGACCTAGAAACAAAATTTCAATAATTTTGTTCAGGCTAAGATGAAAATAAGAATACGCACCAAAATTTGATTTATCCACATGCTAAAATGAAGCATTGATTGCCACTAAAGACAAAACTACAAAAAAGTACCGCTCTTCTTTATATTTTGGATAAAATTTAATATTTTTGTGTGACCACACAAGATTCTGGAAAGGAGTCCGAAAAATAATAGGTCTATTAAATAAAACTTTTAGCCATTGGTTTTTCTCACTTAAAAGGGAAGAGGCATTACCCTCTTGAATAAGGGGGAAATTATCATTAAAATTGCTAATAGTGAAGTAATAAGAAAGATGGGGTAATTTTCAATTTTTTTTAGGGAAATGGCATGATTTTAAAGAAAATTTTACCTGGAGAGAGGCCTCTGTTAAATAAGGAGGAAAATCACTGTTAGCACTAATATCATAATATGAATGAAATGATTTCTGTTTTGTTTTTAATATGAAGACGTACTTGTGTTACAGAGCAAATGTATTACCTTATACAGTTCCTCGTCAAACTGTGAGAGTTGAGCCACCTCTTGCATCACCTCTTTCCTCATAAAGAAAGGTGTATACAGGGGGGTGTAACCTTTCTCGTTTAATAACCGCATTGCTAGGTTGATCAGTGCTTGCTCTAAAAACACAGCTGGTCCCTGAAATATAGTGAAACTGAAGGTTTTGTTTGATTGGGTTTTACATCACACCGACACAGTATGGGTCATTTGGCGACATTCCAGCTTTAATGGTGGAGGAAGACCTCAGGTGCCCTTCCGTGCATTATTTCCGGCACGAGCAGGCACCTGAGTAGAACCACTGGCGTTCCGTAAGCTTGTTTGATAGCTTCCTCACAAGTTCCTGTCGGGGAATCGAACCCACAGCGGTGAGGGGCAAGTGGTTTAAAGTCAACGGCCTTAACCACTCTGCCACAGACAAAACTGAAGGTAAAGAATAAAGTAAACTCCTATGTGATACTGTACACATAGACATTCATGTTCACTGTAAGAAAATGAAACAGTACAAGCTCTGTAGAGCTACACCTTTGGGAGTAAACGATTATGTTGACGAGAGGTATTACACTAGGGAGGCTAAATTTATTGTCCAGTCTTGTTTTGAGAAAATTGCAACTGTTGTTGTAAAGAGGAAATTGCTCTAGAGAGGGTCGCTCTGTGGAGTTTACACTGTATTCTCAATAATGAATACAGGTGTATGTTTCTATTATATGACTATAGTGAACATTTTAATGTTTTAAATTGAAAAAGATCACCCTGCTTGTTATATCTTGCCTTATGTTTATGTAAAATATATATTAAAAAAATCTTTTTTAATCTATTAGAATATCAAACAAACGTACAGTAACACATATGACAATATTGGTAAATGTAAGCATATTTGTATAAATAACAGCACAGTTTTATAAAACACAGATGTCTATGTCCAAAATATGTTAGAAAATACTAAAAGCAATCTTTTCACAAATTCTTTAAACTTCACTTTTAAAATCCAGGTCATTTCAGGGTCAAGGTCAAATTTCATTTCCAAGGTCAATATAGAACACTTCACACCCCTGGAAACATGATGTGGCCAAGTATGTCTATGAAGCTTGTAGCTTATGTCAAAATATGTAGGATATCAATTACTAACAGTACCTTGAGATAGTAGCCTCTACCACCTGCTACACTGGATCCTCTAGTATCATCTACCCCATCTATCATCACTATCAGGTCAACATGAGAATATTTCTTTTTACTTTCACAATCTCCTGATGTCCTCTCAATTCCATTCTCATCCTAGAGGTCAAAGTTCAACCATTTTTAATATCATGCATGAAATAAGATATCATATAAGGTAATAATTCATACTAATAACTTCAATCAGCTTCAATTAAGCCTGAAAAAAATTTCTGACATTTTCTATACCTTTTAAACTATTTAAATATTGGGTCTTTCAAAAGGTGACAGAAAACCATACAAGTCTTAGCAATATCATTTAACACTGTTAAGGCCAATTTCAGTGTATTCCTACCATGTTGTGCTAGTGGCCATAATTATAACACGATGTCCGTAGATAGTGGGTCTATATGTTAACTGATCACTGTTGAAATTTGCATTGAGCACTGAAACATTCTATTTTTATCATAATGCACATAACATTTACTGGGCTTAAGCTGTTAGTGACTCAATTTTCCATCAATGAGACAATTGAATATTTGACTCATTGTTGTAGAACAATCGTAATGGAGAAATTTTGTCACACCAAAGGATCAAACCACCAACCCCTGGATTACAAATCGGATGCTCTCAATATTGACTTAAGTGGGTGGAGAAAATTATGGAATACCAGGGATGCAGTCTTTGACAAAATGATTTTAAAAGAAGATGAACCACAGAATGTTAATAATTCACCTCATCATTTGAGACAATGCACGACTCGTGGAGAATGTTGCCCATTTCTTTGAGAGACTCGTTTCTCTCTGACTCGTGTTTGGTGAGATCAGAATCATTCTGCTTTGTCTGATCGTCAATATACACTCGTAACTTCTTGATCTGTGTCACTGTGAGAGACTGAAATAACAAATATAATATGGTCAATGAAAATTGTGCATAGAAAATGAACAGAACAAAATTGAATTCAAATTTATAATGATTGCCTTTGCTGTAAGGTATTGTCAAATCAAGACTATAAAAGTGATTATTCAGGGTTTTTCTTTTTTAAAGTAAGGCAACAGATGTGCCAGTGAAAACAACCGATTTAGCCAAGGGTCAAGAGGGATACTATAATCTACAGGCTGAAAATACAACCAATTTTAACAGCATTTCAATTGATAACATAGTTTGCCAATCTGTTAATAATGAAAACCTTGTGTGACATGCAATTTACAAGCTAGATAAAAGTAGATAGACCACGTAACAAGGAAGATTACAAATTTATATATATACATGAAATGATATGAAATAAAAAAGTTTAAGTGAATTAACTGTATTTATCAAACTATCTACGATTATGTAGAAAACTAACATGTATAAACCAACTGAAATACATTTTGTATCATAAATCATAATGTTTACATAACAAAAAAACAAATGTTTGAAGTGTGAAATTATTTCTTTGAATGGTTAAAAAAAAGGAGTCAAAAGTATTTTCAGTGTCAACAATCTAAAGATAAAAATGTAGCCAAACTATTTTGTAAAACAGTTTAAAGAAAAGTCATAAAATATTGAATTTAAAAGAACGAATGCATTAAAAACGATTTTATAAATCTTACAGCTAATTTTTCCTGATTGACAGATTCGAGATCTTCTTGCAGACCTTCGGGCAATGTCTCATCCTCGCCTACTGGTTCCTTCTTCTGTAAAACATAACATATTATACATGTAAATGATCGACCATGAATCAAGAAATTTAGAATCAGGGTTTCCCATTAAGTTCCAAAATTTGGAAGTCAGAGACTGCAAAATATCTGACATTGGAAACGTTACATTTTGGAAGTCAAAAGTCAAAATTAAGGAGTAAATTACTATTTCTGATGTGTATCTTTGATTTGAATCATTATCAAACCTACTGAAAATAGATGTGAAATATTTTGTTCTGAAACATTTTATTCTATTGACATGTACAGTATTCATGTTATTAAATTACAAGTATATCAAAATCCTTTGCAACATATCTTTCAAGAAACCATTAGGTTATGAATACAACAAAATTTTATTGTTTTCTAATTTTTTATAACAAATATTTCATCAGATAAAGCTTTATATAAGTTAATGTTATCAGCAATCAGGTGAATTTCAAGTATATACATGTACACACCTTCATCTTCTCTCCAATAGCCTTGCTGCACACATTTTTCAACTTGTTTAACAGATCAGCCCTGTATCTACCTAAAATTAATAGTTTAACACAAAATTACAAACTAATTGTTGTCATACAAATAGCAAACCATTAGGGTTTAATCAAACACAGTGTTCTAAACAAAAATACACAAAAAACCAAATTTTTACCTACAAAGTCAATGTGACCATTGATATGTTGATCCAAAAATCATTACTGGTCAAGAACAATGCACCTATGCAGTTTGAGGGCCATGGCCCATGGGTTGTCAAGTTATTAATCGGAAACTGCTAACACCTTCAAGGTCAATATGACCTTGACCTTTGACCCCTTAACCCTAAAAACAATAAGGGTCATTTACTGGTCATGAGCAATCCCCATGCCATGTTTGAAGTTCCTAGATATAAATGTTAAGTTATTGATCGGAAACCGTTTTACCTACAAGGTCAATATTACCTTGACCTTGATCCCAATACCAAGCTTGAAGCTCTAAGGCCTAAGCGTTTTTTATTTTTTGATCAGAAACCTGTTTTTACCTACAAGGTCAATATGACCTTGACCTTTGACCCCTTAACTAAAATCAATAGGGGTCATTTACTGGTCATGAGCAATCCCCATACCATGTTTGAAGTTCCTAGACAGAAATGTTCAGTTATTGATCGGAAACCGTTTTACCTACAAGGTCAATATTACCTTGACCTTGATCCCCATACCAAGTTTGAAGGACTTTTCTAGGCCTAAGCGTTATTTATTCATTGATCAGAAACCTGTTTTTACCTACAAAATCAATATGACCTTGACCTTTGACCCCTTGACCCAAAATCAATAGCGGTCATCTTCTGGTCATGAATGATCCCCATACCAAGTTTGAAGTTCCTAGGCCTAAGCGTTCTTTAGTTATCTATGAGAAACCATTTTGTCTACGGATCGACGGATACCCCCACTTCTTTGAAAGGGGGCAAAAAAAAAGTGTTTTTTTTTCTCCTTTTTTTTTTTTTACTTTAATATGTCTGTCTAGTCACACTTGTTGTTTTGTCCAAGTATGAATCATTTCCATATTAAAATAAATGAAAAAGTTAAGAAAATATAAGCAAAATTCAATCATCTGACCTTGAAGGTCAAGGTCATTTAAAGGTCAATGTTATATCTAGATTATTAAACATGTCTGTTTGGCCACAAGTGTTGTTTTGTCCATGTATAAATCAAATCAGTACATACTGTACATAACAAAATTATGACAACTTCACCAAAATTCAGTAATATGATCAATGTCAGTTCAACTTCAAGGTCTTGTCCAAAAGGTTGTTTTGTCAAAGTATTCTAAACAGCAATTAAAACAAATAATAACAAAATATCAAATGAGGCTAAAGAATATTATTTCTCAACACTCGATAACATGAGTCACCAAGGCTTAAACTGCATTCATTGTCAAAGATAAAAGATCCCAGATATTTGTGAAACTTTAAACAGACGTCTTATATAGGTTTTTTGCACTAGATTGATTTTCCAAAACCATTATCTATTTAATATTCATATACTGCACACATGCATGCAGGAAAGAAAATGATAACAGCATTAAATCATAAAATAATAGAATAGTTAAATGAACCACACAGACGACACTAACGAGTGGGTCATGACAATAGCTCTGCTTTTTCTTCGAATAATTGGAGGTAATCAAGCATTTTAAATGACAACAGGTAATAAATAAGATAATGTAGTAAACCACAATAAACTCAATGATCCATTATCTAATCTGAACTGGAAACTATTGTATGTTTATTTAACACAATACTGCATTATAAAATAGTTTCCGAAATGCAATAACGCATTATAAAATTGTTTTATATGAGGTTTATTTTTTGTAGACATTTTTAAGACAATTTGTAATCAAGGTATTATAATTATGAATTTTCTATTATTCGCATCAATTATTGTTGCACAACAATATCAAGTTTATTAAATTGATTAGCACATGTATACTTCTATTTTGTTTTTTTTAAGTTCAATACATTTTTAAGATTATTTGTAATCTAAGGATTTTAATGATAAATTGTCTATTTTTTTTGCAACAGTATTAAATTTATTAAATTGACTAACACTTACTTGGCTAAGTTCAACAAACTAAAGCCTTCCTTTGAATATATTGAGAGAAGACAAATTTATGTTCATGTTTAGACCACCATATCTAATACCTAGGGCCTTTTTATTTACAGGGACAATCAGGGCACTCATTTAATGAATGTTGGTGCTCCCAAAGACATATATAGTTTTTCCCTATAAAAATTCCACCATTATTTTTTTTCTAGGTTTCACTTTCTTATAGTTAGACGTGTACCTGCCAAAAGAAGAGACCTATAATAAAATATCCGATCAAAATTACTTTTTTGCAAAACTAAGTACTTTTGTATAGAAATAATGCAAATAAATGGTGATTAAATCATCATTTTAATTATTTTTAAAAATAAATATCAATTTCTGATATTAGGTATGTCTACAACCTGCAATTTTATTGTAAAAGTCTATTAATACGCTATAATTCATATTTAAAAAGTCACTTTCGCTCACTTTCGTCAAAAACGGTGAGATTGATTTGGAGATTAAGGCACAGTCGGAGCGCGGCGCTAAAAGCACCTGGGGAAAGGCCTGTTCCAGCGTATATTCAAATTAAAAAAGTAAAGTTAAATAGCAACATTGAAACATGGTTTTGATAGACAGGTACCTAATTTTGTTCTATCAAAGTTTTGTACTCGTCTGTAGACATATATTTTTTTTATTTGTTAAAAAGTGCGATTTGGGGCCGGAAACTGCTAGGAAACCAGTAATTGAGTAAATCTTCTTAATTTTTTTTTTATTATTAAAATTTTACTTAAATCTATCTTCAAAAACATGTTTAAAAATTACCTTTGCAGAGTTAAAAGAAATATTACACAATTAAATAAAGTAGATATTTCATTCAAAGAAGCAGAGACACTGTTTTATATGTCTCTGATTGAAGATTTCCTCATATTGCATCATATTTCCGAAAGTTAAACTGTCCGAATAATTGCAACTTTTACTTACATTTTCTCCATTGAGTGTCATGTTCCACGACTTTATCAACTAACGTGACGTCTTTAAATCGTTTTGCTTGATTTTGTCTAATTTTTTCAGGATCTCCTCCTTTATCCGACCGGAATAATTCAATATCTAACACCATTTTCAATTAATCTTGTATCCGACAAGCCGGTTGCACAAAAAAACGTGTGATTGAATATGTGGCGACTTCAATAGCCTTAAAGGCTCCATGGTACTAAATGTAAAGATTCGCCTATATAACAATTTGCCACGGCGAGAGAAAACAAACGCAAACACACACACACACACAAGGAAAAGGTTCTCTATTTTTTCGATGCATAAATATTTTAAATGTCAACTATATTTGTACATGTATGCATGGTTTTATGCTGTAATGTCGACGAGATACATGCATTTGATTTAAAGTCTTAGTTATATAACTTCTGTTCTATGAGTCACTGCTTTCTAAATTTAAGGTTTTCAAAATGTAGCCTTTGTAGATACCCATTTCCGTTCGTAATATGGTAGTTATTTTAACGTACCTTTGGGAAATGCAGTCTGTTCAAGAGAAATAATGGTAAATGTAACACCTCTCACACCCCCTGGCACTGGATTAAAAGCGGTATTCAATCGTTAAAATGTTGAAATAAAAGATCCGAAGGACAAGAAAAGAACATAACAACACTGATGCAGTAGGGGCAACTTCTTATGTAACCGTTGAACAGTATTAAAAACATGTTGTTTCGAGTATAAAAAATGAAATATACCTCGGGAGCACTGAAAATAAAAGCAAACAGTTGAAAATCGCAGATCTTTAATCTAATCAACTCCTTTGAAATTGGGGAAATAAATTAATAAACATCTTCAAAAATAAATTACAACAGACTTGTTTTTAAATGTCCGCAAGTGTTTTTTTAAAATAACTTGCAAAATTTTGCTCACTTCACAATTAGGCAACTATCCGATTTTTAAAAGTCACATTGGTGTTCGACTTTTTTGAATATATTGCTCACTTTAGGTCATTTGAATGGTCTGTCTGGTTGGAAATTTTCTCATAACCGAACAGTCCTTGGGATTACCGTGTAAACTATGACCATGAAATATGAAAAATCGCGCGTAAACTTGTCGAATTCAGGTGGGGGTATAAACCGTTGTTTAGTACCGTTATAATACTGTATCATTTTAAATATATTACACCATTATCATAGTGACATCGAACTTACCATACAATGTATTCTTGTAACATAGGCCTCCGGCCCAAAATATAACACAATACAACAAACATGAAAAATGCAGTGAAAAAACAATGAGGTGATCATAAATATTAATGGAATATTGTAATACATTGTATAAACATTAGGAGTCACAAATCAAAAGATATCAACCAAGAATTAATAAGACAAGACGTGTTCCAAAGCTAAAAAGAGGTAGGGTCGTAATGCTCTGCAATGTTTTGGTTATTATTAATATTATCTTAATATTTCAGAAATATACACTGTATAAAAGGGCGTATACGTTTTTTTCCCGCACGTGTGTCAAATATACAATAAGAAATAGACGGGTTTTCATATCTATGACCATTGATTTATACTGTGCTTTATTACTATTTACAGCAGTATGGTCAATCCACAGATTTGCAGGCTGATCTTGGCCTGCTGGTCGTTTACGGTTAAATTTAAATATCACCATTCTTTCAACATTATGTACAAGGGCTGTTTGAAAAGTATCGGAAAATGTTTCATAGTTTTTTTTTCATTTGTGCAGTAATCATGATGAAATTTTCAATTATGCTTATGGTCCGGCAGGAAAAAGTGAAATATTTTTACTTATGGGTTACCTACAGTCATTATGGCAACGTCGGGTGACGTAATGCGAATTGGGTAAGCTATCGCATATTTACCTATTTCTAAAGAGATCAAAAGTCGAAAGTTGACAAAAATTGCACGAGATGTTTTGCAACAACACATTCAGTTGAATGGAAAGGGAAACAATTAATTATTACGCAAGGCTATAGACACGCATATATACCTTTCCAAATACACATTTAAATGCACTGCTGTAGAAACATAAAGTTGAAATTGTGAATTCGTGAAGTTGAAATTGTGATTTCGTGAAGTTGAAATTGTGAATTCTTTAAGTTGAAATCGAGAATTCATGAAGCTGAAATCGGGAATTTATGAAGTTGAAATGCCCCCACCGGTCTTTCGTATAAATTTGATCTGTATTGAATATTCAATCAGAAAAAAACAAACATAAAATAAGCCGAAAATATCATTGTGTAAGCTTTATGAATTTTTACTTAGGGGTCGACTCATTATGAAAAAATAACAAATGTTACGTTTTTGCGTTAAAGTTATGGATTTTTTATTCAATCTGCAAAATATTTGACTCATGTGATTCTATTATGTATTTAAAATATAAATGAGCCACGTCATGACAAAACCAACATAGTGCGTTTGCGACCAGCATGTATCCAGACCAGCCTGAGCATTACGTTGGTTTTGTCGTCACGCGGCTCAAATGTACGTAGGTGAAAAATTAGAAAAACTGGTACAGATAATTAAGTCCCTCGGAAGCAATGAATAATACAAAAATACATGAAAATTAATTGCAGACTCGGTTTGGTCAGTGAAAATGGAAAAGTGCATACCATCACGCTCCGTAGCACCAGTTATTCAGTCTTCAACACTAAATGTGCTGTAATCAATGATCCAAAAGAACCAGAAAAATATAACAACACTGAAGTGAAGTACGGGGTGCCAAACATCAGGTGACACTTGCTACTGTGAAGTAATAAAATACGATGAAGGGGTGCCCCGTCGGAAGCATTAATCACAACAAAATTGCATGAAAACTGAAAACCAGACTCGGTTTGATTGAGTCTGTTCATGAGGGATAGTGGGAAAGTGCAACCTCTCTCACGTCCGCTAGCACTGGCTCAATCTTCAACAGTTAATGTACTGTTATCAATGATCCCGAAGGATCAGAAAAAATATCAAGACATTGTAATTTGGCTCTGTGTAATAGCGTTTTATTCGTGTATTATGAGTTTTTAATATTTTTATTTGAATATGACATTCTTTTCTCAAACAAAACACCGCCTGTCATTTACATTTCATGACAACAGTATACTAAAGTATTAATTCAACTAATTGTCCTGCGCGACGAGATACTGTGCTATTTTGTGTTTTGGCAATATCTCTACGTAAAAGCGAGATTCTGACCCAGAACAACATCTCAGAATCTAGCTTTGGCACGTCAATATATTTTGACTAACTAAAGTATCTAATCAACATAGAAAATAAATTCAAAATCAACTATTTGCTATCTTTCTCAATTTATTCTTTTTTTTATATGAAACATGATATTATAAAATAGTATATCTTGGTACATTTGAATACACATATCATTATATATAGTACACTATTAAACCGAGTACCTTTTATAAAGAAATAAACTACCGCATACTTAGTCAGATATCATAAATAGGGCAAACTTTATATATACAAATATGCGGTGTAAAGATAAATATATGCAATAATGTTAAACTATCTATAAAATGGATTCGTGTTTAAATGAATTTTGGTATTTTGACAGGTGAATAAGGTAAGAAATCGTTAAAATATTGATATTGAACCGTTTTCGGAGTATAACAAGTGATAGTTTGAAAGTAGATTCCAATTCTTAAACCGTTATAGAACCAACAAACCAAATTAATACTGTAGTTTAAGACGTTATTTCCTGTTTTCTCATGATTTGAAGTGAATGCTATGTATAGTACCATTACCAAACTTTTATAATGCTAATGGAACGATTTCATCCACTTCATTAGAATAAGAAGTTGATGGTCTTTAAGTTGGCAATATTCTCTATGAATGTCATAACCTACTTCCATGTTACATGATTGTTTTACACTTTACTTAATTACTATAAGTATACACAAAAATGTGATTTGACTATTAATTTAATGCACATGTTGTTGTTTCTTGTTGTTTCGATATATTCTACTAATGTTTGGTGTCGGGGTCTTGTCTCCCCGACCTCACCGGCTTCGTACATTCCATACTATTACATATATGTCAGTGTTATAGATCAATTTTGACATTACTACCTCAATAATATTTTAACAAGGAAAAAGTCATAGACCTTTATAAAACAATTCTATTAAACTTATCTATAATACATGTATTGTTAAGATTATGGATAGAGCAAACTAATTGAAAAAAATGAGAGTGCCTACTTTAATACCAAATATAAAGTCTATATATGTGATATTCCCTGATTTATTTGTAACATTTAATGTCTCTTTTATTTAACAGGCAGGAATATTGTGCATAAACAGAATGAACAAATGAATTGTGATATTTAATGTGGCAGAGAGACCAAGTGGTTAACGCGTTGAACTAGTAACTCAAGGATTGCTGATCGTGTGGCTTCAAACCCGACAGGGGCAAGGCGTTGTTTCCTTCAGCAAGAAACTTTACACTCATTACTCAGTACTGGTTGGTCTGAGGGTGTTTCAATTAACTTAAATCTTCCAATACAATCGAACTAAATCAATTCGTATAAACTAAATGATATATTGTTTTTTAAGTACAAAACATATAGTGTTTTTATACCATCCTCTCTTAAGGTAATATACAAACAAAAATTTCTGTCATACAGTTTACTATGGAATAAATCTTTTTCAAACTTCAAACGATGATTTTGTTAAGTACAGACAGCAGATATATAGCTTTATACACTTTGCCACACTATTCTAATTCATGAGGTAAACTATTTCAAATATTTCTTTCTTCTGAACTAGATTATATTTCAGGTCACATTGATGTTCCCGGGTATTTTGATATGTCTTTCGTTTGTATTATGCGAAGCAGGTATGTAATATATACCTTTGTTTATCAAATGTTGAATCATTATAAATTATATGCTTTTCAATAAAATACGAGTACTTTTATATGGTTTTCTAAAAAAAAAAGGTATGAAAATGCATCAGATAGGTTTACTTATTTAAAGGTTATATCTACGTTTTAGCACGGTGAGCATTTCGTTGTTTAAATCAGTGTTTAACAGCTTTCGATTTTGATAAATGGTAAACATGTACTGATCTGGGCCAAATCTCCTTATAAAATACTCAAAATGACTTTTATAAGATATTCTGTAAGATATTGAAAAATATTATGCATTAAGATATCAAAAAAATAGCACGTCTGCAAATAGTTGTGATAATAGATTCGATTTGATATTTTATAGGAAACCGCCCACCACACATACATACACAACCGAGCATCAAAGATATATACTTCAAACCTGGCGAAACGATTGAGATCGAATGTGTAGCCGACGGCACTCCTATACCTAAGTATGTCCTTGATTAATAATCAATTGTTATTCTGCATCTTATTATGTCCTTTACCAAAAACCAGTTGTCATTCAACACCTAAGTATGTCCTTAACTAATAACTTATTGCCTTCCTGCATCTTATTATAGACGCATCTAATAACCAGTTGTCATTCAACACTTAAGTATGTCCTTGACTTAAAACGTATTGGCATGCTGAACCTAATTATAGCCTTGACTAATTACTTGTTGTCATTCAACACCTTGGTTTGTCATTAACTAAATAAAATAATAAATTAAATAACGCATTGGCATTCTGCACCTTTGTCTGTTATTCAACACCTTACTATGTCATACTTATAACGTATTGGCTCCTATACCTAAGTATATCCTTGACTTATAACCAGTTTTCATGAAAATGTGAAAGTGTTTAGCAACTTAAATATTTTCAATAGCAAAAAGTTCAATATTCAAGTTACAGATAGAGAAAACATTTTCGCTGTGGTAATATCTCAGTAACGGTAGTATTTTTTTGATGATGTACTTTATGGAAATCGGTATCTATATAGTGCTTATATTTTATATATATATCCCTATATATCGGGTAAATTTACGTTTCCAGTGTGGTAGAACTATTGTAATTTAATGAAATGAAATTATTTTTGAAAATTTCCGAATTTAGCTACTTTGTACTTGATTTAATTAACTGACCAAAATTTAGCGAAACAAAATTTAACATAGTCTGTAGTACATTTGCATTGAGGTTATAGAACTTTTTTTCTAACTTTTGTCTCGAATCTTAGGATTTTCATTCGTTAATATACATTCCGTACTGGTTTCTGACCACTCAAATACCTCAGATCTGAGGCTGAGCTTAGAAAATTCTTTATAGCATTGGCCACTGAACACTTGCATAGTCCTTATTCAGCTTTTTCAAAAGAATCATGTAAGTACATGTCTCATTTTCATATATATATATAGGTATATATGGAAACGAAACAGTGAAGTTTTCAACCCAAGCGGGCAAGATGACCGAGTTGTACAATTACCTGGTCAAGGTACACTCGTTTTTAACAACCCAGAATCTAAAGACGAGGGAATCTTTCAATGTTTTGCCGACAATGGATATGGTGTATCGGCGTCGGTGAAAGTGAACTTAAAGGAAGCAGTTCTGAAGAAATTCTTATATTTACCAAAGATGGTGAGTAATGTATAATGTATTATTGTGTTACTAAATGAAGCTTATTCATTTTTGACAAAAAACGTGTTGAAATACACATGATTTTCAATTCTCATAAACATACTAATCGAATCTCTGTTTATCATTAAATAAAGGCAAGCACGCTAGAAATGTAATAGTTACTTTCAAGCCGGAAGATTAACATATTTCTCAATCTGGTTTGTTTTACGTATATTTTTTAATCTGGTTTTGATTCAGACCCATCGAGTGCAGGCAGGGAATTATCTGACTCTTCCTTGCACACCACCTCAGAGCAATCCTCCAGCCGATGTATACTGGGTGTTAAGATCTCAAAATGGAAGATGGGAGGCTGTTAACTTTGATAAGAGAGTGTCCATGGACTTTGAGGGTATTCTTATATCTTTCATAACATCAGTACAGATAAAATTGTACGAAATCTACTTGCCAAAACAATTAATCTCCGAATAAAAGTACAGACTCGTGTTCCTTGAATTAAGTATAGATACTGATTCAAAGTCATACTTTTATAACGTTTGATAATTGTTCAAGTTTTCATGATATTTTAGAATAATAACAATCAGATAAGTATTTCGTTTTAGATGCGAACAAATAACTGTTAAACTATGTTGTTATTTACTGCATACCATAGATTCATAAAATTATGTTCATCCTAAAACATTGTAATAATACAATTTCTAACTTGATTTAAAAAGAAATATTACATTTTGTGTCACCTTTTCTGTTTAAAGCACATTTTATTCAACGTGTTCATTCACATTATCTTCTTGGGTAAAAAAGTAATGCTAAGTTAACATAAAAGTAGGGTATTTTTGTACCAGGAAGGTTACGATTCACGAACGCAAAGAAAATAGACGAGGCAGCTGGAAGAACATACTGTTGTATGGCCAGTAATTATCTAATGCGAGATAATGCCATTGGTCCCGAACATGAAGTATATGTTACAGGAGGTATTTAGACAATTTTCATCATTTTCTTGTCACAGAAGAGCTATGATAATTATTATAATACTATAAAATTACTGTTATATAACTGAAAGTTGTACGTTTAAAAAGTAATTATACACATTTCAATACTCCAAGACTGAAGAAACATATAATCATATTAGTGCATGTTACTTACTATTAAAGGAGTTCCAGTGATGTCAAAAACTAAAAACATTAAGTTTGAAATTCTTGCATGGATCAAATAATACATTTATGCAAATGTGAAAAACTTTGTAACGCTGTTTTGTGGTCATTTTGCACAATAAAAATACTTATTCTTGGAAAAGGAGTAGGGAATGAACCTAATTTTTCACACCTTTTGTTAGTCAAGACATACACTAAATAGTTCGCAAATCTCGAAAAAAAAAGTCAAGTCCTTTCAAGATAAAAAAAAACTTAAGCAGAATCCTTTTAAGGGCTATTTCGGCTAATTTGGCATCTTATATGAAATTTCTGTAGATAGACGTCTGTGTTAATAATAGGTTTAATAACTTATTAATAATCTGTTAGCAAATTAAGCCTTAAAACTCTTTTTGTGCATACATTTTCAGTGACTGAACACAAACGAGGAGCTCACGAATTATGGACGTCACCAAGCGACCAGTTCTTTCTTCGAGGACAAACTCTGCGACTGAAATGTATTTTTGCTGGCAGGTTAATTAAGTTTTCTTTTTTCCATTCATCAGTTTTGACATATATGATTGAATTTTCAAATATAAATTTTAGTACACATGTGTGCATTCATATGTCTATAGTATTATTTGAATATCTTTTACAAGTAATAGTATATGATAATTATTATCACTTTATGTTTCACATGACCGAAACAATGTTTCTTTGGTTACCTTTTTTATTGATTTTTCACATTTAAATTGCGTTGTATCATTTCAGTCCTACACCTGAAGTATACTGGGAGAGAATTGACGCACCTTTATCAGACAGAACAAGAATCAAAAGTTTCGGACAGGAATTACGTATCACCGATCTCGAGTATTATGATGCAGGAATGTACCAATGTATGGGTTTGAACTCCCAGTCTACACAACGAGCAACAAAAGCATTTATTGTTAGGATAGAATGTAAGATCAAAGAAAACCATAATAAAATCATCGTTTTGAAAATGAAATAAAGCATAATATTTTGATATTTTAAACTAACGAAAAAGAGTTTATGTGCATTTTCCAGCTTTAGGTAAAAATATTATCATTTGTCGTGGTTTGTCCATACACTTAGGTTATGACTTAAAATGGTTACCGGAAACTCTCCACGAAGTTTTTTATTTTTTATCGGAGACAAACACTTATCATATTAACCGTTTAATATACATGTACATTCAAAACTATTCTAGAAACAAATGCTACTTGCTATTTATCACTTAAAGATTTGAATAAAAATTAATATCTATATTGTTCATGCTTTTCTTATATATTTTTTCTTTGTTTCTAGCTTCGCCATATTGGAAGGACAAACCAGTTGATATAAAAGCTGGAGTAGGCGCTAAAGCAACGTTTATCTGTCGGGCGGCGGGCACCCCGACACCGGATTATACTTGGTTCATTAATGGTGTCCCTCTAGAGGATGGTATGTTTAGCTTATCAATGATAACAACAATAAGAAACACTCTTCAATCACAATTTTAGAAAGTTGCCTTAAACATCATGGTTAAATGTCAAACATGCATTTAATAATGTTCTAATAATGGATTAAGAGCAAGATAGATGTTGAATAATTGAAGAAAATGGCACTGAAAGTGCAGTAATGTGTCGTAAAGATAGCAAACTGTAAATAGATTAGTATTTTGACTTCCATACAAAATACTAATTCTCTATAATTATACTAATTGCCAACAGAGCAAAAGAATCAAAATATAATTCACCTTTATGTCAAAAGAGTATTTTTTGGGAAATTGTAACAAAGATACCAAAAATAAAACGTTTTTGAGACATTAATGAGGCATAATGGGCCTTTGATATTTTTTGCATATGAAACTTGAATAAGTAACATTTTGAACTGAACAGAATACTCTTGAAACTTGGAAGTCGCAGTATAACTTATAATTATAACAGTATAAAACACTCATTCATTTAAACTAAGAAAGACTGAAAATAAAATGAGTTGACAAAATGGAAAAAAACACAACAAAGATATCTTGAATTAGGAGTATCTTGAATTGAATACAAATCTTGTAAAGCCTTGTATTATTTCTTACTGGTGTATAAAATTAAAGGTAAATATGATTTGACTATGATTTTTAGCTCGTCTGTTTCGAAGAAAAAGTCGAGCTATTATTATTGCTTCGTCGTCGTAGTCATTGTCGTCGTGCAAAAATTGTAATATTGTCAATTATTCAAATATTTTAAAAGTTGACAACACGAACCTTTGGATACTTGCTTATCATGACAAGGTGCAGCTGTTAGACAAGGGGAATAATTCTGACAGCAATATTTTTGAAGTTATGCCCATTTATAACTTAGAATATTTATCAGACGATCGTTAACACCGCGTGCGTTGCTCTTGTTATTTTTACAGGACAGAACTCTCTGGGGGTGCGAGATCCACGGATCTACAATAATCCAAGGTTTTTCAAAGCAAACACGAACAATATAACATTGACCAATCTCACACTTGATGATCATATGAACATACAGTGTAACGCCAGTAACAAACATGGCTATGTCTTCTCTGATGTATATCTAAACGTCTTGGGTGAGGAAACAGTTATTTTTGTGATAATCAAATACCAATACAAAGTCATTCCTTTCAAATATAATCTTAAAATGTCGTTTATATATGAATATTAACTCGACACCACAAGCATAGATGAAAATGTAACGTCACACAGTATTGTAAAGCTGCAAAAAATATTTGATACAAAGAAGTTAAAGGAGTTTTTTTCTTTAAAAAGTTATTGCTGCTGTTCTTGTTGTTTTAACGAGTTATAATGATATTATCAATATTATATTGTTTTTTTTTTTTTTAATTTTATTTCCGCTAAAAACTTGAAATTTACTATTATAATGAAGTATACAGCGATTAGATATTAAATCTGTTGAAATATCAACGATTCTACTAATTTTTACACTGAAAGTGCTACGAAATAGAACGGTAAAATAATTTTGAAATTTGTATATATCATATATGTATATATTACTCTGACACATATTTAGCTGAGAAACCAACAATAGTAAAGTTACCTCCTGCACTAAAGAAGGTCACAGAAGGTCAGTCAGTGGTGTTGGATTGCCTGGTAACTGGTAAACCAGATCCTATTGTTTCATGGTATAAAGGCACAAGTCTGATCACTGGTGGACGTTTTAAGATAATGGCTAATGGCAATTTGCTAATTTCTGTACGTTATTTTGTCATAATTTAAAAAAACATCATTGACTTTCTTTGGCCACCATTATGTTAGAAAATATTCTAATAAATATATAAAAGCATTTGCGTTTTTTACTTGTGACACGCTACCATATTCTGTAATAAATAATTGTTTATGATTTGGTATGATCATATAACTGATAAGAAAAACAAAGGAACTACAAAACATAAAAACAAATTTGTAAACATACATCTTTACTAGTGATAAATAAATTTGCCCGAGACGTTCATGTTGAAATACAAATTGATACAAATTAAACTTAATTACCCAAAGTAACGATTATTGTTCCAGTAGTCGAATATTTTTAGACACTATCGTTGTATTTTTATTATGTTGTACAAACAGTATTGCTCAATATGTTTTTATGTAGAAAAAATACCACAAATGTATAAATTTGAGAACAATCTCTTAGCATGATTGAACATTTTACCTATAATTTGTTATGATTTGATTTGTTTCTGGTAGGAAGTGGTTATGGCAGACGCTGGGGATTATCGTTGTAATGCCAGCAATATATACGGATCATCCATGTCATCAACCTGCAAAACTCAAATTAGAAGTAAGATGAAGATTACTTTACTGAAACTATAAAATCTGTTGTTTTAAGTTGTACGTAGTTATAGGCTACATGCACTTGATAGGACGAAAGATGACAAAAACAGTTAGCAGTCTTTTATCTTGTGTGCTGTTCTTGGATAACATATTTTACGTTCTTTCTGTCGACTTTAAGCGTATCTAATCTTATTAACTTGCCTTAACGCGATTAGGTTTATACTAAGAACAATCTTATTTCAATATTATTTTCATATATTTGTTCTTATTTCAATATTATTTTCATATATTTGTTCTTAAATCATTTACCAAAAAATATAGAGAAAAAGTAAAAATCATAACATAAAGACATAAAGAACGCCCAAAAAATATTGCAAAATTGATTTGCTTGAGTGTATTGATGGGTGGTAGTATTGGAAACTAGAAGCTACCGTCCACGCCTTCAAGCACCAACTATATGCAGAGTTTGAAACATTAAATATGAAAAATGGCAACAATTTTGAATATACAAAACATACATGATGCGTTCATACGGCAGTAATGCAAGTCTTAGATTTGTTGTACCCCACTTTCAGGTAAAACACGTATCACACAGTTTCCGATGGACCTAGAGGTGGTAGCCGGTTACGAGGCGAAGTTTACATGTGCCGGGTCTACAGACTTTGACGAGGCAAGACATATGCAAATCTATTGGGAGAAAGACGATAAGAGACTAACCGTAGACCATCAAAGAGTGTCACAAAATCTTAATGACAATTCTTTGACGATATCCGGGACGGTTGTTAGGGATTCGGGAGTTTATACATGCATTATAACAAACGGTTTGGATGAAGATAGAGCGTATGCTATATTAACTGTTAAAGGTACCTCTATATTATGCTTTAATTCTAATTTTTGTGATTGTGTTGTTGATTTAACACTTATTAATTTTTTTTTTGTTTTTGGAAGAATACACAAAACCCATGTTTCTTCTTTAGAAGCTGCATAGTTTGATGTTACACTTGGTTAAAACACATTTCCGAAGTCATCGTTTTAACTAAGTTCATTTTCTTGTACAACTGTATATGTACAATGTTAAATACTATATGATAGAATTTGTTTTGTTATTTTCAAGTATAAAAGAAAAACAATTATTCACATGTCTTGTTCATGTGATACTTACTTTTTACGTTTTTCTTGTTTACTACAGGTCGACCTGACCCTCCATCATCTGTTGAGATTGAAAGATGTCGTGATGATTCAGCAACTATTCAGTGGATCAAGGGTATAGAAAATAACGCACCAGTTCAATATTTCATTATCCAATACAATACATCGTTCTATCCAGATCAATGGGTGTCTGCAAAGTCAGTGGACTACACACAAAGTACTGTAACCATTGACCTTCAGCATTGGGCCAACTACACATTCAGAGTGATTGCAACTAACAAAATTGGAACTGGATTACCTAGTCAACATACACACACATTTTGTCGCACTAACCCTGATCGTCCGAGAAAAAATCCACGAAATCTACGTTCAATTGGGGACACAAGGAAAACGCTTAAATTGCAATGGACGGTAAGTGAAATGACAGTAGGCCAATTTTAACTGTAACGAATATGACCTGCATAGCAAACTCTCTAAAATAAACATATCGTTAATGTATTGTCGAACTTGCTAGATCCCTATGTCCATATCATTACTAATCGGAGCATTCTGTATTTAGATTTATTGACGACAAAAAGAAACAAATACTAACTATTATCAATTTGGACAGTGTCTGAATGTATCCTTTTTTCAGATCCATAATATTCATTTGTCAGGTAAAATGTTAACAATTCTACAAAATTAGCTAAAAATTGAATATTTCCATTCGGAAAATGCATCGTGATATAACGATATTAGTTGTAAATATTTGATTCAGTGTCTCTTAGATCAAAGAGTGCTATAAAAGAAACAAATGGTCTAATTAAATATTTTTTTCTATGTCGCAATTAACTCTGAAGAGCACAAAATGATCGCAAACTATTGAAACACTTGACATTAACAACAAGTAACATCTATTACATTTGTTCATTACATTTGTGACATTATGTTCGTATTTTCATAGTCAAGTCGAGCTGAACTGACTATATATTTCAAAAGATTGACTGTCAAAATGGTGATTGACCAATAGTTCATATTGGGAAACGTTTTTGATAAACTTTAAAATCTGCCTAAAATATAGAAAGACTGCCCCACTCTTTTTATGAAATGAACGTTACAGGTTAATTCTAATGGATATATACAAAAAATCGTTTGGATCCATGCATTGTTTATTGTTCATGTGAATTAATTGTTTTAATCAAAATGAATTATGGCAAAATGAAAACTTATTTTGACTTTCATCTGTTCATTCATTTATACACTTGGATGGGCATAATGTCACTTTAACATTTATAGATAATATATATTTGTTTTTCGCTTAAGCCTTTATCTGCTTAAATTCTTTGTATTTGTCCGGCTTCCATTTATTCAATTTGTGGTTTATGGAGTTAGTAAGCAAACATGACAGAGCCTGGTTAGATGTGCAGGTTGGCCTAGCTCTATGCTGGTGGCAAATGCTAATCACTTGCGGCATCCATATAGAGATTAAATGATTACATATACAACCAATCAACTAAGTAGCATCATTGTATGAAATACCTCTTGAAATAATTATTATCATATAGTTTATTTTGTTTTTATAGCTTTTTTGTTATATACGTAGTTATTTGTTAAACAGCTTATTATATTGTGTACCTTTGCTAATTTATTTAGCTTACGTTTTTGTGTACAGTTTATTTTGTTGTTTAGCTTTTTTAGCTCACCTGTCACAAAGTGACAGGGTGAGCTTTTGTGATCGCTTTTCGTCCGGCGTCCGTCCGTCGTCCGTCGTCCGTAAACTTTTACTTTAAATGACATCTCCTCATAAACCACTAAGCCAATTTCATCCAAACTTCACAAGAATGTTCCTTTGGTGGTCACCTTTGAAAATTGTTCAAAGAATTTAATTCCATGCAGAACTCTGGTTGCCATGGCAACCAAAAGAAAAAACTTAATATATCTTCTTCTAAAAAACCCAAAGAGCTAGAGCTTAGATTTTTGGCATGAAACATCTTCTGGTGAGTGTCTACCAAATTTGTTCAAATAAAAGCCCTTGGGTCAAAATTGGCCCCGCCCCAGGGGGTCATTGATTTTCCCTATATACATAGAAAAAAAAACTTTAAAAAATCTTCTTTTAAAGAACCCAAAGGGCTAGTGCTAAGATATTTAGCATGAAACATCTTCTAATGGGTGTCTACCAAGTTTGTTCAAATAAAAGCCCTGGGGTCAAAATTGGCCCCGCCCCAGGGGGTCATTGATTTTCCCTATATGCATATAGTAAAAACTTAAAAAATCTTCTTTTAAAGAACCAAAAGAGCTAGCGCTAAGATATTTAGCATGAAACATCTTCTAATGGATGTCTACCAAGTTTGTTCAAATAAAAGCCCTGGGGTCAAAATTTGCCCCGCCCCAGGGGGTCATTGATTTTCCCTATATACATAGAAAAAAAACTTAAAAATCTTCTTTAAAAGAACCAAAAGAGCTAAAGCTAAGATATTTAGCATGAAACATCTTCTTATGGATGTCTACCAAGTTTGTTCAAATAAAAGCCCTTGGGTCAAAATTGGCCCCGCCCCAGGGGGTCATTGATTTTCCCTATATGCATATAGTAAAAACTTAAAAATCTTCTTATAAAGAACCAAAAGAGCTAGAGCTAAGATATTTAACATGAAACATCTTCTAATGGATGTCTACCAAGTTTGTTCAAATTAGAGCCCTGGGGTCAAAGTTGGCCCGGCCCTGGGGGTCATTGATTTTCCAAATTTCCTTATATGTGTATAGGAAAAACTTAAAAAATCTTCTTTGGAAAAAACCAAATAGCTAGAGTTTAGATATTAAGCATGAAACATCTTCTAGTGATTGTCTACAAAGTTTGTTCAAATAAAAGCCCTGGGGTCAAAATTGGCCCCACCCCGGAGGTCATTCATTTTCCCTATATGTGTAAAACTATAGCAAAAATTGAAAAATCTTCTTTGAAAAAACTCAAGTAGCTAGAGTTTAGATATTAAGCACGAAGCATCTTCTAGTGAGTGTCTTCAAAGTTTGTTAAAAAAACAGCCCTGGAGTCAAAATTGACCCCACCCCGGGGGACATTGATTTTCTTTATACGAGTATAGCAAAAACTTAAAAATCTTCTTTGAAAAACCCCGAATAGCTAGAGTTTAGATATTAAGCATGAAACATTTTCTAGTAAGTGTCTACAAAGATTGTTCAAATAAAAGCCCTGGGGTCAAAACTGGCCCTGCCCCAGGTGTGTCATTGCTTTTAACTATATGTGTAAAGAAAAAACTTTAAAAAATCTTCTTTTAAAAATCCCAACGAGCTAAACCTTAGATGTTTAAGATGTTTAGCATGAAACATCTTCTAATGGTTGTCTACCAAGTTTGTTCAAATAAAAGCCACAGGCTTTAAACTGGCCCCGCTCCCGGGGCCTATGTACAGGTGAACTTTCTTGCATATAGTTTATTGTATTCAACATAATTTGTTCTATGGCTTATTGTTATATAGAACTTATTTTCATTCTAAAGCTTTAATTTGCTGTCTTTATTATTATTTCATTTATGTATTCAGCCCATGAATGAATTTGAACACAATGGACCCGGATTCAAATACCAGTTAACCGTCAGGAGAATAGGGGGCTCTAAATATGATACATACAGTATAAGTAATTGGAGAAACAGTTTTATTGAAATACAGATTAATGAAACCGCCTACACACCATATAATGTGAGGCTTTATGCAAGAAACAGCCTTGGTGATGCGAAAGAAAACGCTGTGGAAAAGATCATGTATTCATTTGAAGATAGTAAGTTCGATAAACATTGAACTTTATTTCAGACATATTTTTGATCATTTTATTTGAATAATAAAATGTTATTTCACATATGAAAATCGGCCATTGATGTTTGTACATGTGTATTGGAAAAGAAACACGAATCATAACGACAAGTCTATCCCTCTTCATCTTATTGGTTACCCTCAGCTCCTGTTAGACAAACCACATTTCACACAATCCTCGTGTCGAAAGTGGTAAATCATAGCATATTACCTCCTAGTTTCAACAATGATCGCAAAATATCATTCTCTTTGTAAATGTTTATAGTGTGTTGTACTTTGTACTTTGTTTTCTAATTACGAAACGGTTCATATAAATATACACTTCGTTGAGATATATAAAGTAGGCATTTTGTACCATGGTAAAATTTTGCTGATGGTACACTTTCGATTTTTTCTCGTGAAACCGCGATATCTGTTAACTGCTTTGATCTTTATTGCCTACTTAGCCATGACATTCCACAGTTTTCTCTAGTGAAATGATTCACACCGATGTAGTTCTAGGTCGCTATGTAATTTTTGTGTAAGGGCAAAAGAGTCATCTGTCCAACATTATGAAATAAATTATAAGTACAAATATGATTTATAGCATTGTAAATTATACAATGTAATTAATGGCATCCTTGAGATAGGGAGTATACATTTTACTATAAATATGCTTAAGTATGACTTCGGATAAAGTCCAGTAATTTGTCGTTATTTAATAGATAACTGGGATGCATTCAAATAATCTGATTCATTCTACAGACAGTGCATATCTTATGAGCGATTAAATTATATATCATGTAAGGAATGATCAAATTGAAAATGTTGTTTATAGTTTTACTTATTCCCTAGAATTGATCGCAGAATAGTACCATGAGAAACTGTAAGGTTTAACTCAAAAATAAAGGAATAACTATTTTCAAGAGTTATTAAGGTACCAATATATTTAGCTGTTTATATCAAAAGTAATACTCTATAATGAATTGTCTTTAAATGTTGTCTTAAAAAATAACCCTTTTTATATTCAGTACCAAAGGTACGTCCCTTTGAGGTCAAAGTTAATAAAGTTGGGGATACCTTTGCACGAGTTTCTTGGCGGTGGAATTCAACATGGTTACACGATGACGGAAAGAAAAAAGAAATCAGGGGTGAAATGAAAGGTTTTAAGGTAATTTTATATTTCTTTACTAACCCATATATATTGTTCTTGGCTGTACGGTATTCTTAAAGTTCTTTTCTAACCGATATATTATCTGTTGACGTTAACATTCGGTAAATGGTGAAAGAACTGATATTGTCCCAGTGGAACGGTTTAGAGATAAAAGGGCTCAATACATTTATACATGTGCAAAAAAAATATTCTTTGAAATATGTTTTAAGTAACGTTTTCAATTCATTTAAATATTTACGATAATCAGAGAACATTTTAGATAAAACATTTTTATATAATTTATGATATTTCGTAATTCTTATGAAAATCATTTGTTCATACTGCATTGCATGGACTTTTGTAAAAACATTTCTAAATAATATTCTTCTTTATAATTTATGTTTGTTTCATGGTGCATAAATTTGTTGTTGTCTTTATTGCAGAATTTCTGTCAACCGATCAAATTAATAAGTGATAAATATTATATCTTTCCAGGTTCAGTATTGGCGAACAGATGCAAAGACAAGCTCTTTCTATGAGCATGAAGTTTTAGTTGAGAACATTAAACCGCCGAGTTTTTCAAAGAATGGCCAGACAATTTTGACAGAAGTTGTTGTACACAAGCTATACCCTTATAGCAATATGACACTTCAAGTCCGTGTCATCAATAACTATTATGCCGGACCACCGAGCCAACAAGCTTTCTTCCAAACGTTTGAAGGAGGTTGGCACTTAAGTTTAATATCAAAATAAAGAAAATCTTACTCTGTTAATTTGTCTAACGTAAAGATATTAAATCTGCTTGTTTGAATGCACAAAACAAATAAATATACATATAATATTATAAAAATGATTGGTTAATTTAAATTAGATTTTGGAACATCGATTTAGAAATTAAAAAGAATTACAACAGCGTTAGTAACACTTAACCAATCAATATATTTTTACAGTTCCCGGACAAGTGCAATGGCTTACAGCGAAAGTAAGGAGCAGCAATTCCATAACTTTAACTTGGAAAAAGCCGACACAAGAGGATTGCAATGGTGTTTTGATGGGATACGAAGTTGGCTACCAGACAGGTACAAAATTACTTTTTAAAAGAGCAAACATTCAGGAATTAAAACTTATTTTAATGAGTTTTTCCGATTCTGATTTGTGTTTGTTTTTCAAATTGTCTTATGTCAAGTCTAAATCTGAATGGTAGATAGCAAAACACGTGTATTAATTTTATAGATGAAGAAGAAAGGACATTCATTTTTTCCATATGTTTCATGAGAATAAATGTTGAATACGCACTCAAATGTTTTAATGCAAATCTTATATTTCGTTGCTCTCTAATGTGTATGCATTTGCTATATACTCGTACTTTAATGTATATATTAATATTTTCTCAATAAAATCGACGTAAATTTATAAATTCTTATTTATAAAATATTGGTGAATTTCTCTTATTTTAGTGGATGGACTCATTCTTGGGATTCTTCAAGACAGTGTTCTGTTTATTAAGAATCCAGATATCGAACGTGCAATTCTTGGTGGACTTTCGCCGGCTCAAAAGTACAGAGTATATGTGTTTGCTCGAACAAGTCGAGGGAGAGGGGAGGCATCATTTGTTGAGGTGTCGACATCATTAGAATTGTGTATGTTACGTTCAGAGAATTATAATTTGAAATACTAGTACCCAGGATTGATGTGAATTACTATCATAGCAAATTAAGCTGGGTAAAAAGCAGCTTACACATATCCACATTCCATCGGATGCAAAACTATAACACTTTATTTCATGAAAACTGTTTACATTTTTATAAATGTTATTATTTTTTGCACCTTTTTCATTCTGTGCTGAACAATTTTTAATAAAAAGTTTTGAATTATTTAATAGATATACTCATATATCCAGATATTTTCATCTTGTTGAAGTAAAGTGTGCGCATAATAAATTACTAGTACATTGTACTACGGCTTTTGCGATGCAAGATATTACAGGCCTCAAAAATAATCAGAACTCCTGATGCGAATTGAAAATCTTGAATTTTATATAATATACTCCAAGTTGATATACATCAGCTCTTTTTCAAACTCGAATCTGCAAATAAGTAGCTCAGTATTATTATTTCAATCTGTATTCTTTAAAGTAAACATCTGTAACAAGAACTTTGATGTTTTCAGTAACAACACCGCCTGTCTTCAATGTATTTGATATAAAAAAGTCAACTGTAAATATTAGTTGGGCCACTGAAGAAGCATCCTTTCAGCATGCAGTACATTATGTAGAGTTTAGAAAAGAAGGTATTTGTTGTTAACAATACTGTCAAGTACTATAGTATCCTAGTTGTATATTTAGTATTGTCATGTTTCAAACTTGTGGCGATCTTTTTTTTTTGCAAAACATGTTTGTTATGTTGTACCTTTTGAAAGCCTCTTTGTTATGTAAACAAATGTTTTAAAATTTCACCTTCGATCCCCATGCACCTTTCAATTGCATATACCAGAGTGTTCATATAGTTTAGACCTAGGACAAGGTGTCTGATTACATTATTTTTCTCATGATAGCACATTATTTTTTTATATTTCAATGTTTAAAAACTGTTTTAGGCGCTTCGGCTTGGTACAGAACAATGGACGAAGTGCAAAGGAGTTATTCTTTGGTAACTGACCTCGAGGCTGGAACAAACTATGAGATACGGGTCGTCATTTTTAAAGGACGGCATCGTTACTATAGTAACAGCAAGACAATAGCAACAACTGCTTTTTGTGAGCAGAAATAACCAGATGTTTTTGTTTAATATCAAATTTTATATTGTTTTAAATTGGAGGAAATATATGACAAGCCTTACCCTTCTAAATTGTCAAACATACATATTAATATAAAATACTGTCAGCAGTTGAAGTAAAACTGTCAATACTATTTAAGGTTGACAACACAATAATTTGTTTGACTTCACTTTAGAATTAAGAATATGTTTTCACTTTTGAAATATTTATCAATATATTTAGGAGAGAGACAACTTGGTTAATATACCTTCTACTCAATGACATGATCGTTTGTTTGAATCATAACTACTAGTCCTTGTTGGTTTTGGAAAGTCCATGACTCAGATTGATATTAATTAAAGGAAATAATTTATCTTAAATCAATATGTTTAATTTTTTACTTTAGGTAATGATTTACTCGTACAAATATAAATTTAGTGATACTTTATGTTTTTACAGCCTACCCACGTTCCATTGCTGTAAATTATGTTTGGTTTATACTAATGTTGACGTCAGGTATTGTAACAATTGCTGTTTCCATATTGATATTCATGATATACAAACAAAGAAGGAATGTCAAAGGCATGCCAAGATACAAAAGAGGCAGTAAGTAAATTGTTTTCAATATCTGTTATAGATTCTAAATACACGGTGATAATATAAATGAATATTTGAATTATTATATTTTATTTAGTGTGATTTACATTGTATATCATAACAATGAGTATTTGTTACAACAGTGATCACATGTATTGTTTATTTGCATTATGATTAAAACATATGCTAACTATAATGTCTTTTTAAAATAGAATTTTCCGTATTTTTTTAAAAGAAAATGCCATAGTAAAAGTCGGTTTTCTATGGCAAATTCAATATAGAATGACAAACACAAATTATTCACAAAGCTTCACAAAAGGTAGTAAAGATAGAAAAATCAAAACATATAATTTTAATTAGAATATCAGAAAAATATTTTTTAAGTTTGCATTTTTGAAAAGAGTGTAACAATAAATAATGGATTTGCCAAAACACTGGTGTGAAAAAAAGCAAATTTGTATCACATATTCTAATGATTTGTGATAAAATTGTATCCCAAACAAATGTTTTTTGTCCTATGTATTTCAGTTGTTATAATGGACAGTATATACAAACGGCGTTTCATTGACAAAGCTGATGAAGATGATAAAGGTGATAGACCTCTTGTTAAAGATCAATCAGAAACCAGCCACGGTGCAAAGCAAGGACATTTTGTTAAAGAGATACGTTTCAATCGAGGAGGTGCTTATGAACGTGTAAGAGATGACAATAAATATGTAAGATGTATAGATAAGACAGATATTAGTGATGAGGAAAATAAATCCAGCAATAGAAGAAGCACTATGTACAGCAGTGGTGAGAGTAATAGTAAAATTGACTCAATCAGTGATGACTATAGCAAAGACAGTGACAATGATTACTCTGATAGCGATAATAATTTAAATGGAAGTGATCAATATTTTGTAGATAGCCTAAACTATAAACAACCGTCTATTAATTTAGACTCCAGTACAGATGATAACACTTCATCCACAGATGTCAGGAAAGGAAAAACGATAAAAGTTAAGTCTGGAGAAACAGATGGAGACTCTGATATGGATTTTGCTGATGATGACGAGGATGGTATTGATGAAGAGTGCAAAGATAAACATGATAGACACAATTTGATACAATATGGTAGAAGACGGGAACAGGGTTTATTTCGGTAAGTACAACATATGTAGCATCAGAACTGAACACTTGTTTATGTTTAGTAGAAAGTATTCATAGGTATTTAAAAGTAAGTTATCACATTTCTAAGACTTCCATTCTGAAATTGTATTTTTTTCATTCCATAAAAGAACATAAAGAAAGGTGTTTAAGAAATTGACATATGATGTAGTTTAGTTTATTATGTCATTATTGAATGAAAATTTCCTTTTCAGTGAGAACATAAAATCACAGAAATCTACGAAAAGGAAACTTTTGAATGATTTAACAAATAGTTCAAATGGAAGACATGGTCAACCACGATATATCAAAAAGAAATATGCATATAACAGCAAACCGTCATAGATGTGTTTGGCATAATGGCATATGTATTCTATCAGAACTCCACACTGATAAATATGTCACGATAAAGTTAGAGGTAAACAACGTTCGTTTACATGCCATAAAGACAAACTTCTAGACAGTTGTTTTGTCTTTAATAGCATACCAACATACGAATATTGGAGACATTCTGGTGGTGAACGAAGAAGAATGTCTGCGATGACTGGACTGACTTTTGTAGGAAACAAACTATACGATATATATATATATACATACACACACAACATCTGTTCTTTACTTGAGATTAAACTTGTTTGCAATTTCTCTTTCTGCGTATATACATATACGGTTCCATATACCAGGTTCATAATCTGAAATTTACTAGTGCTTGTACCTTTAGGCGATCAAGAGTGTTTCCTTTTGTATATGTGTAATACCATACGGTAATGAGGAATGTCGATTTAGCTTCTACATTTTCAAGATACCAACTTGAGATTATATTAGATAAAAAAGTACTATAAAATTGAGACATTGAAGTAAATTATCTACAGTGTTTAAGAAAGACAGCAGTAATTTGTACATGGAAATTTCATTCATTTTCATAGTAAAAATCGACATATATTTAGAATATATTAAACTATATTAAATGTATGGGAAAGGATATGTGTCGTTTTCACTTTTCTTTGGTTTTTTTTTTTCAATTACTGTTGTTATTTTGTTTAACAAAGTAGATAAAAAATTTATAAGGTAATCAAAGTATATTAAACTACATATTTCAAGTATGTGTTTTTTTTTGCTTTTATTCAATCGATACAAGACATGTCTGCTTTTGTAATAAATAAACTTGTAGCACAATGTTACGTTATGATAAAAAAAGTCCAAAAATGGCCATATCTATAAAACCCTAATCGCCTTATAGCAATAATGACCTTCATAAACCTAGTGGGCCTGATTTCAGACATAACGTGGCAATTGTTTTAGAAAAAGCCTTCATTATCATGAAAGTACCATTATTTTGTTTACGTACATTGTTTACTTATACTTGTTTTGAACATTCATTCCACAAAAAAATAACATGTTAAGCAAGGTTGATTATGGGGTAAGAAAATAAGCATGCGTAACAAAACATTTCAATTAAATTTGTGACAGTTATTTGCATTAATTGCATTGGTCCGTTTTGAAATTATAAAAAAACATCGGTGATATTATGGCTCCTTAATACAAAAAAGGAGTTTGAAGGCATTAAAATTCGAACTTATTTTTTTCGATGCATTTCATTAATCCATGGATATGTTCAGCAACATATTTACTGATTATGTTAAAAGTTTTTAAAATATTTAGTTTGTTTTAAACATGAAAAAACCTGGTATATTAAGACATTCATATTTACTAACGTGTTTAAAGTAATTATAGAATGTCTTTCTTTAAGACCTTTATCCGGAAACCATTGAGTTACGAAATATATATTAAAGAACATTTTATAGTATTTGTGTATTGTTTATCACGTAGCATGTTTGCTCAATTAATCAACGTGGTAAAAGATTCATTGCGAGATTAAGTCGAATTAATTCTTTCGTCTAATACAATGTACAATTGATTGGCTCAAAACGAATTACTTTCACTTCTTTTCTTGTTGGCATGTTGCATAATCGTTCAATCACCGGCTATTTATCAAAATAATGGCGGAAAAATCAAGTGTACGATATTTACTTGTCATCTGTAAGTCGCCATACTGCATTTGACGTGATTAAATCTAATCAACTGAAAATTTGCGATGTTGTCGTAGTATATGCGTGGTAGTAAATCATGATTAATTGTTATCCATAAAAATATGCCACATGTGAAAATGCTACTTTATTTGCTGGAAAAAAGAGATCAAATATTTAAGATATTTTTCACATAGAAAAATATATAATAAATAAAATGTGAACGACTCATAATATTTATTGCCCTTCCTTTTTATCTTCATTCTCATATAACACAACTTGTTTACAGTGCATATTCTATGAAACCTTTTTGTACCGATAAAACGACCGTGCAGACTCAGAAATATATGAAAATCTGTCATCCTATATATTGATAAAGGAAGAAAAGGGAAAGAGAATTCGTTTAAATGGTGACATCACGAAACAAAATGAAGGTCTGTTGTTATATGGTGAAAAGGTGAGCTTGCAACATCAGCGGCATTAACATCATCATATCCTTGATATACAATATCTAAGGTACAAACGTTTAAAAAGGCCAACAACTTTCCATCTAATTATATTCTATTTAGGGGTAAAAAAACGTGCCAAAGAGCCTTTTGGAGTCAAAAAATTACCGTATTTATACAATGTATAAACGCATGTACTTTAACCAAAATTATTACTAAAATGGGCAATAGGATATGGGAATTTTATGCCTTGTGTAACACCAGTCAGACATTTTAGTCATTACATATCTTGACATTTACAATATAATGTTTAACTAATGTATGTGGCTGCATACAATCCTGGAAATAAAGCTTAAATAAAGAGAAAAACAATTGGCTGATTAAACGTGGTATATGTTTGGATAAAGGATTAAGGTGTCTTAACAAAATCACGTCCAGTAACATCTGTTATCAAGCAGAAACTCAATTAACATATTCTTCAGTATATAAACTGGGATCATTATAGGCTTCTTGAGACTCCAAAATTGGAATATTGTCACTAGCTCAGTCTCGGAGTCCGATTTCATAGTCGGCCACAGCGGGATATTTACAAAATGTTTTTCCGCGTGTTTTCGGCCCTTACATGTTTGGCACTGGCTTCCGGTATGTTATTAGATATCTATTTTTCATTTTTTAACAACAAAAAAATATATAGTTTCCATTGAGACGGATTACAAAAAGTCAGTGTTTTAAACTGTTTTATATAATCGGTAAAAAGAATCAAGAAATGATATATAAAGCAGTAAGTGGATATCTATTATAAATTAATAAATGTTGAAATTAAAGCAAAACAGAATATTATTTTTAATGTATTTATTTAAATTATCTTAATTATTTTGCTTTCATTTTTCTAGAAACAAATTAATATGACTAGGAATTTATTTCATTGAAAATTATAGGAACAAGAAGTCAAACATGTTTGTATGTTGAAAGTTAGAAACGACATGCATTTTAAATCGTGATTTACAACATATATCCATAGTTATATTAATTTTTATAAGAACCTAAAATATTTTTTACAAGTAAAAATGTAGTTACGTTTACCGCTTAAATCATTTACGTAACCAAAGACCCTTATTTTTTCCACAGTAGTTATCTATAAGCTGTCAAAATATGTAGAAATTGTTCATAGTCCGTTAGTATCCTAAAGAATATTGCTCATAAATAGCATTTTTTGTCCGATTATGCATAATGCAATGTAAGTTTCAACCTTATTTGTTTATATTTATATAATAAAGATGAATTATTCTTAACTCTAAGACTGACATAATATCTGAATGATACTGCAAGAACCCTGTTTTTTCCTAATAGTATCATTACTTCATTTTTTAATTTAATTTATTTCATTTTTTTCCTTATGTTTTGTAAAACAAAACAATTTAATTAAAACTTGCCTTTTAAATATTTCATGTAATAGATTACACCTAGGATTACTTTTTTTGTATTACATCGCACTATCTGTTGTTAATTAACAAGGAGATTCAGAATACTTTATGAACAAATGTTGTTTTACAAATTTTCTATTGTTTTCCTGTTTTATCTATTTTATTAATAAAGATATATTATTTATTGGTTTTAAAATAAAACCAAGATTAGGACAGCTTCATAGAAACGCAATTATACAAAGTAATTTGTATAATAAATATGATTCTAAATAAATTCCCCAAAAAATCTTGACCTGAGGTACTTTAAGGACATGTAAAAGAAACAAAACTAAAGTACACGAAAATTAAAAACTAAAACTAAACGAGTTTATACTAAAAAACACGCATGTGATTTGTCTAGATAAGTCGCATTAATATTATATATTTTTACATTATTGTTTGTCTCATTTTAAATAATGAAATTATTAATTGAAAACATGCATACGACAATTCATTCGCAGGTGTTCAAGAAATATACTGAATCAGACTGACATAAATGAAACATTATTACAATTATATTATATAAATTTTAAAAATTGTCTACTTTCGCGATTTAAAAAGTAATGCTTTTTAAGATAAAACTTTTAAAAGGCTAAACTTTATCCGAGATAAAAAAATGAATTAAATTAATCAACAATGATTTTCCAAACATACGTTAAAGTACATAGAGAACTTGTAAAAATATTACTACCCCACTAAAGACAGAGATGTTAGATGTTGAAATAGATTTTGAAACAGTATATTGTTTTGTTTAAATTGAAATAGATAAATTTTGCATATAAAAGAAAAATATTTCTGTTTAGCTATGGCACATGGAGATGACTTATTTTATACCTCAACAAGTAGTTCAGTTTAACATTATGTCATTGCAAAAATGTATGGAAGAATTTAATATTCAGCTGCAATTGTAAACAATATACCAATATAGGGAAATATTGTGCCAAAAAGTTGTTTTTAAATTATCGGGAGCCCTACCATGCAAAACATTAAATATTTTTTGGTTTAAGATTAATAAAAGAAAGGTATCAAGTAAATACCGCATACACAGTTTTATTCTGTTTCGCCTTGGCCACCAGTATATAAAGGGGTAGTTTAACTTGCGCAACGGTATACTGCTCCTTGACTAAGTTTAGATTTTCATCTTGATATCCCCAAGTCAATGGACAAGTCAAAAATTGTTGCTTGAAAAAGTCCATCTAAGACATAGATAAGAAAGACCTTTGTATGGAGCAGTATCATTTTCTGGTTTTAAGTCAAAATATATGTCAGATTTGAAAGAAGCACGAAAAAGTAGAAATAATGCACCTTTATCTAACAATTACACTTTTGTAACCACCTTTACTTTCAGCTTTTGGAATTTACATAACTATATGCATAAATATATTAGGGTCAATTGACATTTTTCATTTTCACATTTTAAACCGCAGTGTAGATACATATTTATATGGTATTGTTTGAATTCTTCTTTTCCAAAAGTTGATGCCGGTAGTCTAAATATGTGTACAAATAATACTAGAAGCAATGCGTGTTGTGATGGGAACCTACAAAATTACTGGGGTGAAGGAGAGAAGACCTGCTGTTGTGGTTCAGAAAGTTTTCATCACGACAAAGGGATTTGTTGTAATGGAGAAAAGATTGATAGATTGGGCATATTCAAATCTATTGAGTGTTGTTGTAAGTTAACTTGTTCATTTCTTTTAGTTTCACCTCTTTATGATATACATGATCTATTAGATATTGTATTATATCTATTTTTATCGAGAAAAATATATAAAAGAGTGATAAAAACCAATTTATAATCATAAAAAAGATATTAACAATGATATATTATGAGACATAGTCAGGAGTGAGTGATTGCCGACTGCTATATGTTTTACATTCAATGAATTGTTGACTTGTTTAGAGTTAAATAGTTGATACTTTTGCAAAACTCTGATATTATGGAGCATATTTCAACAATGAGCTTAAGTGTTATTATTTAAGTATTGTTATTATTACTATTATTATTATTATCATTATTATTATTATTATTATTATTATTATTATTATTATTATTATTATTATTTTGGTGGTGTTTTACCTCGCACCAACACCGGATTGGTAATATGCCGACTTTCCAACTTTACTTGTGGGAAAGACCACAGGTGTCCCTCCGTGTATTGTTTCGGGCACGACCGACACCTCAGTAGAACCACCGCCGTGCCTTAAAGAGACACCACTGAGGCGTAAACGCCTAAATACATAACATTAGAATTTCTTACATGATTGAGCTGGGGCACTTTAAATAGAAATATATGCAAAGATAGTTATAAAACTCCCTTCCATTGGTGTTTCCAGCAAAACTAGGGTAACCACAATGTTTCTTCATATGATATAAGCATATTTTCAGTTCTAGGAAGATGACTCGAAAGTGTTTAAAATAAGCGACAGGCTTCCTTCACTACCGATCATTTATTATTGTTATTGATTTCAGTCATTTTTATGTTGAGGATTGCATTGACTAAAGCTGCTACTAGGGGCTTTGAAAGAGGTCCAAAGGCTTGTAAAAGATATAATTTCACAATCTTACATAGATTGACTTGACTCTTAAAACGGAAAAATACGAAAAAATTTAATAATGAAATATACTCATAATTTATTTGAAAAAACAATCAATATTTAGTACGATTCACACTTAATTGTCTCTGATAAAAAGGTGAATTCATGCCCGAATGAGAAACGAGTCTGGCAAGTAATATGATAAGGTTTGCTGTTAATTAAAGCCTCGTAAGGTGAAAGATGGTGTGTCCTTGAGCAAGAAACTTAACACTCTGCTTCCCGTTAAGGATTCGAGCTTGTGTATAAGCTTGTAGTTTCCTACCAAATCGGACTTAAAACAAAGACCTATTTCATCTTGTTTTGTGTACACGGCTACCGAGGGACCTCCCTTTTCTAGGTTTTTAAAAAAATTATAACTATCAATAAAATAATTAGACTTTTGTTTGACCGTGTTTAGATTAGTTTACAAGTAACACTGATCACGCTTGCATTTACATAAAAAATACTTGGTTAATGATTTCACATTTTTAGGAATATTGTCAGCAGTAACTCGTTAATATTTTTCAGAACGCATGCCAAGCTCGACATGCCTAATTCGTGTAATTTTAATTCAAACCACGTGAAGAAAAATGTTAATATAAACTGTAATTTTATTTTTGCTTTCTATTTCAGCATGCGCTTCCCCAAAACTGGATATGGTATTTGTCTTAGACACGTCAGAAAGCGTCGGTCGGGAAAACTTTCCTCTAATTACCGATTTTGTATCAGATCTTGTAATAAGGAAGGAAACGACAATTGGTCCTAATGACGTTCAAGTCGGTGTTTTAATTTACAATCATTTTGTTTTAAAACAATTTGATATGAATGAGTACTCCGACAAACTGTCTCTGCAGAATGCAATCAATGCTATAGAATATAAACCAGGGAGTACAAACACTGGAGAAGCTATACAGTAAGAAATATTCATTTCGTGAGAAAAAAAATGTTCATGATAAAACATGTCTTCTTGCTTATTTCTTTTTGTCACAAATGTCATGTTTTCCCATTCATTTCAATATAACATGAGTGACAACAAAATGAAATAAAAATATAACTTACAAACACTTTTAAGAATTCAGATAGTGTTTATCTTGAAACACTCAAAGTGTGTTGACAAAATGCAAATAAAATCAGACTGAGTTATCCCTATTTGCAATTGTATTTCATTTCAAGACTGAAAAACTATATTTTCTTGTTTGCAGAGTTGCAACTGATGAGATGTTTAAACCAAACAAAGGAGATAGACCTGACATTCCCGATCTTATGTTTGTTATTACAGATGGGAAATCTATCGACAAAGAAGACACTTTATTACAAGCTAAAAATGCAAAGGAAAGAGGGATAAGGTAAACATATCAAACAACATGTTAATACATGTACTTTCCTTCTTGATGTTGTTTAAAATTCTGGCACTGTGCTACGACAGGAGAAATAAAAATCAAAATAAAATCAAGCGATTCATTTAACATAAATTCTACACTAAATCAGCGTGGATAGATTTATTGACAATACTCTTCCTGGTAAAATAAAGATAAACAACACCATGCATATCCAGTAACGCGGACATGTGCAATTAGCGTAAAAGTAACACCGAATCTGTTCAACGCTATTGCCAAAATGAATTACACAGTAAGTAAACACACCAAAATATTTTATTCTAAATCAAATTTAAAGAAATGAATTTACATTATACTTTAACCAGCATTACAATTTTTTTCGGTAATAAGAATACTTTTTTTAGATCATTTGTGAGAAAGACTAACTGATTTATCTTTTGAATGTGACGTTTGTCTTCCGACAAATAATATGTACATTAAACATATTTAAAACAATTTTTTATATTCTGTTTACCTAAGACATTTGTCAAACTACAAGTGTTGTATAACAATAGAAGGAAGTTGGTTAAAATAGGATTTGACTACTTTTAATGAGATAACCGCCGTTGCTGCAGTGCTTCATGTACAAATTAGGCGTTACCTCGTAAAATGGTCTCAATTACGTTTTATCTGCTAAATTAACTGCAGTATGGCACGAGTAGATTGGAAAATGTCTCAGGTACACCGAATTTAAAAATCATAAAGTAACATGTACCTTATTGTATGTAAAGATATCAACGATCAACGAAACCAAAAATCGCCATCAAATCGCTAGTCAGGTCGTCATTTTCACGAAATAAACACTTTCATGGAAATATTTTTGATGATTTTTAAAGTAAAATGTCTCAGCAACCATATGCGCTAACACATTTTTTCCAATTCGATGTACATTAATAAATATTGGTCAATTTACATATCGCGGTGCTCGTTTTAGCCACTAAATCGCACAATTCTGCGTTACGTTTGCACAATTCCAGCGTTATTTGCACATTCCTGCTTTACTGGATATACACGGTGAACAATGCCATTACTTTTTTCTAAAATAAATTGGGATTATCCCATTCATTGCTTAAATTTGATGTTATCATTTTTTTTAATTTATCATACCTCTTAAACATTTATCAATAGATTGATTTTAATAGAATGGTTTACTTGATTGAAATGTTTTTTTAGACAAAAATGAATGCATCCCTTATGAAGCAAGAAGAAACGCTTTACTCCTGATTTTTTCACATCACGTTAGAAATGTCGCAATAGATATTTAATGTGCATATCTTTATATTCTACATTGACCTCAAATTCATCACAACTAACCAGTTAATATCGAGGAATCCCTGTACAAAAATGTAGACGAAAATAGATGGACAGACGTTCATGAAATGTATTAATTAGTACCGGTATTATAAAAAATATGAACCATTCAGTCAAAGAAAGAAAAATGAAGTATAAGTACATTTCTTAACGTACTTGGAACCATATTCTTAATCTTATCAATGTTAAAACAAAACTAAACTAAAACAGAATTTCTCTTGACGTAAATTAGTTCGTGATACGAAATTTTATTGTTATTTTTTTATGTCCTATGTTATACAAGTCAGCATTCTTTTTTTCTTGTTTGGCGATCTTCAAGACTTAGTTTTACTATTTTTGTCAGAGTTATAGCTGTTGCCATTGGTGAGGACAAGGATTTAGATACCGAAGAGCTTATTGGTATAGCTTCAAAACCAGCAAATGAAAATCTCTTCAAAATCGGAGATTTTAAAAGTTTAAAGACGCTTGAATCCAAATTCTTTACAACAATTTGTTTTGGTATGTTGTTAGCTTCATTTTCTTCTAGTTAAGCTAATCTTTTATTGTAAAATATGTGTGTTTTGATTTGTTTTTGCCACCAAATTGAATCACGAATGCGTCTGTAAACAGATACATTTAGTGGCGGTTATAAATTGGCAGATGAAGCAAATAATTCTTAATTCTAATCTTGTTAGTTTCTTTAAAAAATCCTACATATTTTTCCAATAACATATTAATAAATATTATTGATTTTAGCATATACAGAACTAATAAAATTGTTTTCACTTTTCAGACCCACCATTTGGTCCACCAGAAACTGTCGTTGGTAAGACTAATAAAAACTCATTATATTGCGTACGTAAAATAGGAATGAAAATATGTAGCTGAATTAAACAAATTATTCATATTAGTCGTGCAGTTCGTGCATTTCTTAATTGATAAAACAAGTACAAGTGAAGAATTTTGAATGTTGCCCTTATTGAAATATACAAAATAAGTGTAGAAGTTATTATTTTTCACAAAGATTGAATTATATTATCATGAATAAGTAAGAAACTCAAAGGAAAAGACAAAAATATTAATATATTCTTTAAAACGGTTTTTTTATGTTTTTTGCTTTCTAATCAGAGCGTTGTGGGAGCCAGCCCTACGATCCTAAAACACAAATGTGTTGTCAATGGTCGGTTACTCCTAGAATTGCTGGTGAAAGGACTAAATGTTGTGGTACAATGTCCTACGACCCAGAAAAGGAGATTTGCTGCGCTAATGATCATACGTCCCCACTGGTAGGCGGTGCTAAAACAGAATGTTGCGGGTTGGAGGCAATTGATCCAACAAAATCGATATGCTGCGGTCATGACGTAAGTTTTAGAGGAATTAAATATTTTCAGCATCATAAAAGTTCGGATGTTGTTATTTTTTCTGGTCCTTCGGGATCATTGATTCTAATACTTGATTATGTCAGGGTCTTTCAAATAGAGTGGTCTGGAGACCGACCAATTTTACGAAAAATGCTGTCTCGGTTGAGTCACGTGATTGGGTTATCTACCGACCCTGATATGGCATAGAACATCACCATTCAAAAATCAAATTATAAGATAATGTTTTGTTAAATCAATCAAAAATTACTAAAAACTAAATTTGACTACATTATATTATCAGGTTTTACTTTAAAAGTAACAATTTTATAGATTTGCAATGAAATTAGAAATTTTTCGTTCCCGGTGTGAAGATAAAAATCTACTGCTCATATTCGAAAATAGGTCCGAGTTTCATGAGCTTTTTTAAATTTATGCATTGTTCAATGACAAAATAGAAATTGATTTTACAGAGAAAAGATGTTATTAAATCGTATCATGTAAAAGTATTATAATATTTCACGATGCTATTTGCAAATATTTGATGTTTAATTTGGTGCATTTTCAAAATGGCGCCGATTATCGGCAAATATTCTGAACAAACAGTCTATGTTTTTTTTAACAAATATGGCTTTAAAAACACAATTTCCTGAAATATTTATCCTTTTTTCAAAAGTTTAAAGATTTTTAAATAACATCATGTCGTTGAAATTTTCTTTTTGCTCTTGTATTTAATATTCGCCCTTTTCTTGAACACTTACATAATTTGTTTATAGCAAACTATACCGATTTATACTGAGACATGTTTAATTGTAGGGAGAAGGGTTTACATAGCGTGTTTCCAGACCATTCTATTTGAAAGACCCTGATTATGTTAAAGATTGTATATTTCTTGAGTCGGTTGCAGAGGGTGTGAGAAACGTTATTCTTGCAAACAGTTTCAATCCAATCGAGTCTGTGCTATTGTCATTTTATTAGATTTTGTTTACATTGCTAGTAAGGTATCTCAAATTTTCCAGATATTTAAAGACATTTATTGAATAAAAACGACTATGAAATTCCACATCGATGATAGTGTTTTTTTAGATATTCTGTGTTTTTAAAATGTCGCATTGAAGGTTCCATGATAACTGCCGTATGAATAACTTTGTGGAGGTTTCTAAATTCAAAATTACACCATTATCTTGTTTAAATGCGAAATTCTGCTTAAGCCGGTGCTTGAGGGTCTGGACGGTAGCTTACAATTTTATTACCGTCTATGAACAGGCTTAATCAAACCGAGCCTGCAACATTTTCAATTGTGCCTTTTTGGGTGCACTCTAGGGATTCTGTTTTTTATCTGTTTCAATATATTGCTTTCTAATACAAGATAATTTTTCATGTTCAACGTCAAAACAAAACATTTTACAAGGCTCCGAAAGTATTGAGCTTTTATCAGCTAAACAATACAGCAGAGCCATAATAATAACGTGTAAGGTGTCATCAATAATTTTTCCGACAAAAGGGTTAAAAAAACTGATCATTTGTTTGTCAAGAGGATATCAGTTAGTTTGAACATTTTTGTTGGCAATTGAAGTTAGTCCAATGGCTGGAATGAAGAAACATGTTTTCTATAAAAGAAGTAATAAAAGGAGTACTGTATGTTCATTTTTATCCGGTATTAAAAATTTCAAATTATTTTAGTTCTTGTGGGGTACGATTAAATGATGAAACAGACTGACTTTTTCTAGACATTTGTTGTGCATGTAAATTATGCGAAATGTTCAATTGACCCCCTATAAAAATTGTTTTCATTTCCGTGAAACATTGGAACAGCCTCAATACATTAAGGTAGTCAAAGAAGAAGAAAAAGAATAATTGTCAATCTGTCACTGGTATAAGACAATACGCAGTTTTGCACATACTTGAGTATTAAGTTTTTCAGCTGGATTAAGGTATTTTGTTAAAACCATAACGTTTGTTCAGATAATTCTTTTATCTCTAATCCTATTATCAAGGATTAGTACAAAACATTGATGAATACCAACCTATTAAGAAACAGCTGTAGAAAAGATTGGCAGTCACGTGGCTATGACAAATTCGTATTAATCTCTTGACATAACAATTAACCCCTTATTTATCTTAATGTGTATATATCTTACAAAGAAATAATAAATAATGTATTTATAAGAGACCAAGGCTCTAAAAATAGTAAGAATATATTAAATAAAGGATCAAACAACATATTATTACTACCAAGTAAGGTTGTGGCTGATTTTAGGCCATGTCGTATTTTCGATTTTTTTTTTCATAAAAAGAAACTACATATTTGAGTGTCATTTTAATGTGAAAAAGCAAACATGCGAAAACACAACCAATTTGACTTTAAGTGTCGTATTTTCGTTTGATTTTGTTGTTGTATTTTGTAACATTGTGGCATTTTCACGTTTCGGTTGCTTCAGTGCATGCAAACATCATTAGCAACGGGCAGAGCTTACAAATTGTGATAACTTATCATTTTAAATAAAAGTTAATATTAATTAAGTGTCTATATCCTATCTTCGTGTTTTCACATCTTTTTATTCATTTGTTTTATTTATTTATTTATTTGTTCATTTATTTATTTATGCATTTATTTATTTATTGTACTATCAAAAGTTCATGATGTAAAAAAAGCAGAAATTCGACAAGGCATAGTAAATCAGCTGCTATATATAACAAAGGCTTACTAAAATATAAACTGCAATGGCAATTACTATTATATGCTTATAAATAAACATCAAAAATTTTCTGACACATTACATAAAATATATAAAGATGAGCATAGGGTATTTTCACACTCCTAAATAAGAATAAAAAAACTTAATCGTACCACAAGTAACATACAATTTTATTGTAATAATTTCAAAGATGGTAAAATGTACTAAATTTTACTTACTCAACTTTTAAAAGATTTCACGGCATGAATAAAGTTACTATTAACATCAGAATATGACACATAAAAATATCAAGAGCCAATGTTGAAAAATTTATATATTGATATAAATGACCTTTATTGACAGAACCCAATATAACATTTTGCAATTATTGTAGCATATTCAGACATTAGAATAGTGGAAATATAAAACTATTATTAAGATACGTATAAAATAAAATTCAACTCATTTGTCTTTTTTTCAAAACTAGTTAAACGATTGTTTGTCAAAGCTCTAGTAAAAATAATACGAGGTTCGATTTTGCTTTAATTTATTGCAAAGAATTTGTTGTTTTGGGGTTGTTTTATTTTACATATTTTGAACTTAATTCAAAAGACAATTACACATTCATTTGAGTCAATTCAATATTTGATTTTTATGTACATGTGCAGCTATGTTGTTCTTTCTTTTAATTTTTAATGCAGTTCATTTACTTGAATGTATCGTCTTTTAATTTCTAAAACGAAAATGAATACAAGATACTTTTCAGTATATTGAATGCTTATTTCAAGGACAATGGTAAATTAAAACAGAAAGAGGTTGAACTAATGGTATGAAGCAAATAAGGATTCTACGTTTACAATATTTATGTTTTCAGATTCAGCCTCTGGTTGCCGGTAAAGATACACATTGTTGTGCACACGATAGCTATGACCCGATGAAACGCCTTTGCTGCCAAGGTAGTTTTTCATTTTGTTTCTTTGACAAAGAATATATGTGATTCGAGCAAATAGAAATGTATGCACCATTGTAATATTTTACATAAATCAATCATAAGATGTCACATTATTCCGGGAGTAAGTAGGTTACAAGTCAGGCTCATAAAGTCAGCATAATACGTAAATATACGTAAATATATGTTCAATTTTACAATTGTATTTCGATGGTTGTATCGTTATGGCATTAAAGGTCAAGTGTCAAATGGTCAGCCTCATTAATTCTAGGTATAAATTATGTTTGCAGGAAACACGTATGCATATATTACTTCAAAAGTTTCACTGTCCGTGACTCTACGTGGATGAAAATATCTATTGCAGTTTCAAATGTCTGTTATTATTTTTAATGAATGAATATTATTTTTGATGACAGTTTTACATGTGTCTACGTCAATTATATTGCGTTCTTCATCGCAAGTCTATTTTTGTCTTCATCTGCATACGGATATTTGCCGCTTGATGGTTTATATATAAAGTAGAATCTTTTTTTGTCAACGGTTCATAGGTAAAAATACATGTGATAATTTGTCATTCCTCAACGCAGTTAACATATTTTAATCAACTGAAACTTCAAATATCAACACAAACTTACTGTTACATCTCACTGAACCACAATTGTTTGGTTATAACGATAATCACTAGAAACTTAAGATCATCGATATTATTTTGTAAAAATTGTATCGGCCTTATTTATTTAAGATGAGTGAGCCCTTGTAATTGAACAACTAGTTTAAAACAATGCAATATTATAACATAAATGGAACTGAACAGACTTATTATTCTGACAGAACACACTCCTAGAAAATTGTTGATTGCAAAAATTATGTCCCCCGGGTATGTTGTAAACGAAATATATAAATATTTCTTCCGTCATTTTGTACTTATCAAAATCATTTAATACAAATGTTAAAGTACAAATTAATTCATACTTTTTCCTGTAGTTTTTATCTAACCCATGTCTATAGATATAGGTTTAAAGCAGGATTAGACTTTCGATTTCAAAGGTATTAAATTATATTTTAATGTACACTATATTTCTTTTGCTAGAAAGGCTACAAATGACTTTTTACAAGTTGAAAAGAAAATAATTATGATATCCTTTCTTATATTAAATAAGGAATGCTGTTCCCTCCACATATCCATCCAAGTTGTTACCATTGTGACAACAATGGGCACGAAGTAGCGCAGTTTGATCCACAAAAGAACGCTTGTTGCAACGGAAAACTGGTACCAGCTGTTGCAGGAAATCTCACATGCTGTTGCAGAGGTGACCCTTTCGATCCAAAAGACAAAATTTGTTGTGATGATGTTCTTCAGAAAAGGAAAGGCGGAGAGGTATCATCGTGTTGCGGTAACGACAATTTCGACCCGCGTGACCAGATGTGTTGCAACGGCGAGGTTCAACCGATTCTTAACGAGAAGATTACGAGATGCTGTGACAAGAGAAGCTTTGATCCGGATGTTCAAATATGTTGCGATAACAAAATGCTCCTCAGAAAAAAGAATAGCGATGACACATGCTGCTGCGGAAATAATACATACAACACGAATAAAGATGTATGTTGCACAGATATTGTACAACCAAAATACAAAAAAGGAACACAATGCTGTGGTGACAAAAGTTTCGATTCTACGAAGATGTTGTGTTGTGATGGTGTTGTGCAAAAGCTTGGAAAGAAAAGTTCTGTAACAAGATGTTGCGGAAAAAAGAGTTATGATGCTAAAAAGGCAGTGTGTTGTGACGGCAATCCAGTAAAGAAATCAAACAAAAATGATGACGGTTGTTGTGGAAAAGGGACATATGATCCTAAGACACAAATATGCTGCAGTGGAAATAAAGGCAAACTTTACAGTTCTGGTACAAGATGTTGTGGATCCGAGAGCTATGATGCGAGAAAATCAATATGTTGTGGTGGTAAAGTTTTTTCAAATAACATGAGATGCTGTAATGATGATGAATATAACCCTAAAACACATATATGTTGCGACGGATTGTCAGTAAGACAAAAAGACAATGCTAAGGACAATGTTTGTTGTGGATCGTCGACAATGAATTATGACACGCATATTTGCTGCGAAGGTGTGCCATCTGATCGACCGGCTGATCGTGATTATTTATGCTGCGGTCCCAAAGGCTTTGATCCCGACTCTCATATTTGCTGTAATAACCAACTTATTAAACGTGAGAAAAATGGAGATAACTGGTGCTGTGGAGAGAAAAGTATTAATACCAATAACCAGGTATGTTGCCGTGGTAATCCACAACCCATCAAAGAATCAGCAGACAATACATTTTGCTGTAAAGATGCGAGCTTTAACTACAGAACACAAATGTGTTGCTTCGGAGAAGTGGTTAATAAAAGATCACAAAAGGATGACTACTGTTGTGGCAACACAACAGTTGATGCAAAAGATGAAATTTGTTGTGAAGGTATTCCACGAAAAGTGCCTAATGTAAATAGTGGATTTTGTTGCAAAGATAAAGGTGCAGATATGAGGGAATTTATGTGTTGCGATGGCGAAATGGTTCCTAAAAAAGATGCAAATGACGATCTTTGTTGTGGCAAAGTAACGATTAATGCTAACAAAGAAATATGTTGTGAAGGCAACGCTGAAATGATGGTGGGTGATGAATACACAAAATGTTGCGGTCGGAAGAGCTTTGATTCAAGGACAGAATTATGCTGTGATGGACAAAGGATCACCAAAAGGAATCCAGGTGATTCGTGTTGTTGTGGAAACAAAACAATGAATCCAAAGAATGAAATTTGTTGTATGGATATCATTCGAGATGCACCTGCAGGAAATGACATGCGCTGTTGTATGAGTGAAAGTTATGATCAAAATAAGTTTATGTGTTGTGATGGAAGAAATATTGTAAAGAAAGAAACTTCATCAGACAACTGTTGCTGTGGCGATAAAACAATGGATTCTAGTAAAAAGATATGCTGTGACGAGACGCCGCAACCAAAAGAAAACAATGATTATATGTGTTGTGGCAAAGAAAGTTATGATTCAGAAAAAGCTGTTTGTTGCCAAGGAGACACCGTTGTAGTAAAATCTGGCGAAAATGATGATTGTTGTTGTGGAAACACAACAATGAATTCCAAAACACATATTTGTTGTCTCGGAAAGAGAAATGAAATGTTCACTGAGCCTACATCCTGTTGCGGAGATAAAAGTTATGGAATCGTGAATTATTTGTGTTGCGATGACGAAGTGATGGAGAAAAGTAATCGAAAAGATGACTGTTGCTGTGGTAAGAAAACAATGAATACTGCTTCACAAATATGTTGTGAAGGCAATCCTCAAGATATTGAAAACCCAGGATGGACGTGTTGCGGAAAAAGAAGCTACAATCCCAAAACACACATTTGCTGCAATAACAACATTATAAAGAAGAATAATCAAGGTGACAACTGGTGTTGCGGAAATGAACCTTTTGATTCTAATAATGAAGTCTGTTGTAATATGGTTGTTCAGCCAGCATTTGGAACTCCAGAAGAAACTAGATGCTGTGGGAAAAAAAGCTATGACTTTACTACAAAGCTGTGTTGTGATAATATCTTATTCGATAAAGAAGACACATCCGACAACTGGTGTTGTGGAAATGTGACATACAACACACGTAAGCAAGTTTGTTGTCAAGGTAAGTACAAGCAGCCAATGTACGGACAGAACACTCAGTGTTGTGGAGACACAAGCTATGATGAAACAAAACAAATTTGTTGCATGCGAAAGATATTTGAGAAGAAGAACGGAAATGATGACTGTTGCTGTGGAGATACGGCAATGAATACTGAAACAGAAATGTGCTGCATGAATTCTAGACAGCCTAAAGTGGACGGACAATACACGGACTGTTGTGGTAACAAGACCTATAGTCTAAGGAATCAATTGTGTTGCGAGGATCAAATGATTAGACGCAAAGAAAGTGAAGGAGACGACTGTTGTTGCAGAGATACAACTATGGATTCAAAACAGAAAATATGTTGTACAGAAGGTCCACAGCCCTTAGTAGGTGGGCCCAAAAATACGGATTGTTGTTTGAGTATCTCCTATGACATGACAACTCAAGTGTGTTGCGAAGGTGTTATTGTTGACAAAAAGAGGGAAAGTGACAATTGGTGTTGTAATGGTGAATCTATAAACACTGATGAGGAAATTTGTTGTAATGGTAGTCCTGAACCTGCTGTTGCAGGTCGCAATACAAGATGTTGCAAAACAAAAAGTTACGATCCAGATGAATTCATTTGCTGCAATGGTACCACTCTTTACAAGAAAAATACACCTGATGATAATATATGTTGCGGAGAAAATTCAATGAACACGTTAACCGAGATCTGCTGTATGGACAAGCCAGGGAAAAGGGACGGGGGTGACTATGCCAAGTGCTGTCACGATGAAAGCTATGATTCAAGCAAATTCATGTGTTGTGATAAACCTAATGGAAAGTGGGTAGTTGTTAAAAAGAGAAGTCCAAAAGACGATTCATGCTGTGGTAACACTACCATTGACACAGATCGTGAACTTTGTTGTGATGGAAATCCTGAAACAGGCGGGAAAGAGGTTCAATGTTGCCATGGTGTAGGTTACAACAGTAAAAACTATATTTGTTGTGATGATGAAATTGTAGAAAAAACGTCTAATAACGATGATTGTTGTTGTGGGAAGGTTGCTATGAATGGTAAAAATGACATATGTTGTATGGGAAATAAACAGCAACGTGTTGGAGGAAAAGATACAATGTGTTGTTTAGATATTGCCTACGATCCAGTCACACAGATATGTTGTGATGGAAAACAGGTTATTGAGAAAAACAATGAAGATGATAACTGTTGCTGCGGAGGTCAGTCAATGAATGCACGTACAGATATATGCTGCTTAAATACACCACAACCTGCACCCGACAAAGATGTATATAAGTGTTGTAAAGACAAAAGTTATAACACTAATACACATGTATGCTGTGATGGGAGAGCAAGAAAAAAGACAGATAATAACGACGATTGGTGTTGTGGTGATGAAACATTTAATACAAGGGATCACGTGTGCTGCCAAGGACAGTACAGACAACCAAAACGGACACAAGATGCAGAGGATACAAAATGTTGTAGGAAAGAAAGTTATAATCCCGTTAGTCAGCTTTGTTGCAAAGGGGAAGTTGTTGACAAAAATAACAACGAAGACAGCAGATGTTGTGGCGAAAGCACTATGGCTAGTAACGATATATGTTGCAATGGTGTTCCACAACGTGGTGGTAGGGCTTATACCTGCTGTGGGACTGAAAGTTATAACACAAAATCTCATATCTGTTGTGGAGGAGTAGTAAGAAAGAAAAAAGACTCTAAAGACGACGGATGTTGTGGAGATGATTCAACTATAGATAGCACTATGGAATTATGTTGTAAAGGTGTTCCTCAACAAGTTAATATTGAGACTGGTGATTGTTGTGGACGGTTTGGCTATGATAAGACAAAATCAATTTGTTGTTATGATACTCAAGTACTCGATAAAGATGATGAAGACGATGATGTTTGCTGTGGGAATAATACATTTAACCAGAAAAAACATGTATGCTGCAATGATGTAAGGCAAGGCAAAGTAGCTGGTGATGATACAATGTGTTGTTTAACGAAAAGTTATGATCCGTCTAAACATATATGTTGTGATGGAAGAAAACTTTTAGAAAAGAAAGATCCAGCTGATGATTGGTGTTGTGGCCAAAATACATACAATAGTAATTCGCAAGTATGTTGTAATGAAGTTCCAAATGAAAAATATGGGGACAATACGTTTTGCTGCAGAGATGTCAGTTTCAACCAAAATACGCAAGTATGTTGTAACGGTGAAATTGTGAATAAAAAGGCAAATCAAGATGACGGGTGTTGTGGAAACACAACTCTCGATGCTCAAAATGAAATTTGTTGCGATGGTTACCCACAACCTGGAAATGTGATACAATATGCTTGTTGTGGGCAAAACAGCTATAACAAAGATACATCTCTTTGCTGTGAATTTGATCAGATCGTAACAAAAAGACATGAAAATGATGACTGTTGTTGTGGCAATGCTGGTATGAATCGAAATGAAGAAATATGCTGTTCAGGGAAGGCTGTTGAAAGAACAGCAGGTGAATTAACACGATGTTGTGACAAAAAGCCATATGATCAGAGAAAAGAAATGTGTTGCGATGGAGTAGTTATTAAGAAAAATGACGACAATGATAACTTGTGTTGTGGTACAACTACGTTTAATGCAAATACTCAGGTTTGTTGTCATCATAATCCACAACCAAAGGTTGGTGGAAAAGTAACTCAGTGTTGCGATATTCACAGTTTTGATCCAGAGAAAGCTTTATGTTGTGACAATGGTGTTGTTGAGAAAAATGACACGGACGATTCATGCTGTTGTGGAAAAACAAAAACATTTGACCCTAAAACCGAAGTCTGCTGTGGTGGTGTCCAGCCAAGGCGCCGAAAAGGAGAAAACACCCAATGTTGTGGAACTGAAAGTTATGATGCTGACAGTTACATATGTTGTAACGAGGAGATCATCAAAAAGGAAAAAGAAAGAGATGATGCATGTTGCGATAAAATCTCATTTGATGCTTCGAAAGAGATTTGCTGTAAAGGTCAGGTTCAGAAACGGAGCGGAGGGATTTTCACTGATTGCTGTGGAAGTAACAGTTATAATATTATCGATGAAATGTGCTGTGATGGAGAAGTTACCCGTAAAAGCAAAACTGACGATGACACTTGCTGTGGAAATATAACTATGGATGCTCAGACACAACTATGTTGTGAAGGAAATGCTCAACCTAAATATGGTAGATCAGGTAAATGCTGTGGAAATAAGAGCTACAACACTAAATCATCCATGTGCTGTAATGGAAATATCATTGATAAAAACAACGCAGACGACAATGGATGTTGCGGCGACACAACTTTCAACTATGCTACCGAAGTATGCTGTTTAGGCATTCCAAATTCTTTATTAGGACCTTTGACACTTTGCTGCCTCGATAAAAGTTATGACTCTGAATTGGCTGTGTGTTGTGACGGCATTGATATTGTCCAAAAGGATGACAAGTCTGATAATTGGTGTTGTGGTGGAAAAACGATGAATACACGCAAAGACATATGTTGTGAAGATGTAAAACAACCAAGACGAGGAAGAAATACACAGTGCTGTCATAAAGTTAGCTACAATCCAGTTGAGTTTTTGTGCTGTGGAAAGGATATTGTACCAAAGCACAATGAAGACGCCGATGTTTGTTGTGGTAACACCACTGTAGACGTGAGTCATGAAGTTTGTTGCGATGGAGTACCGAATGAACGTGTTGATCAGGAATATACTTCATGTTGTGGTAGTAAAAGTTATTCTATGAGAAACCAGCTGTGTTGTACAGACGGAAAGATGGTGAGAGACAAGAATAAACCTGGTGACAAAGAATGTTGTGGCACAAAAGAAACATTTAACCCAAACAAAGAAATATGCTGTGATGGTCAAGTATTTGATGTGGCTGGCATTGAAAATGCTGGATGTTGTAAAGGAAAAGGTTATAACATGGATACACATATGTGCTGTGTGGATATGGTGGTAGAGATGCAAAAAGAAGGGGATGACTGGTGCTGTGGAAATACACCTTACAACACAAAAACAGAAATATGCTGTAATGGAAAGATTGATGAAAGAGAAGGCGGTGATAGAGCACGGTGTTGCTTAGGTAAAAGTTTTGACTCTCAGTCGCACTTATGTTGCAATGATAAAATAACAGAAAAGAAAAGTATTTCCGACAATATGTGTTGCAATGTCACAACATATGATACTCAAACTGAAGTATGTTGTCTTGGAACTACCCCTCAGCCAAAAAAGGGTGGGAAACAAACGCAGTGCTGTTTAGATGAAAGTTTCAATCCTAACACTCAGTTGTGTTGTAACAAGAAAGTTGTAGAGAAAACAAATAACTTTGACGACTGTTGCTGTGGGGGAGCGTCAATGAATTCTAAATCTGATATATGTTGTCTTGGAAATAAGCAAGACAGGATTGGTGACGAATACACATCTTGTTGTGAAGATGTCAGTTATAACTCAAGGTCTCATATATGTTGTGAAGGTAAGGTAAGAGAGAAAAACAACAATAATGATGACACATGTTGTGGTGATACAGCCACTGTTGATTCTAGACAGGATATTTGCTGCGATGGTGTAGCACAAAAACGTGTAGGTGGCGAATACACAGATTGCTGTGAGAAAAAATCATTTGACACAAGGGTCGATATGTGCTGTGATAAAAAGACTACTGAAAAGAGGGACGAAGGCGATCACTGTTGCTGTGGGAATACGACGATTAACTTAAACAAAGAAATATGTTGTCACGGGATACCTAGAGATGCCAAAGGAGGGAAATTTGCCAGATGTTGTTCAGATAAAAGTTATGATTCAAAGTCGGAAATATGTTGCGATGCGCGTGATGTTCGTACTAAAGTCCACCCAAGTGACAATTGGTGTTGCGGTGATTCAACTTTCAACACAAAGTCCGAAATCTGTTGTAACGACGTAACAAGAGATAGGGTTGGTGGAAAAGCGACAAAGTGTTGTGGAACAGAAAGTTATAACTCTAATACCCATGCATGTTGTGAAAATGAAGTTGTCGAAAAACGAAACAGCAATGACGATATCTGCTGTGGGAAAAAAACTTTAAACATACGTAACGAAGTTTGTTGCGACGGAAATACTCAGCCTAAATATAATGGTCCAACGACATGTTGTAGAAATGAGAGCTTCAATGTAAAAACACATCTTTGCTGTTTTGGAACTGTAGTCGAAAAGATGCATAACAATGATGATGGCTGTTGTGGAAGTAGTACATTTGATGGAAAAACCGAAGTTTGTTGCATGGGTGTACCACAACCAATAAAAGCTAAAGATCGAACGCGTTGTTGCAAAAAAACTAGCTATGATTTAGAAAATTACATGTGTTGTGAAGATACTGTTGTCAAAAAGAAAAACAGTAAAGACGACTGGTGTTGTGGTAAGATACCGTATAACACTCGAACAGAGTACTGCTGTCACGGTTCAGTTGTTCAGCCATACTATGGAGACAATACTCATTGTTGCGGAGATGTGTCATACGATGCTGATTCTAAATTGTGTTGCGATAGCGGTTTATTCAATAAAACAAAAGAATCTGATGATTGGTGTTGTGGTGATCAGCCATATAATACAAAAGATGAAATATGTTGCCAAGGTTTGTATCCAAGAGAGGCTGTAGCAGGTGCTGCTACAAGGTGCTGTGGTCGCGAAAGTTACAATCCTCGTACTGAAATGTGCTGTGAGGATGGAGTAGTGAAAAAAGATTCATCTGACGACGACGGATGTTGCGGGAAAAGTACCATGAATGTTCTAACCGATATTTGCTGTAATGGACGTAAATATTCTCGAAGTGGATCATCCACGGATTGCTGTGGAAATGTGGCTTTTGATACCAAAAATGAAGTTTGTTGTGGAGATGAACGTGGGGTTTTACAAAAATCTAAATCTAAAGACGATTGTTGTTGTGGCAATGATACGTACGATGAGGCAAATGAAATATGTTGTGATGAACAAGTGATGAGTAAATATGGAGAATCAACGAATTGTTGTGGAAAGAAAAGTTATAATATGGAAAGTCATTTGTGTTGTGGAAAAGATGTTGTAAAGAAAGAATCGCCAAACGATAACTGTTGCTGTGGTAATAGTAGTATGCAGTCGGATATCCATCAATGTTGTGATAGTGTTCCTGGTGTTGGGGACAAATGTTGTGGAAATAAGGCATATGATTCATCTGATAAAGTTTGTTGTGATACCGGAGACCTCAGGAAGAAATCGAAACCGAATGATAATCATTGTTGTGGAGACGTTAATACTTACAATACTAAAACAGAAATGTGTTGTTTGGGAACTCCAGTTGCGATGACAAGTGAATATTATATGTGTTGTGGGAATGAAGGATATGACGACAGGGATTTTGTTTGCTGCAATGGTAAAGTAATCAAGAAAAACAAGCGATCAGATGACTCATGTTGTGGTTCTGAACCAATTTCTTCTACTGATCAAATTTGTTGCCTTAAAAATCCACAACCAGGTGGGCGATTTGCTACGTGTTGCGGAAGTAACAGTTATAATACCAAAAATGAACTTTGTTGCAATGGAGAAGTAGTGAAAAAAGAAGATAGTAATGATGATTATTGTTGCGGCAATTCTACTTTTAACATCAGAAATCAAATATGTTGTGACGTGACTGTCCAAGAAAGAACGACTAAAAATGATAAATGCTGCGGACGAAGAAGTTACAATCCTGCAACGCATATGTGCTGTGATAATGAAATCGTCAAAATGTCCGACACCGGTGATAATTGTTGCTGTGGTGATAAAACAATTAATACAGCTAAAGAAATTTGTTGTAATGGTATGTTTCCGCAACCACTTTTATCTGATACATTGACTAAATGTTGCTGGGATAAGAGTTATGATTCTGAAACTGAGTTATGCTGTGATGAGTTTGGTGTTGTAGCTAAGAGCAAACCACAGGACAATTGGTGTTGTGCTGGGTCACCGTTTTATACAGAAGAACAATTGTGTTGCCAAGGTAAATTTGTGCAAGAAGGTGGAAGTAAAACTCAATGCTGTGGTGCCAAGAGTTTCAATCCAAGAACTACTGTTTGTTGCGACAAAGATTTGTATCCGAAACGACGTGGCAAGGACGATGGATGTTGTGGAAATTCAACAATTGACGCTGAAACAGAAATATGTTGTGAGGGTACACCTCAAAATTTAGCTGGTGGAGAGAGGTATACGTCCTGCTGCTTTGATAAGAGTTTTGATACCAAATCAGAACTCTGTTGTGAAAATACCGTCCTTAGAAAGCGATCTGAAAATGACGACGGTTGCTGTGGAAAAACAACATTTGATACTAAAAAGGAAATTTGCTGTAATGGAAATCCAAAGCGAAGAGATCAAAATGCAGATATGGAATGTTGTGGTGACGAGGCATATAATACAAACGATGAGCTATGCTGTGATAACTCAGTAAGAACAAAGAACAAACAATCTGATAATTGTTGCTGTGGAAATGAGACAATGAATACTTTAGAAGAAATATGTTGCAATGGTATTTCACAACGAATGAAAGGCGACCTAACTCTTTGTTGTGGTACTAAAAGTTATAATCCAAAGGATCATGTATGCTGTGATGGCGAATTTATGTTAGGAAAATCAGATGAAAATGACAATTGTTGCTGTAATGAATTTACTTATAACACCAATACACATATGTGTTGTAGCGGAGAAGTACAACAAAAGACCGGCGGGAAGTTTGCGGCATGTTGTCGAAAAAAGAGTTACAACACAAAAACAGAAATGTGTTGCAGGGGCGACGTGCGAGAAAAGATGGAAGATGGTGATGACTGCTGTTGTGGAAGAACTACATATAACACTCGTAATCAGGTTTGTTGTGATGGCCTCCCAAGAGATGTTCAAGGCAGTATTGAGTTTGGTTCGTGCTGTGGGGACCAGGGCATGAATATCAAGACACAATTATGCTGCAACGGAAAAGTAACAGATAAAGTTCATAACAATGACGATTGTTGCTGTGGAAATACAACGTTTGATGAAAGAACTGAAGTATGTTGCGATGGAGTTACTAATGAGCGTCTTGCTGGGGATAAAACGCGATGTTGTTATGATGTGAGCTATGATCCAGATAATCAAATGTGCTGTGGTAAGACCGTAAGCAAAAAATCTAAGAATGGTGATAATTGGTGTTGCGGAGACGAATCTTACAACACAAATAATGAACTTTGTTGCAATGGAGTTCCTCAGTCAAAATCTAATGGAAGAACTAGATGTTGCGGTGAAATAAGTTACAACCCTGATAATGAAATATGTTGCGATTCGCATTTGTTACATCCTAAGAGCAATGGAAATGATAACGCGTGTTGTGGAGAGAAGTCATATAACACAAGAACGCAGTTGTGTTGCGAAGGCAATCCTCAAGATAAATATGGAGATGACACGGGTTGTTGTAAGAAAACTAGTTATGATACGACGTCGCAGATATGTTGTGATGGTGTTGTGGTAAATAAGTCAAAGACTAACGACCACCAATGTTGCGGTGAACAGTCTTTTAATCCAGACACAGATCTGTGTTGTTTAAACAAAGTGGTGCGAAAGCCAAGCGGTGATGCAGAATGCTGCGGCAAGGATGCCTATGATACCGTAACACAATTATGTTGTGAAAAAGGAAATATCGTCACAAAACTTCATGAACATGATCTAAGTTGTTGTGGAAATGAGACCTATAACGCTGATATAGAAATATGTTGTGGTGGAAACTCAAATAAAATATCAAGCAATAATCCCAAAGATACTCGCTGTTGTGGCAGAAAGGGTTACGACATTAATGAAAGAATTTGTTGTAATGGTAAATTGTTTGACATGGATGGAAATTTCGAAGATACTAGTTGTTGTGGTGACGTTCCGTACAATAGTAGAAATGAAGTCTGTTGTAAAGGTGAGGTAAGACAAAAAACAAACAATAAGGACACGCTTTGTTGCGGGGGCGACACGTTTAATCCTGATACACACGTTTGCTGTTTAAATAAAAACAAAGAGGTCGTTCAGCCAAAGAAAGGCAAAAAGATAACACGATGTTGCGACGGGGTGAGTTATGATGGAGACACAGAAATGTGTTGCGACGGAGTTGTTCAACATAAATGGGTGGGCGCCAAAACACGATGTTGTGGTCAAAGAAGTTATAATCCAGACAGGGGACTTTGTTGTAATGGACAAATGATAGAGAAGACAACACAATTTGATGATTGCTGCTGTTGTAATAGAACAATGGATAGTAGCCGGCAAATCTGTTGTGAATGTAATGTCTTAAAGAACATTGGTAGCTACCATACGGAATGTTGTGGTGGTGCATGCTTTGACCCATGGTTACATTTATGCTGTGGGGGCCAGGTTAGGCCTAAGAAGTATGGCAAAGATTCGTACTGTTGTGGCAAACAAGTTTACTCTCCAAAGAATGGCGTTTGCTGTGGGAAATATGTGATGTGGAAAGTGCCCGTTGACCAGCCATGGAAATAAAAGTTAGTCATAATTCTTGCTATCAATTTTCTTTGGGGGGGGGTCTTATTACATACTTATCTATTTTTAATTACAGTAGTTTTACGCATTCTTAATTGTAAGTGTACATATGATTTTTAGAGAAATTTGTTTCTTAATATGACATCTATGATTTTTTTTTGTATTTCAGATCATTTATGGACATTGGCGATACAGACCGAGACTATGAATACATAATGTAGGATCGTGTACTTGATGTCTGTTAAGTCACCAACGAAACCATAGAAAAAACATTATATCTATTGTTACGTTAACATAAACTTGACAATTATAGGTGTTAAGAATCGTCCTTTTTAGAAATATCTTTTTGAGCTTGTAATTTTTAATAGTGCAACGATGGCTTTCTTAGGCTTTATACAATTAACATAAGAATGTTATTTTTCCATTATTGGGAACGAATAAATATTTGCATGTAAATGTTCGTGTAATTCTAAAATGGTATTTCAACAATTATTAACGTAATGATTGATATATTGCATTCATTGCCGGACAAGAATGCTTTTAAATCCCTTTAAATGTTAAAATATAAATAGTTTGTGTATATATATATACAAGTAGTTCAAAACATATAGGAATGATTGAGTCTCACACTTGTTACTGTCATTATTTTGGATAAGGAAATATATTGGCACAAAGGTTAATGCAATAAGTTTTCTGTTGGTATTATTCCTTGGTATTTGCTATTTTATCATCAACTGCTTATATTTCATGAAAAAGATATACCATTAAATAATACTTCACATGCATATGGTTACTTGAAACATAAACGGCATGTAAAAAAAAATATTTTTGTCTCTAGTATATTATCTATGATTTATTTTAGTTTTTCATACTTTTTCATTCATGCCATTTGTTGTTTGTGTATCTTTAAATAAAAATATCATTCGAATGTTCAGATATTACTAAATCGTTGGAGTGAAATATGCATATTCAATGTATGTAAGCTGAATTTCATAAAACTGTTTTTCTTTTTGTCTCTACATTATGTTGTACATGCTCTTAAAGTTATATTATATAAGCCATTTTTCCATTGTTTTATCTTCGTATCAAGATACTTAGCGCTTTTCATCGTACATGATATAGTTTTTAGTAGTTTCATTCTATATCAAAATGTTTTTCCTCTGTCTATATATTACAAACAATGGTGATGGAAAATAGAAAATTAAACCTAATAGAACAATTTGGATGTTCATCTTATCATTATTTTTTTTATTCCTGACGAAGACGGAGAGATATAGACTTGGTCCTGTCCGTCTTGACCTTTGTCCTTCCACATGTCTGTGCGGCGTCCGTCCTTCACAAATTGAACGGAGCATAAAACTTAAACTATTTCAACTGCATATATGGTTACATCTCATTTTGGAGTTATTATCCATTGATATTTTTCATACCAAATTTTCACCAAGACATAACCCAAGAAGAAACAGAAAATTTAATATAAAACTTCATAAAAGAATATATTTGTTTGGAAGAAGTTCAATGCATAAGAACTATAACACTAAATAGTGTATTTTTCAGTATTAAAATTGCACTTTGTATATTTTTATACTTTACTTTTGTTCCGTACATAATTAGAAATTATCTATTAAATGTATCGATTTAAAACTTCACAGATGGAAAGATGGAAAAAACAATAATTGTCTGTTACATAATTTTATTTTATATTAGGAGAAGCACATTTTGAGAACCATAACTCTCTTATATAAATCTAATTAAGTTTTGGAGTTGTTGCCCTTTGTAATTTTTCACATTTAATTTTTCTCAGGAGCAAATCTGAAGAAGTATAGAAATATCAACTTGAAACTTAAAAGATAGATAGATTTATCTCAATATCAAAAATACATTTTCCTGTACCATTATTCTTTTAGCATAATGTTGTAGTTACTGCCCTGTATTTTTGTCTAGAGCATACTTTGAGTCTATATGATAGACTCTATGACATGTCGGCACCTCGACTCCTAGACACCTCTACCACCTAAGACATTTGAATGTCTAAGACACTTAGACCCCTTAAATTGACCGGACATTTCGAGCCATTATTCTATATTGTTTATGAAATCGTAACTTTAGAAAGAAAGTGGTGTTGACTGATGTAATATATACTTTGAATTACAAGTATCACGCCATTATTTGTTACCCTACATCGTATACTTAATTGGTCACGTCCTGTATTATCCTGTACCTAATCACGTACCTGTACCTAATATGTACATGTTGTTATGCATTTACTTGCTCACGTCCTTTGTGATGATATAAAATAAATAACAAGCAGAAACATGAAATAAATAAGAAATAGAAACATATACATTACATATAAACAGAAAATATATCTACGCACACACGTGATGTATAATGTAAGTAAGTAAAAAAATTGTTGATTACAGTGACATTGTGCATGTATCAAATACATATTCATAATAAGAATACATACAAAAACATCTATTGGACCTTATTATATATGTACATATTTGAAAACTGTGAACAACACATAGCTGTGAACAATACATAGCTTTTCAAACAGAAACATTTAAATCAGATTTGAGTTATGTAAAATGCATTTCACATTTTAGAAATACATGTATATATGTATACATATGATCATTTACAGTAATTACATTATAGTATACATTGTATATCATATTTTTAAAGTAAAATGAATATTTATGAGTCGTTTTGTAATTCACACTTTTTAGCAGATATTTCCTTTTGGACTTGCAAGTTTTTATATATCGAACTGCTAACCTCAGGAAGTCAGAGACCTAATTTGTCTTTCATTATAATTTATTTTAATGAAAGTATTGTTATACATTAAATAAAAAATGTAGACAGTATTTGTGCACACATAGCAATTCCTTTTTACAGAGTGCCGTTAAGCCCACGTACCTTTCAAATACAAATATAAAACAACTTAATAACAAAGAAGTATATATCAATAAAAAAATTCTTTCGTTAGTCGGACGTATTATTTGTGTGAATATTAAAATAAATATTGGGCAAAAAGTAATAAAATGACCAAAGGAAATGCGCTATAAGTAATTTAACGTATTACAATTCCTTTCCCAATCACAAACCCCGTGAATGAAATGTAGCATATTGAGAATTAACTTTCATTTTTTTTAATCGCAAAATTTTCGACTATTTTTAATAATAACCTCAGACCTTATACAGATTTAAACCAGTTCTAAAGTCTGATTTCATTGACCTGTCAATCATAAATACATTATAGCACTCATTCCTCTTCGGTTTCCGAGAATTAATATGCAGTACATAAGTCACACCAGCTTAGTGTAAATGTCATCGTCACGTCCGGAATAGCACAGTCTGTTAAGTGATTGCCTGAAATGTGAAAAGTTTAGTAGTTCAATCCCCACACCGTACAATCAAATGGACAGACAGCTGTTCCAGCGTCCACAGCTGTACGTCGGCGCGGGAAATACAATTGACGTACGGTAAGTATTCATCTATTTTGAACATATCCAAACTGTGTTCGAGTAATCAATGCTATGGATTCATAGTCAACATCTAAAGAAGCATGCTAACAAATTTCTGGCCCTGTGCAAGCTTTACTTCACATGAATTTTGACTGAAAATAACCACACTATCCGATGAGATGCGGTATTTTTAGTTTGAAGTCACAAAAACTTATATTTTCTCATGATGATTAATCCTTTTTTTCATACGATTCGTAAACGACAACATTTTGTCATTAAATATTCCAAACCATACCTTCAAAAAAGCTTTTCTGTTAAAGTTATAAGGTATTTAAGTTTGAGTGTCATCAAAATTTTAGTAACGTCATCAGATGTTCCCTCTTTTTAATGATAACATCGACAGCAATTCATCGGCAAGGATAAATAACGCTGAAAGCTGTTCAAAGAAACAATTTTCAGCGCTGTTCAAAGACACAATTTTCAGAGCTTTTGTCCTCCAGTTACTAGGGAAAAGTAAGACTTTTTGTTCATTTAAAGTATTACTTTATTCATGATACTTTCTAATTATATTATTTTTATTATTACTTTCTATAATTTGTTGTATCTTAGCTGAGAGGCCTTTATCTCCATTTACCGCACTGTATTTCAATATTGATATTGTTCATATGAATGAATGAGTGAGTGAATGAATGAATTAATTTATTAATCAATAAATGAACGAACGAATGAACAAACGAACGAATGATGCAATATACGTATATGTAAGAAGAAAGTATATGAGTTGTAATATTCTAAAGATTACATATTATACATTCATTTTTCTTCCTATGCATGTCCTGTTGTTGTTGTTGTTTTCTATTTCAGAAGGCCATATTGGAAATAAGATATATATGATTGTTATTGTATGTTATTAATGTATAATCTTCTTTAAATAAAGATATTATTCTTATTATTATTTTTATTATTATATAAAAAGGTAGCAAGATCTATTAATATGTTTCTGAAATGTTAAACTCAAAGAAAGTAAAGGCAAATTTAACGCTTAATCCGGATACTCTGTATTGTAACTAAATCCATCAAGTGTTATTATAAATAATGGCATAAAGTAGACATGACCCATGCATTAAATGGATGTGTAACCCGAGATGTCTGCCATATAAAATGATTTATTCAAAAAATAAAAATTTGAATAATTTTAAGAATGATTATTATTTCTATTGCACTATAAATCAAAACAGATTTCAATGACAAATAACAACATGTTTTTCCATGCACTTTCATATCTAAGGTTAAACAGCCATTCACTGCATAGGACATGTCCATTATATGAATTGTTTATAATAACAATTGATGGATACCTTCATTTACAAGACTGAATATTCATATTAAGCGTTAAATTTGCCTTTGCCTTTTGACTTAAACATTTCATAAACCTATTACAGGAACTCCACTGAGGTTTATAAGCCTAAAAACATGAAATTTTATTTTTTCACATAAAAAACATGAGCACTAAAACATAAATATTAATGAAATATAACCAAGAAATATAGGAGAAATACATTGAAAATCATATGTTTGTGCTATTCTCAGTCCGATTTGAGTAAAAAGCGTTTAAACTCTTTTCAATTTTGGGTCATTTTTTCACTATTATAATATTCTGGAAAAACGGAGCAAGCTAATGATCGGAAATTCTGCATATAAGTTATAAGTATAGATCTACATCAAATGGAAAACTAATCTCAAAAAATTATTTCCAGTCCCATCATGTCAAAAAAAAACAACTTAGTGGAGTCCCTTTTCATAAGTTTTGCTACCTTTTTATATTGAAATACAGTGCGGTAAATGGAGATCAAGGTCTCTAACCTAAGATATAACAAATAATAGAAAGTAATAATAAAAATAATATAATAAGAAAGTATCATGAATAAAGTAATATTCTAAATTGACAAACAAGTTTTACTCTTTCCTAGTTACTGTAGGACAAAAGCGCGGTTGTAAATACATGTAATTGTTTCTACGAACAGCTTTCAGCGTTATTCGTTCTTGCCGATGAATTGCTGTCGATGTTATCATTAAAAAGAGGCGAACAGCTGATAACGTTACTAAAATTTTGATGACACACAAACTTAAATTCCTTATAACTTTAACAGAAAAGCTTTTTTGAAGGTATGGTTTGGAATGTTTAATGACGAAATGTTGACGTTTACGAATCGTATGAAAAAAGGATTAATTATCATGAGAAAATATAAGTTTTTGTGACTTCAAACTAAAAATACCGCATCTCATCGGATAGTGTGGTTATTTACAGTCAAAATTCATGTGAAGTAAAGCTTGCACAGGGCCAGAAATTTGTCAGCATGCTCCTTTGGATGTTGACTATGAATCCATAACATTGATTTACTCGAATACAGTTTGGATATGTTAAAAATAGATAATTACTTACCGTACGTCAATTGTATTCCCCGCGCCGACATGTACTAGTATATACTGGTACAGCTGTGGACGCTGGGACAGCTGTCTGCCCATTTGATTGTACGGTGTGATCCCTACTATTGTCATTGTTTTAGAAACACTCTTTTTTAATTTCTGCAGTATTTTGTCAATGGAAATGGCTTATTGCTTGCATAATTGTGTACATGGATATAAAGCAACTTAGCAACACTGTTTTGTCTCAAATGGTATTGTGATTTAGGGCATTGGATTTGAATGCGAATGAATTTTAAATGTTAATTCTTCAACCATGTTATTTAAAAGTAGTGTATAAACTTTACCATGATAAGTGCAAAATTCATTGAACAAAAAGAAGAACGCAATTAGTAAAATATAAATAAGAAAAAAACATTGACCTACGCGAACAGGTACAGCGGGCATCGTTTAACTAACATTGCGTAAGTTTTTCGCAAGTATTTTCGTAACTTTATGCTTACGTTTAAACTTACGTAAATCGTAAGTGTGTATCACAAAACGTTGTAAGTTTTTTTTTCTAAAACTTGCGTTAAAATAGTGCGTCACTATTCAAAGATGGTTTTAAGAATTAGTCAACAAGGAGGCGTTTTGGTAATATTAATGACCGCAAAACATGGCTAAAAAGGGCTCAACTGGTAATTGGTAGAGTCATCTATGGACACTCAAGAATTTTGCTGAGCAATTCATATTTTTAAGTTCATATTGTACCATCAGTCATCCACAGGATTTCTCTCGATTTTAGATAAATACATATATAGAGTAGAAAGGAAAACCCCACATATTTCATCATAGAAGATATTTAAAGGGTTTTTGTTTATTTTGAGAAGTGAAAAAACTGCAAGGACCTCAAGTGAAAATGTTGATTTTTTTCTCATTTTTACATGAAATATTTAGCTTATTCAAGTTACCCACATCTTTTAGATATTTTTTTATTCATTTATTTTTATTTATTTTATTTGTTAATATTTATCGAGTAAAGAAAATCCCTTGATTCTTAACGATTTTACACTAAAACATGCAAAAAAAAATCATGCGTAAAAAAGATTACACAAAAGCGCCAAATGCGAACAAAAGATATTCACCATTTTAGTCATCATTGCAGTATAACTATTAAGTTTTTCAGTAAAATAATGATATCTGAATATTTGCCATGAAAAACAATTGCAACAAATAATTTTATGTGCATTTTATGAACATATGCGAAAAAAAAATCATACAATTTAATTAACATATAAAGGTCATCATCATTTTGAGATACTCTCTATTCACTCTACAGTATTAAACAAATGACATTTACTGAGTTTAAGTAAATATTATATGTCATTTATAAAATTCTCACTAAATCTAGATTTAGCATCAAAAGCTCGTGAAGTTTTTAAAATAATATAAAAAACATGATAACTGATTTATAATACTTGGAATATCAGTATATTTTTGGAGAAGAAGAAGATAGGGATTTAAAGACTTTCATCTTTAAGCTGATAGGACGACTTCCATATTCGTATATGTTTTTACTTAATTCAATTTTTAATAAGTCCATAGTGTTTGTAAGCGAACAGCATGGACCCTGATCAGACTACGCGGATGCGCAGACTGGTATGAATACATGCTGTTCGCAATCGCATTACGTTTTTTTTTCGTGACGCGGCTCAAATACTTTCTAGATGATGTACAACAACTCTTCCTGACAAAAAGATGAAAGACAAACACTTCATTACTCAAACATGAACGACAAACACTTCATTACTCAAACATGAACGACAAACACTTCATAACTCAAACAGGAACGACAAACACTTCATTACGCAAACAGGAACGACAAACACTTCATTACTCAAGCAAGAACAACAAACACTTCATTACTCAAGCAGGAACGACAATCACTTCATTACTCAAACTGGAACGACAAACACTTCATTTCTATAGCAGGAACGACAAACAATTCATTACTCACACAGAAACAACAAACACTTCATTACTCACACAGGAACATCAAACACTTCATTACTCAAGCAGAAACGACAAACACTTCATTACGCAAACAGGAACAACGAACACTTCATTACTCAAACAGGAACAACAAACGCTTCATTACTCAAACAGAAACGACAAACATTCCATTACTTAAACAGGAACGACAAACATTTCATTACACAAACAGAAACGACAAACAATTCATTACTCACACAGAAACAACAAACACTTCATTACTCACACAGGAACATCAAACACTTCATTACTCAAGCAGAAACGACAAACACTTCATTACGCAAACAGGAACGACAAACATTTCATTACTCAAACAGAAAAAACAAACACTTCATTACGCAAACAGGAACGACAAACACTTCAGTACTCAAACAGGAACGACAAACACTTCATTACTTAAACAGGAACGACAAACACTTAATCACTCAAACAGGAACGACAAAAGCTTAATTTCTCAAGCAGGAACGACAAACACTTCATTACTCAAGCAGGAACAACAAACACTTCATTACTCAAACAGGAACGACAAACACTTCATTACTCAAACAGAAACGACAAACATTTCATTACTTAAACAGGACTGACAAACATTTCATTACTCAAACAGAAACGACAAACACTTCATTACTCAAACAGAAACGACAAACACTTCATTGCGCAAACAGGAACGACAAACACTTCATTACTCAAGCAGAAACGACAAACATTTCATTACTCAAACAGAAACAACAAACACTTCATTACGCAAACAGGAACGACAAACACTTCATTACTCAAACAGGAACGACAAACATTTCAATACTCAAACAGAAACAACAAACACTTCATAACGCAAACAGGAACGACAAACACTTCATTACTCAAACAGGAACGACAAACACTTCATTACTCAAACAGGAACTATAATACTTTATTAGTAAAACAAGAAGGAGAATACTTGATTTATATCAAAATATGAACGATAAATACTTTCTGACCAAAAATGAACAAAAATACTTTCTGAGTAAAATGTGAACGACAAACATTATGACTAAAAACATGAACGACAATACTTTAAGACTAAAATAAGAAACGACAAATATTTATGACTTTAACATGAGTGACAAATCTTTATGACTTAGATACGAACGTATTACTTTCTGGCACAATCGTAACAACTCGGCAATCTCCGTCAAGTGCGAATTCTTCAAGTCGCCCGAGGTGTTCCGATTGTTTCAAGTTTAGTCATGAATGACAATTCTTTATGACTAAAACGTAAACGACAACACTTTCTGACTGAAACATGAACGTTATTACTTTATGTTAAAAACATGAACAGAAATACTAAATCATTAAAACATAAACAACACTTAAGTATTAAAACATGAACGATAATACTTCATGACCAACAATATAATACATGAACGGCAATGAACGACATTTGTTTATGAAACATGTACAACAATACACAGTGTGGGATATCATTAATGCGTTTACGCTAATTGCGTTTTCAATAATTAACATCATTTACCATTTTCCATATTCCAACAATGTATCTTTCTATTGTAGCTCTTTTACTTTTCCCGTTATAACTGCAGACATTATTATATCCGGCAATATTTTGATGCAGCATGTCGGGAAAAGTATTATATATATACATTGGCAAAAGTATGATTCATTGGATTTGATATATAGAGGATATTTAATGAGTGTATGTTCAATAATTAACTTTTAAACGTGTCGGCTAATATTATTCTATTCAACAAGTCCAATAAATACAGTAATGAACTTACACGAATTTAATATTCTATTCATCACATACCCAAAATAAAGAGTGTTTAAACTGAAAAAGAATCATTTTTTCAATGACCTGATCACGCGGCTAGATCTATACTGTATGTAGGGTAACGCTAACATTTAACGCGTCTTAACCCTATGTCTTTATACAACGCAAATAATGCCATGTCAAAATATAATTATATTTAATGCACGACCGTGCAATACTATTTTACGGTGTCGCAAAAACGGGCGGCACGAGTGTGTGATAAGTTGGTATATGATTATTATTTAAATAAAAAAAATGTACCATAAAATGCAAATACCATTTAAGTCATGGGCTCGGTCCAATGTTACCGTACACAAATGCCACGTGATCACACGCACTGATGCTTAATTATTAAAACATGAATAATGACAATATTCAATATGAAAACATGAATGACAATATTTTATTATTAAAACATGAACGGCAATATTTTATGATTGGTAGATCTACATAAAGGGCAATATTTTATAGGGGTAAAATACTTTGATATCAAAACAGGTAAGACTTGGAAATACCTTTTGCTTAAACAAAAACGACAATGTCAGAGGCGAACATGAAACATAGATCTAATTAATTCACCTTTTAAGTCGAAGAAAAATTATCAACCAAGATAGATAGAAAGATTTATTTTCATCGTGAAAATTATCATTTTTCACTGAGGGTAGGATGGATCTAGATCTAGATCTATATCTATTTACTTTTATACTGTTCACTCAATGAAAGTAAATCCGGTATTTTAGAAAAAACTTGAATATCCTCTTTTAACTTGTTTGAGAAAAGTTGTCAATAGATCTATTACACAAATATTCTATTTTCTTATTGAGAATAAAAAGTGACGCATAGAAAATTAATATAAGTTCAGTCAATATTTTTTCACTGCGAATATGACTTTCCATCATTCTAGTAGTCAATTTTCATAACTCGCGCGCTTTCAAATATATGCGAATGACGTCAAAGGTAACTATAGCCGATACTCTTCATAAGGCCGCTTACATCTCTGATCAGTTCAAGGTCGGGTGAACACTAACTGCTGGTCTTTTATTTATCAATTACTTGACATATTTAACAGTCTTCAATAGGTAAGTATGTTTTTTGTACAATTAATCATAAAAAGCAATTAGTGTGTGTTTTGCAATCATGCAGAGAATTAATTTTCATGAAATTCAAAAATAGAATGTTAATTCATCTAAAATGGCCGCCAAGAAATTAAAAAAATTGCTACACAACCGGTAATTGATTGCGTTTCATATTTTCTGTAGTTTTTCCCGATGTTTGCTATTGTTACTTTGTTACTTAAAATCGCAAAGAAACCAAAAATACATTATATTCGCTGTTCTTCGCTATTTTTGCCTCAATTATGTGTAAACAACCTGCGTGGGAGGGGCACCGGTGTAATTATTGTAACTATAAATAGCCAAAGGGGTACGGCTCATTGAATGTTCACAAAATATGTATTTGATGGTAGAAAACATTTATCCTAAGTCAGAAATGAATTCTAAGTCCATTCCCATTACACTATATACTAATATATAGACAAGGGTAACAACTCCCATAAGGTATGCCCAATCAGGGTTTTTGCCTTGCAGTTTTTTACACGATACAGCATAAATAAAAAGGAATTATGCAATTTGTAGTCGAATGATTTACCTATCGAACCAATGTAAAACTTTACTTATACAGGGTTCTCGGGGATGCTTATTTCGGCGTCCCGGTACGCATGTTTATTACAGCTGGACGCAAATATTTCAGAGCAAGGATTCCACGTACGCTTAATTTTGCCTGGGGACGCATAAACATTACCGATTGTTTACAACCAGAAATACACAAATGCGTTAGCGCGTGTCAGTCTATAGGTAGGCGGTCCTATGCACATCAACCCATGAAGCGATTAGCCAATCAGCGATAACGCTTCCGATCATTATCACGCTATAGTGATCAGACTAATTAAATGTATACACGCGCTGTACAGTTCATGTAATTCAGATATAACACAAGGTGATAGATCAACAGTTGATTGGAAATTTGCAAATTTTACCGACAAAAGGAAAAAATTACCGACTATTTACGCCGCAAGTTTAAAGACTGTTTTCTCAATTACAAATGAGTGTAATTTGAATGATTGTCGAATATGTTCGCATAATAATGATTGTCGATTATTTTCGGCATTTTCTAGGCACAATTTTGCTTTAGTTTCATTCTTGCAAAATCGTTCTATAAGGGTATTAAGAATTTAAGATATTGTGCCGAAATGCCAGGTACGCATACGCTTTTCTTTGATATTTAGATTCTATCCGAAAATTGATCCAAACATTGGCGATTTCACGTTCGCCAGAAACCCTAAAATTTCGCAAAAATTCTCGGTTTCCATGCCAAACATGCGAATGAATTGTTCCTTTATTATTTAATAAACATTAAATCTTTAAAAATCAATCTTCAATTTGCCCCCTTTTGAAGATATTTGCTAAAATAATTGTCGATCGGATGAATCTCTTACACACTGTGTGAAGCTGTACACGATTTTCCTATTCATTCCGCTAAACGCTGCCTATATACATTTACGTTTTTCTTTTACAAATACAAACTTTTTGTCTTTAGAGTGGACTTATTTAACCAGAATAAAATTTGATTTGGTATAAAAGTGAAAAAAAAGACGATTTCCATGTGTTGATGCATTATAATGAAATAATTTCATAATAAATATTAACAACAAAACAATAATTATACTATGTAGTTCAGAGTTTCTTTTGAATAACTATAAACTTTGGAAGTCTCTTGAAGATTCAAAATATCAGCAATGCTATTGTGAGTATTGAATGACTAATCTGTAAACATATTAATTGCGATGCGCTTTTGGACTCCAACTTTTTCAGGGTTGGGAGTCCATGGACTCCATGTTTTAAAGTCCTAGTGAGAACCCTGCTTATATCTCTTATACTTAACGAGTACTGGCCTTCAAAGTAACAAAAAACTGCTCATTTTCGCAAGGTTGACATCGATCATGGCTACGCAGGAAACACAAAGTTACACGACTGTTGCAATCGTTGGAGATAATATCACAAGCATTTATCATGCTGGGCAATTAAAAATACATAAAAGTAATCAAAATATATCAATAACCTATAATGACAATGTGATATAAACTCACCTGCGGCTTCAAAATATTTCCCCGTTGAAATTTCTATAAAACACCGCCATCTTGACGAATGTAAACAACCGTCACCTGATTGGTTGTTTTTTTTTCAGAAATTTACGGTTATATGTTCGGGAAATAAATCCACCAATCAAATGACTGGTATCCAGTTGATTCACAATTTCATGAGGTGATTTAAACTAGTGATGTTCCGATTGTCGCAAGTCGCTGATAATCAGTTACTGTTATGTTAAACGACAATAATCGATTCACAAAAAAATGTTCCGCGACGTCGTCGAAAATGTTTAAAGTATCAAAACGAATTAATTCTGGCGGTAATTTTCTTTTAGGAACACCTTGCCGATCGCAAAAAAATTATCTCAGAGACGATTTTGAGTTGAATAGGATCAATACGTGATGTAAACAATAGTTATATATTATGTGATGTGAATGTTATTATTTGACATCCATTGGAAAATTAAATTAAATCTATTTCGTAAAATAATAACTAAGTAGGGTTAAAACTGTGTTGAAAATTGCTAAATAAAGTTCATGTTACAAAATAAAATCAAGTTCCTTGGGAAAAAATGTTTCTACCCTATTTCTTTTTAACGCGACTTTAATCGGAAAGTTATCGATTATGTCCCATCCGATTGAACCGATGATCGATTTGGACAAATTTCATCCCATTTCCATCACTAATTTAAACCAATCAAAAAGCTCATTCTATACAATGTTTAGTGAAACGTTAGTTCTAGAAAAAAATATTACTATTGTGCTCTCTGCTTGTGGAATAATTTAGTTTGGGAATAGTTTTGCCTTTTATATTGGCAAGACATGTGAAACAGGTTTTCACCGTGGGCGCTGCTAATTTGTTTCTGATAGTTATTTACCTTTGCTTTTGAATAATATAAATTTTGCTAAACATAATTTCATTGGTCAATATTTTACGCACCTGTGTATCGACGCAATTTAATTAATTTTACCCACAGTTGAGTACATGTAATGTTACATGTTAATCAACCGTGGGTATCTGACAATGCAAAAAACTTTGTGGGTAGATAAATGTCATTGCCTCATTATGTAGATGAGCAGTGCAAAAAACTGAAACTCTGTCTTGCCTAAGTTTGGAATTATTGCACTTTAAACTTTGTCTGGGAAATAACTCTGAAACTACAAGAGGTATACTTTTCTGTGTCCAAAATCTATTCGGAGAGCATCACTGGGTTCAACCAGTTCTTGTTGGAGCACTATTTTCAGCCAAGAGGCAATGAAATTCAGTCAGTGCATATTTTGTGATGCAAGTTGCCATTTTTACTCAGTTTGAGCAGATATACAGACTTTAAACCATCATTAGTTAAAAATGTATACAGTGGGTTCTCATGATTTTTTTGGTCATGAAGTTAACAATATCCATGGTTGGGCACTTAGTCCATTTCAACTTGTTTTTAAACAGTACTGAATTCATTTAAAAAAAAAACAGATTTAGTTGGTACATGCACAAAATTACAGTTGACTGTCAGTAACTGGAATTTCAAGGGACTGGGCATTGTACTTCGAGAGAAACGGAACTTTAGTAACTTGGATCTGTTGCCATTACATTTACATTTGTACATGTGATTGAATTGTCCAAATAAGTAGGTTTGTTCTTGTTGATAAAGGCAATGCTGCAATGTTAAACTGTTGAAATGACGGTTAATCACTTACAACCACAAATTATAAATGAACAGAAAGATATTTAAATTTTAATACATCATTATTGTGTCGCCTTGAAAAAGGCGACATATAGGGGTTACTTTTGTCGGCGTCGGCGTCCCCTAAAGCTTGTCAGGAGCATAAGTCAGTCATTATAAGTGGGATTGACTTCAAACTTGGTACGCATGCTTCTTATAATGACCCGAAGTGCAGTGCACAAGTACTGGTACTCTGCATTTCTTATTTTTTGAGTTATTGCCCTTTGTTAATTTTATACTGTATTTTTGTCCAGGCCATTTCTCCTAAAGTATAAAAGCTATGGACATAAAACTTCATAAGATGATAGATCTCATAAAGAAAAAGTGCAGTGCCCAAGAACTGGTACTCTGCATTTCTTATTTTTAGAGTTATTGCCCTTTGTTAATTTTCATACTTTATTTTTGTCCAGGCCATTTCTCATAAAGTATAAAAGCTATGGACTTGAAACTTCATAGGATGATAGATCTTATTAAAAAGAAGTGCAGTGCACAAGAACTGGTACTGTGCATTTCTTATTTTATGTGTAATTGCCCTTTGTTAATTTTCATACTTTATTTTTGTCCAGGCCATTTCTCCTAAAGTTTAAAAGCTATGGACATAAAACTTCATAGGATGATAGATCTCATTAAGAAGAGTTGCAGTGCCCAAGAACTGGTACTCTGCATTTCTTATTTTTTTAGTTATTGCCCTTTGTTAATTTTCATACTTTATTTTTGTCCAGGCCATGTCTCATAAATTATAAAAGCTTTAGACTTGAAACTTAATAGGATGATAGATCTTATTGATAAGAAGTGCAGTGAACAAAAACTGCTGATCTGCATTTCTTATTTTTTGAGTTATTGCCCTTTGTTGATTTTCAAATTTCATTTTTGTCCTGGCCATTTCTCTTAAACTATATTGTTCACAAGGCAACACATCCGACTCGCGGAGTTCTAGTGTAAGTTAACAGTGAGACATAAACACAAACATTCCTAGCAATGATATAAATGCAAATCAAGTTAGTCCGTATGCACATGTTTTAATACATTAAGCACTCATGACCATTCATTACAATAGAAGCACAATATCACTTTTATTTAAACAACAATATGTCTTATACCTTGGAGAATGTGATTTTATCATGGGACGAAAACAAAAGTAGAAAATACTGTGAACCGGAAGTACGTATTAATTAAGTTATCTAACTGTAAAAACCAATTAAGTCCTTATACTGATTAAAGTTACTTTTACGCATGATGATAATACATAAATGGCCAGCAATTAAAATTACTATGACACATGTGAACCAGAGTGACAACATCTCACCTTGATGTTGCCGACCTTTGATCAGTCTGCTACTAATTGTGATGAAAAAATGTTGGACTTTAATTGAGGGGACCAAAAACCCTTTTTGCATAACAGGAGTCTCAGTAGTAAAAATTTGCTTTTATTTATTGACAGATGTACATTAGAATACATTGACAAATGTGTAGGTTTGAGCAGCATCCATTGCCTAAGGATGTTTTGTTTTAAAAAAGATTTGAATTATTAATAAGAACCTTGTTCCCCTTTCTCCTTACCTAGAAGTCCAAACAGGTTCTTTAGTCAAAGGTTTGTTCACGCAGAGCTACAATTTTTAACCCTAATCATGTTTTTTTCTGGCCCATTTTGATGACTGATTTTGGGTTTATTTCCTAATGCCAAAAAAATTTTTTTTTCCTCCGAATTTCATGAACAGGAACAAAAAATAAAATAAGTAAACTTATAGTTTTTCTGTTACATTTAACTGAACTGTTCCATAGAAAATTGTTATCTTGCACCCCAGATTGTAATATAGCCTTTAAGTACAAAAGGAGTTTACTAAAACCAAATCTGAGGTATACAATATGTTGCCAATTTTTCCCAATTTGTTTAAAACATTATGAAAATTCCCAAATCTGGGGGTTGGGTCGAGTTCCTAAGGTGCTGAGAAGAACCCTGCTAATGTACAAAGGTAGTTTACTACACACCTGCCATATTTGGGCATCCATGCTGTCTGATCATGGTCTGTACTGTTTGATATTCAGTCGATGCATGTTTTGATATTTTCCCCGAAATGAATGGTTGTGACCAGATTCAAAGGTGGATATAAGCAAGTATATTTCAAATATTTACTAGTGGGGTAAAGGTTAACAAATTATCAACCTGCAGTAACTCTGATATTGTGTATTTGTATAAATATGGATGCATGACGATTGCAATGTTTTAAGACTTAAAAGAATCTTCTATTTGAATACTTAACCACTAAGTTCTTTCCTTTACACTAAATATCACTTAATAATCAATAAAAGACTGTAAAAGCATCCCATCGTTTTCCTATTGAATTACCCTGGTGTGAGATGTTTTAATCAGAAATTTTCTGTCTCACTACTTCTTGATACTGTTGGTGGGGTCATGATGATTGACATTGAAGCACAGTAAAGCTGTATGTATTACCTACTCTGTGGCATTTCTACTGCAATCCCTATTGATCTTGAAAATTCTTGATGGAAAGTGGTATGTTTATGGTTAGTCTACCAGTTTCAACTTTATGAAAGTTAAAAAAGCAAATGTTTTATGACGCTGGTTTTTGAAATATCAAAGTATGTATTTTTTGTCTCTCTGAAAATTTTATCATAATGAAGAAAAAAAGACAGTGCACACTCATGTAGAAGTTTTATTCTGTGGTACTATAGTTCAGTCAGTTATTTTAGATGTAAGTTATAACTCACTAAACTTTCCAGAAGATACCCTAAGTTCACGTTTTATAGCCCATAATCTGCTGACTGGGTAATGGTTTTGCCCTTTCTTGACTTTGTCTTCCAATAATGTTGAACACCTCATGGGGATGTAGACATGAGCAGTCTATAGTATTCAAAGTTTAAGAGTGTTAGTATAAACTACAAAAATTTAGTTACCAACATTTATAGAGCCTGGTCCAGTGATTTCTTTAAGGGCCAGATTGGGGGCAAACTACTTGATTTTCATTTTGAACCGATTTTTCCATTCTCCCGATATTGCAAGAAAGATGGTAAGAACTGGTACAAGACTAATTATAATATTTGACTTTCATAGTCTCTACTACTTTGATTTCGTTTGCATTTGAATGCTGTCTGGTGAGAAATTTGCTGACTCATGGGACCAGATTGTGTAGAAGTGATGCGTAGAAAGTAATAAAGCTGAGATTTCCATTTTCAGATATGTTTACACCATTTCTCTTTGCTGCCAACTGGGGATTTTCTGTTGTGAGAAAATTGTCTCTCTATAATGGAGATTAAACACACAAAAATATGAGATATGTATACGTGTGGTATAAACTACGTGGGCTTTAGTATGTATTTATTTCTGTGGCACATAAATTTGTCTAAATTTGGAGATAGGATTCTTTAGGTGTACAAGTAAAAAGCTTCTTGTACTACATATAGAGGGAAAAATTAGAGATTATATAGAAAACAAATGGTACACTAAAATCATTGCAGAGCTTTTGTCTATATCTGGGGATATCTACATAAATGATGACGTAATATTTCTTTCTTAGTATGCATTTTTCTAGTGTTTATTTGAGAGAAGATTGTATGCAGTCATGATGTAGTATCTTTTACTGTATAATGCCTGAAATTCCTGAGTAATGAAAGTGTTTATATTTTAGGGCATTTACCAAATTTTGGCACCTTAGTTTTATTTCTTAATCCCAATTCATGCAGAGTTTAAGAAAAGTATTTATAAACTTTTTGGTCTGTGTTAAATATGAGTACGGTTTTTCACCCTTTTAAAACTTTCTGTGAAATATTTGGTTCAAAAAGACTGCCCTGTTATGCATCTTACTAAGTTATATAATCCAGGACCCCAACTTTGGAGCAGTGAGGGTTTTCTGTACCTGCTGTGCAGGGTCAATGGTGTGGATTTGTTTCAGGGAGGTGAACATCCAACTTTACTATCTGGTTCAGGGTTTTGGTAATTCAGAAGTGCATGCTAATACATAATGAGAAGTTGTATTGTCTGTTACTTGCCTTGTTTTTTATAACAATGTAGAAATTATCTTCATCATAATGCCATTTTTTAAAAATGTTTTATTGATTTAGAGCCATGCCTTACGTAAGTTCATCCTGCCACAGGGAGATAACTATGTAAGGTTTTATTCTATGGAATTCTGTACTGATTGTGCCCCTTCCTGATACAAATAGATAATATCAATCTTGGCCTTTGTTTGGTTAATCATCATCAGTTGTTCTGTTGATTATATTCTTGTCTGAAAAAAAGTCTTGTTATGTGTGACTCTTTGTTGAGTATAGTATTACCTTTAATGCTGCTAAATATTTTTGAATTCAGTGTATTTTTCATATTATGATTGTATTATATATAATCAGCAAGATTTGTGGTTTAATTGTTGAAATTGATATATTAAAAAAAACAAAAAGAAAAGTAGAAAAACTAAACTGTATATATTAAATTGATTTGTTTTTAGTGTAGAGTCCACACCCTCTCTTAAAAGTAATATTTTCCTGCAGATATAATTAACAAGTACTTTATATTCTGAGCTACTGTAAAGTAATGTTACATTACAATAACAATTTATTTCCCTTATTTTACATCTTAAGCGCTGTTTTCCCTATTTTCACAGACCAGCCAAATTTTGCTTTTTTGGAATTCCTAGATGCTTCCATTGCATTTACCAATAATATCTAAAATATCAGCTCTTATTCAGAGATGTTTTATTTTCCCTCTTCCTAGCAGTCTGTAAATATGATAATGGTGTGAAAGCCTTGTTTGGTGTTCTGGCGTCTTATAGTCTTAGTTGTGAGCTGAGAAACGGACAGTTTTGACGTTTGATTAAAAACTAGAACATAATTGGTCTGGGTGTTGTCGGTCCTTTACCAATTCTTTTCTTTTCTTCAGTATATTTACTGTTAAGTATGCAACTGAATATAGCAGAATTTCATCTTGGCTGTTAATTTTACAGTTAATCTTTTACATCTTGCATTTAAAATGCTGTTTATTTACATTTCAACAGATACTGTTTGTTTCATTTTTTGCTTTGCTTTTCAAAAAAGTAGAGCTATTAAATTGTCATGACCTTCCAAGTGGGGTCAGATATCACTTTTGTTAAGGTCTATTTTCTCAGAAACTATAGAAGCTTTTCATTACAAACCTTGCATTCTTGTTCACTGTTACAATGTGATGTGATTAGAAGGGCAGATAATGCAAAATTATTTTGAAGCAGTTATTCCAATTTTAGCTAGACTGTTCGAAGAATACCCGGGCATGCTATTATACTTACCCAGGCATTGGCCTCACATTTGGTTAAGTTTTTTACTGCAACAAATGGAATGGGTTGAAACTTCACACACTTGTTCACTGTGATAATCGTCTGAATTACCTGTTTACAGAGTTGTGTCCCTTTTCTTACTGTCAATTTTAGCACTGAATAGTAGAGCATTTTACGGACAGCTCTTATTATATTTGCTGTTTGTTTAACTTTGCAGTGACTATTTTAATTCTTTCAGATCCAGATACTTTACTATATACATATACATAAATTATTTATTGTGAGGAAAAAAAACAATCACTTTCTTTAGATTTCCTTCAATTAGTTATTATGCCCCCACAAAGTGGGGTGCATATAGCGTTGCACTTGTCCGTCCGTACGTCCCAAAATCTTGTGAACGCAACTCTTAAACCGGATGGCAGATTTTGCTTAAACTTGCAGGGATGAACAACCTTAATGTGTAGATGGTAGTAAAGGAAGGAATTTTTGCTGCAACCAAATTGAACAGAATTATGGCCCTTTGTTGATTTTTTCTCTATATACCATTTAGAAATTTTGTGAACGCAACTCCTCTTAAACCGGATGGCAGATTTTGCTTAAACTTGCAGGGATGAACAACCTTAATGTGTAGATGGAAGTGAAGGAAGAAATTTTTGCTGCGACCAAATTTAATAGAATTATGGCCCTTTGTTGATTTTTTTCACTATATACCATATAAATGTTGTCAGTGGGGGCATCCGTGTCCATTGGACACAGTTCTAGTTATTTTCCTTTTTTTCTATTTTCTAGATTGTCATTGAAATTGTCTTGGAGTTGTAAGTTGAACAAACAGTAACTTCAGTATATTTTAAAGGTAAGTGTTTATCAAGTTGCATGTCTCCAACTTTTCTAAGAGTTCTAGTTATGCCTTGGTCACCAGTATTGGACCAGGCCTTGACCACAAGTATGGAGTCAGACTTAGCCTACCAGTATAGTAAGGCCAGACTTTATCCATGCAGGCTAAGAATGCCTCATACTGTTTGTTGCTTAATTTGTATGATTGCTTCCTGATCAATAGATATGGAGGGCGTGGCCTATTGTTTTTGGTCAGTTGGGTCACAAAACCATACACTGAGATCCTTTCATCTATGGCCTATAAACTTATCCGGTGTTGATGGTATTGATGCACCTTGATGAGCTCTTCCTACCAGACTAACTTAAAGGTCACAGGATCAAAGGTCAGGGTCACAGAGGTCAAGGCACTCTGGATGCATGGCATTCATAGGAATATAGCACCTACAGTGCACTCCGGATACAACAAGATCGTCAGGACTTCGGATGATTCCTCGTTATAACCGGGTCTCGTTTTAACCAGGACAGAACAAATTGAGAAATCCGACACCATCGAGCATCATTTATTTCTACTCTCGCTTTCGCGTGCATCCTTTTTGAAGAGTATATAATGGGAGGTAATTCTTTGCAATCAGAAGTTTTTTGTTCTATTTAAATATACATGTTTATAGATATATCTTGCTATCATAGAATTTAAACAAAACATGAAAACACAACCTACGTCTAACAGCGTGTGTTTTTATGCCCCCACAATGTGGGAGCGTATAGCGTTGCACTTGTCCGTCCTTCTGTAAGTCCTTCCGTCAGTCCGTCCATCAGTCTGTCCGTCCGTCTGTCCCGAAATCTTGTGAACGCAACTCCTCTTAAACCGGATGCCAGATTTTGCTTAAACTTACAGGGATTAACAACCTTAATGTGTAGATGGTAGTAAAGGAAGGACTTTTTGCTGTGACCAAATTTAACAGAATTATGGCCCTTTGTTGATTTTTTTACTATATACTTATAATGTAGAAATTTTGTGAATGCAACTCCTCTTAAACCGGAAGGCAGATTTTGCTTAAACTTCCAGGGATGAACAACCTTAATGTGTAGATGGCAGTAAAGGAAGGAATTTTTGCTGCAACCAAATTTAACAGAATTATGGCCCTTTGTTGATTTTTAGCTCGACTATACGAAGTATATGGAGAGCTGTCCTACTCGCCCCGGCGTCGGCGTCCGCGTCCGCGTCCAGATTTTAGATTAAAGTTTTGGTGCAGTAAAATATTTTTCACTATAACTTTGTCATTTCTTAAGGTATCAACTTCAAACTTCAAATATATGTTCCTTATCATCAACCACATCATATGTGACAAGGTTCATAACTCTAGCACCAATATTTTCAGATTTATCTCCCCTTGAACTTAGAATTTTCCTTAAAAAATACTATTTTTTACTGTTACTTCCTTATTTCTTAAGGGATCAACCTCATACTTCAAATATATGTACCTTATCATCATCCCCATCTTATGTGACAAGGTTCATAACTCTAGCACCAATATTTTCAGATTTATCTCCCTTTGAACTTAGAATTTTCCATAAAAAATATTTTTTTTACTGTTATTTATTTATTTCTAAAGGGATCAACTTCATACTTCAAATATGTTTACGTTATCATCATCCACATCTTATGTGACAAGGTTCATAACTCTAGCACCAATATTACAAGAATTATCTCCCCATAAACTTAGATTTTTTTACTAGAAAAATGTTATTTTTTATTATAACTTTTTTATTTTTAAAGGTATCTACCTCAAATTTCAAATACTTATTCCTTATCAACAATTACATTTTATGTGACATTGTTCATAATTCTTGATGCAATATTTACAGATTTATCTCTCTTTGAACTTAGGATTTTCTTTAAGAAATATAATAGCTTCTTTTCTTTTTAAGGTATCTGCTTCAAACTTCAAATATATGTTTCTTATCATTACACAAATGTTGTGTGACAAGGTCCATAACTCTAGCATGACTATTTCTAGCATTATTCCCCTTGATCTTGGAATTTATGTTAACAAATATTATTTTTTTACTATAACTTAATACATAATTATACATAATTGATTTTCCTTTCATAGTTTTGTCCTCCTTACTGCGTCCAGTATTTCATTAGTCGAGCTTCGCTGTCTCCTGTGACAGCTCTTGTTTCATTATATACTATGTAGAAATTTTGTGAACGCAACTTTTCTTAAACCGGATGGCAGATTTTGCTTCAACTTCCAGGGATGAACAACCTTAATGTGTAGATGGTAGTGAAGGAAGGAAATTTTGCTGTGACCAAATTTAACAGAATTATGGCCCTTTGTTGATTTTTAGTTTTCATCTTGTGGCACATGTAGTCCAAAAAATATTTGACCTAGAGTCATAAGATTGACAGAACAGTGGCGTGTGGGGGCATCCGTGTCCTATGGACACATTTCTAGTTTCATTTATATGTACATTTTAAAATTCGTTTTCAAAAGTCACGCAGTACATTGCATACTATAAATGGCAATGTGAATGACTATCATAATAATGGCAATGACTGACAAAAAAATGGCAATGGCTTCTTTAACACTGGTTATAAATGAAGTAATATTGGCAATGACAAAGTTGATGATGGTAATGACTTGATTGCTTATGAAAATGACTTACATAACAATGGCAATGACTTACATAATGGCATTGACCTACTTTAACAATAGTTATGACTGACATAATAATGACACCGGCTTACATACTATAACTAATGGCATTGACTTATTTAACAATTGCAATGACTGACATAACAATGGCAATGACCAACATAATAATGGCAATGCCTTGGGTATGCCACGTAGTACAGAGCCAGGCCAAATTGAATTTTCATAATTGCACTTCACTCAAAGACCTTGCAGGATGTTTTCTGATTGCAGGATTAGCAGATCTTGTCAGGATGTTAGACATGTCTCATAGTTGTTGTTTGTTGGTGTTTTTTTTGACAGATGCTTACATAAGACATTGGATATTAACAGGAAAAAAGACATAGGGATATGACTTACAGAAATTCAAATGTTGTGAATCATAGATGGTGACAAAGATCACCTAGAATATGGAAAAAAATGGCATTTCATTTCATAACTCAATTACTACTAGTGCAAAACGCCTACAATATATTTCCAAGGGATTTTCGTATTAATATACAGTCAAACGTGTATTAAGCGACCGGGCAAGGGAAACACCAAAAACGGTCGCTTAATGAAACGGTCTCTTAAGACAGTCAGCATGATATAAAAAGTCAAAATTTATAAATGACATCTTTTTTATTCGATGGGATTGTTTTTCAACTTCATTTTTATATAAATGTTGAATAATAAGTACGCTCTGATAATCTAAACGGATGCAAATGTAAAAATAACGTTCTGATATTTATTGACAAAACAGTTTTGATCCATTACGTACATGTTTGACATTTTTTCCAGAATTTTTTAACTTCTCCGTTGTTTTTTCTTGTCTCCAACACGAAACCCCTATAAGTGAAGATGTTTTCTGTTGTGCATTTTTTCATTTGAAATAAACAAACTACATCTATTTGTTACGATTAATTTAATGGCTGATCAAGTTCAAGGTCAATTCAAGCGTATACACCATCTCAGTATGGGCGGAGCGTTGCATTGTTTATCCGATATTATTGGATAATACACATCACGCGTATACTTAACTTCATTTGCATACGCTAAAACGGTATGGGAAATAGAGTTTTTCACACGTTTATTGTTGTGTTTTGATTGCTGACACCTGTGACATAACGAGGTGGCGTTCTCTAAAAACACAATTACTTGACAGGTAAAAGTGGTCGTTTAATGAAAAGATTGATGTCAATTAGGTGACTAATTAGCGGTCGCTGGTCGCGTTGAGCAAAAGTCACTTAATATATTAAAGATATAGAGAGAAAATGATCGGGGGGAATTTAAAGTGGTCGTTTAAGACAAAAGTCGCTTAATACACGTGGTCGCATGGGCAAGTTAGACTGTATATAATATTAGATATTTTTTCATTCATTATATCATTCAATTTAATGTTTACACTTGACCTAGACTTAAAGGACCTGATTGTCAGAGAGATCTAATGTAGCAGTTCAGCAGTTTATATGCCTTGTTTTGCATCTTGTTTTTGTTAATTATGAAAAATTACCAGTTACTGCCAATGTTTGTTACATATGTGTCTGGGTATGCCGATTATTCATTTAGACAAGTGTTATTGTATTGTGGCCTTGACCTAGCTGAGTTTGTCTGCAATTGACTTTGGAACAGTCTATTGTTAAAATATGAGTTTTCATTATTAAAATGACAGTATTAATCTGCCAAAATGCCTTATCATAATAAACTACAATGTACATTGACTTAGCTGTAGATTGGTGATTTTGGCCTTGCTTTAAACTGGTGACATTGGCCTAGCTCTATACTGGTGACAGTGGCCTAGCTTTATACTTGTGACATTGGCTTAATTCAATACTGATGACATTGACATGGCTTTATTTGGGTGATGTTGCCTTTACTCAATAATGATGACTATGGCCTAGCTTTATACTGATGACATTGGCCTAGCTTCATACTTGTGATATGGCCTATCTTTAGACTTATACTGATGACATTGACCTAGCTTTATACTGATGACATTGGCCTAGCTTTATACTTGTGATATGGCCTATCTTTAGACTTATACTGATGACATTGACCTAGCTTTTTACTTGTGATATGGCCTATCTTTAGACTTATACTGATGACATTGACCTAGCTTTATACTGGTGACATTGACCTAGTTTTATACTGGTGACATGGCTGAATTTGACCATGCTTTATACTGGTGACATTTGTTTAACTTATACTGATGACCCTACTAGCCAGGTGATACAGTTGTTGTTGTCCTGTTTGTGTTCAGAGAGTCATTATAACCAGTTTGCATTAGTTTATGGTATATCTGTATGAAATAGTTCTATGATGAAATGTGTTTCTTATATAAATA